TATCCAAATTTGGTACGCAATCTATTCTTCGATTGTTGGTGCTGTTGTTGGGCTGTTTGATCATCTTGGGGAGATCAGGGACATGGGACAGCTTAGGCTAAGGTTTCAATTCTTTGCTAGTGCTATTCAGTTCAACCTAATGCCTGAGGAACAGCTCCTGAATGCTAGAGGCTTTGGTAACAAGTTCAAGGACGGCATTCATAGGTCAGTCCGTGGAAGCATGCTACTAATATTCCTATATAATTTACTGTACAACGCTTGACTTGACTGTACAAGCTGTGAAATTTTAATTTTGTTAAAGCAGATACTCTGCATATAATTCAATTTTTCAATATTGTAATAAATTGAGGTTGTGTACTGTATGCAGATTGAAGCTAAGGTATGGATTTGGGAGGCCGTTTAAGAAACTCGAGTCGAATCAGGTCGAGGCCAACAAGTTTGCGTTGATCTGGAACGAAATCATCTTAGCTTTCAGAGAAGAGGATATAGTTTCTGATCGTGAAGTAGAGCTACTGGAGCTGCCAAAGAATTCCTGGGATGTGACGGTTATTCGCTGGCCGTGTTTCTTGTTGTGCAATGAGCTTTTGCTTGCACTGAGCCAGGCCAGAGAGCTGATAGACGCACCTGATAAATGGCTGTGGCACAAAATATGCAAGAATGAATACAGGCGTTGTGCTGTAGTTGAGGCATATGACAGCATCAAACATCTATTGCTCTCAATCATCAAAGTTGACACTGAAGAACATTCGATAATTACGGTCTTCTTTCAGATGATTAATCAATCCATTCAGTCAGAGCAGTTCACCAAGACCTTTAGAGTGGACCTGCTGCCAAAAATTTACGAAACACTGCAGAAATTGGTTGGGCTGCTAAATGATGAGGAAACAGATAGTGGGCGGGTGGTGAATGTTCTGCAGTCTCTTTATGAGATTGCAACTCGACAGTTCTTTATAGAGAAGAAGACAACTGAACAGCTATCTAATGAAGGCTTGACTCCTCGAGACCCAGCCTCAAAGTTACTGTTTCAAAATGCTATTAGGCTTCCTGATGCAAGCAATGAAGACTTCTACCGGCAGGTTAGGCGTTTACACACGATTCTCACCTCTAGGGACTCTATGCACAGCGTCCCTGTGAATCTAGAGGCGAGACGGCGGATTGCTTTCTTCAGTAATTCGCTTTTCATGAACATGCCTCATGCCCCTCAGGTTGAGAAAATGATGGCGTTCAGTGTTCTGACTCCATATTACAATGAGGAAGTTGTATACAGCAAAGAACAGCTCCGAAATGAGACTGAGGATGGGATTTCCACCCTATACTACCTGCAGACAATTTATGCTGATGAATGGAAAAATTTCAAGGAACGGATGCATATGGAAGGAATCAAGACAGATAGTGAGTTGTGGACAACCAAGCTGAGAGACCTCAGGCTTTGGGCTTCCTACAGAGGTCAGACATTGGCACGTACAGTTCGTGGGATGATGTACTACTACCGGGCTCTCAAGATGCTCGCTTTTCTTGACTCTGCGTCTGAAATGGACATTCGGGAGGGTGCTCAGGAGCTTGGTTCAGTGAGGAGTTTGCAGGGAGAACTGGGTGGTCAATCTGATGGGTTTGTCTCTGAAAACGACCGATCTTCCTTAAGCAGAGCAAGTAGTTCCGTGAGTACGCTGTATAAAGGCCATGAGTACGGGACTGCATTGATGAAATTCACATATGTTGTGGCGTGCCAGATCTATGGGTCTCAAAAAGCAAAGAAAGAGCCTCAGGCAGAGGAAATTCTGTATCTGATGAAGCAGAACGAAGCTCTCCGTATTGCATATGTGGATGAGGTGCCTGCGGGAAGAGGAGAGACTGATTACTACTCCGTTCTGGTGAAATACGATCACCAGTTGGAAAAGGAAGTGGAGATATTCCGTGTGAAGCTACCTGGTCAGGTGAAGCTGGGCGAGGGAAAGCCAGAGAACCAGAATCATGCAATGATCTTTACCCGTGGTGATGCTGTTCAGACCATTGATATGAACCAAGACAGCTATTTCGAGGAAGCTCTCAAGATGAGAAATTTGCTCCAGGAGTACAAACATTATCATGGTATCAGAAAACCAACTATTCTTGGTGTCAGGGAGCATATCTTCACGGGATCAGTCTCGTCACTGGCGTGGTTCATGTCTGCTCAGGAGACAAGTTTTGTCACTCTTGGTCAGCGTGTTCTTGCAAACCCGCTGAAGGTCAGAATGCATTATGGCCACCCTGATGTATTTGACAGATTCTGGTTCTTGAGTCGAGGCGGCATCAGCAAGGCTTCCAGAGTTATAAATATCAGTGAGGACATCTTTGCTGGGTTTAATTGCACATTGAGGGGCGGAAACGTCACCCACCACGAGTACATTCAGGTTGGGAAGGGCCCACTATTTGGATTATTTCTAACTAACTATACTGCTACAACGATCCTATAATTCTACTTTTGTTATAATCATGCAGTTTAGCTTTTTTTTATCTCCTAAATTCAATAAAATTTGTATAACCTTTGTCTTTATGCATTTTTCAGGTCGGGAAGGGTCGGGATGTTGGATTGAATCAGGTATCAATGTTTGAGGCTAAGGTAGCTAGTGGGAACGGAGAGCAGGTTCTTAGCCGAGACGTGTACCGGCTTGGTCACAGGCTTGATTTCTTCAGAATGTTATCATTTTTCTACACAACTGTAGGGTTTTTCTTCAACACGATGATGGTCATTCTTACTGTTTACGCTTTCCTCTGGGGACGGGTTTATCTGGCTCTCAGCGGGGTTGAGAAGTCCGCTCTAGCAGACAGTACGGACAGCAACGCCGCGCTTGGGGTGATCCTGAACCAGCAGTTTATCATTCAGCTCGGTCTGTTCACTGCCCTGCCAATGATTGTTGAATGGTCTCTCGAGGAGGGTTTCCTTCTAGCGATATGGAATTTCATTCGAATGCAGATTCAGCTTTCAGCTGTCTTCTACACATTCTCAATGGGGACCAGAGCTCACTATTTCGGTCGAACTATTCTCCATGGTGGGGCAAAGTATAGAGCCACTGGACGTGGATTTGTTGTCGAGCACAAGGGATTCACTGAGAACTACCGACTGTATGCACGCAGTCACTTTGTGAAGGCCATCGAGCTTGGGCTGATCCTCATAGTCTACGCTTCGCACAGTCCGATCGCCAAAGACTCATTGATTTACATAGCCATGACTATCACCAGCTGGTTCCTTGTGATTTCATGGATAATGGCCCCATTTGTGTTTAACCCATCAGGATTCGACTGGCTTAAGACAGTCTACGACTTTGAAGACTTTATGAACTGGATCTGGTACCAAGGCAGAATCTCAACGAAATCTGAACAAAGCTGGGAAAAATGGTGGTACGAGGAACAGGACCACCTGAGAAACACCGGGCTGGCAGGAAAAATTGTGGAGATCATCTTGGACCTCCGGTTTTTCTTCTTTCAGTATGGGATTGTATACCAGCTCAAAATTGCAAACGGATCCACCAGCTTTTTTGTCTACTTGTTCTCATGGATATACATCTTTGCTATATTTGGGCTCTTCCTAGTAATCCAATACGCCCGTGACAAGTACTCTGCAAAAGCTCACATACGGTACAGGCTTGTCCAATTCCTCCTGATCGTGGTTGCTATACTGGTGATTGTTGCTTTGCTTGAGTTCACGCATTTCAGCTTCATAGATATCTTCACGAGTCTTCTTGCATTCATCCCAACTGGCTGGGGAATTCTGCTGATCGCACAGACTCAAAAGTTTTGGCTGACGAAATACAGAATTTTCTGGAATGCTGTTGTCTCTGTTGCTCGCATGTATGACATATTGTTTGGGATACTCATAATGGTTCCAGTAGCGTTCTTGTCGTGGATGCCTGGATTCCAATCAATGCAAACGAGGATATTATTCAATGAAGCTTTTAGCAGAGGACTTCGCATCATGCAGATTGTCACTGGGAAGAAATCAAAAGGCGATGTCTAAGTTTAAAAAATGGTAAAGCTCTTTATTCTCAACACTTTATGTTATGGTTGTTAAAATCCTGGATTTCACACCAATACGGGTTTTAAATTTGTGTAGGTCTTAAGAAGTAAATGATAGTTCAAATCCTATTGGTATGCGGCGAAGGAATCAGTTGGAGGTTAGTTTTCCCGAAACAACCGAATTGAAAGTTTTGTTTCGTCTAAAGAAAAGCTCAGATGCTCATGATTTATCATTATATTTTAAACAGGTTTTTGGAGAGGTTGGATGAGGAATCGGGAAGTTGGTTTATTCGGTTAGATGGGTTTAGTGAGATATTTTATCGTCAGTGTGTGTGGAGGAACTCTGATTCTTGTATGGTTTTGTCTAAAGGTACAGCAATTTGTGTAGTAGGGCATTTGTGTATTTGTTCTCCTTCTCTCGTTGTAGAGCTTTAGAGCATTTTTAGTTTGTTCAGTTTGCTATCTAATGTCATTTCGCAGAGCATTTGTTCACATTTCACACCTTTTCTTCTCCTTCTTAGTAGAGATCAGTTTCAGATAGATACTTGACCATATTCCACTACCTTTTGTCTATTATCTGTTTCTGCTTGTCATTTTCTGGGTTTTTTGCATTTATTTCAAGATTCAATCCAAAATTGAAATGAATTTATATAATTGGACCACAACACCACTCTGTCGGTTTTGACTTTTCTATTTGGATCCTGATCGTCTTCCTCCCCTTTCTATTACAAATTGGGAAACAATCAGTGTGAATTGGGAAAAAAAAAACAGAAAAATTACAAATTGAGAAAAGCATAATAAGCAATTAAAGCCACGTGGCAAGAAATCGACGAGGTATCAACGTGTTTGTCTGCAAGATCTATCCTTTTTTAACAAAACGGCGACTGATCTAACGGGAAAATTTTAAAATTGATTTAATAAATTCAACTACTTCTGGGCCATCATCATAAAGGATCATATTCTTCGTCTCCTTTTGATCTTATCAAATTAGAGTCAATCACTCAGAAGAAGCTACTAGGTCTCCTCGACATTTGCTTTCAATTCCACCCAGATTTTGTTTCTCGCCGGAGAAAAGAAAAATGGAAGACCCGTTGATTGGTAGAGATAGTCGTGCGGATCGGGTTCGTCGATCAGAAGCTATCACGCATGGTACTCCGTTTCAGAAAGCTGCTGCACTCGTCGATCTGGTTCTCCATCTCTCACGCCCTGATTTTGAATTCGTTTGCCTCCTCTTGACTTTTCAAAAAGTTTCTATACATGGATCACATCGACTCCAAGAAAGATTCTACCTAATTAGTTAACCTTAGAAGTTGAATCGTTTCTTCTGTTTGATTTCTTCGTATGTGGAAATCATAATTCGTTTTTGGTCACAAAAGGATTTGTTCCACCCTGATTAGTCAATGATTTGTGTGTATTTCCTCATGAAATTAGCGTAGCATTGTCTGGTTGAAAATGGGAATTGAGATATCTGTTGTTTCATTGACTCTAAAAGTGTTATGTCTGAAACGCTTGAAGAGATGTTCTTTTTGTCTTTTTTGCTGTATGTCAAGAGGATTTTGGGATTGACTATATAATATGTGGTATTGTGGTATGTAGGCTGAGGATGGTATTGGTCTTCCTGAGCAAATACTTGATCAGTCGAGTTTCGGGGAGTCTGCTAAGTATTACTTCATCTTCACACGCTTTGATCTGATCTGGTCACTCAACTATTTCGCTCTGCTTCTCCTTAACTTTTTTGAGGTCAGGGCATTTCTTTGGTATACACCAACCTTGCTTAAAATATTAAAGAAAATCACAAACTTGAAAGTAATTATACGGTTGTCCTGTCTTTTGCAGAAACCACTGTGGTGTGAGAAAAAGCCTACACCGTCTTGCAAAGACAGAGATTACTATTACCTGGGAGAGTTACCGTACTTGACCAATGTAGAATCCATTATCTATGAGGCAAGTAGTGAACTTAATTCTTGTTTGCTTTTGATTTCGCTATAGATGCATAAATTTAGTGCAGATGGGCTCATGAGATACATATACATCCACTTGAAAGTTTAAAACTTTAATTGCCTTATGATTGTTTTTTATTAAATCTGGAGAAGTCTTGAGTATTTGAGCAAGACGAGTTTATCTCGTTTAATTCATTGTTAATATCAACATACATATCTTATTTTGGATGTGATTATTATTAGGAATGGACAAGATCCTTTCTCATTGTGCTGAAATTATAATATTCTGCGCTGTGCAAATAGGTGATTACCCTGGCTATACTCCTTGTACATACTTTCTTCCCAATATCCTATGAAGGGTCCCGAATCTTTTGGACAAGTCGCCTGAATCTAGTGAAGGTATTTCCTTACTAGCCACTTCACCGTTTTGTGCTTCTTCTTTTTGTTGAAAATCAATCAGAAAGTAAGAAATTCCTTTTTTCGTACAATAATTTGTCTTCATCTTGATTCCAGGTTGCTTGCGTGGTGATTTTGTTTGTTGATGTGCTGCTTGACTTTCTATATCTGTCTCCACTGGCTTACGATTTTCTTCCTTTTAGAATCGCCCCATACGTGAGAGTTATCATATTCATCCTCAGCATAAGGTATCCGTAGATCTCTGCTTAATTTCTGTCAACTACGTGGATTATATATGTCTTTATATCTATAGACAAAGAATGCGTAGATCATGTATGATAAATGTAGACGTGTCATTGTTCACTTACATTTCCTCCTATTAAATCACTAAGTACAGCCCTCATCACATTCCCTAAACTTATGATTCAATAAATTTCTGTACAGGGAACTTCGAGACACCCTTGTCCTTCTGTCTGGAATGCTTGTCACATACTTGAATATAGTGGTCAGTGGCCTTCCCAATCATTTTGGCTTTCAGATAAGTCATGAACTCATATTGATTCCATCATATGTTTTTAACTACTTGAATATTTTCACAGGCTCTATGGATGTTGTTCCTTCTATTTGCCAGTTGGATTGCTTTTGTTATGTTTGAGGATACACAGCAGGGCCTCACGATCTTCACTTCTTACGGTGCAACTCTTTATCAGATGTTTATTCTGTTCACAACATCCAACAATCCTGATGTCTGGATTCCTGCATACAAGTAAGTATTAGGTGAAATCCCATGTGTGTCTCAGTTTGCTTGTATTGAGTTGCCTCCAGTAATTTGGTGACTAATTTGTTCTGTCTTGTAAGGTCTTCTCGCTGGTCTTCGGTGTTCTTCGTGCTCTACGTGCTAATTGGCGTCTACTTTGTCACGAACTTGATTCTTGCCGTTGTTTATGACAGTTTCAAAGAACAGGTGGATTAAGGATTTGATGTCTGCATGGTTCTTATGTCATCTTTAAAACAAAAGCATTAACATATTTAATTTGACACCTTGTGTCATATCATATCTATTCATTTTGCAGCTCGCAAAGCAAGTATCTGGAATGGATCAAATGAAGAAAAGAATGCTGGAGAAAGCCTTTGGTCTTATAGACTCAGACGTAAGTTCATCTACGCATAATGATTATATTTACTCCTAGAGATATCCAGAGAAGTTCTCCTTGGGCAAAGATCTTCATGAAAGGAGAGTCTTTGTATAGTTAACCACTTTGCTGAGCATATATTTTCTTCGTTCTATATTTCATGTTTTAACAGAAAAATGGGGAGATTGATAAGAACCAATGCATTAAGCTCTTTGAGCAGTTGACTAATTACAGGTATGTTGCTATGATCTTTCGTATTTTCTTAATCTTTGCTATGTATTGAAAAAGAAATACTGCTTTTATTTACTTTTGGTTTCTTCCCTTCTATTATGTTAACTTGTGAGACCTGGTATGCATTCCTTTGTCCTTATAGGACTTTGCCGAAGATATCAAAAGAAGAATTCGGATTGATATTTGATGAGCTTGACGACACTCGTGACTTTAAGGTAGAGATCTGCGAAGGAGGTGTCACATATGATTACACCTTAAGATTACTATTCACATAAACCTTTTGATTAATAACAGAGTATTTTTCCCTTTTTGGTTTCCTATTGAGCAGATAAACAAGGATGAGTTTTGCTGACCTCTGCCAGGCCATTGCTCTAAGATTCCAAAAGGAGGAAGTAGTAAGTCCACATATACTTTATTTCCTTCTCTTTCAAAATTTACTTACCTCCACCATATGTTTAAATAAGCAATCCTTTTTGTTTTCATTGCAGCCATCTCTCTTTGAAAATTTTCCGCAAATTTACCATTCGGCCTTATCACAACAACTGAGAGCCTTTGTTCGAAGCCCCAACTTTGGCTACGCTATTTCTTTCATCCTCATCCTCAATTTCATTGCTGTCGTTGTAGAAACAACGGTATATCATGTTCCCATAAAGTGTAATTCTTTGAGATGTAATTCCTAATTCTTTCGTAAGCCATAACAGATTTTGGTATGCAGCTTGATATCGAAGAAAGCTCGGCTCAGAAGCCATGGCAGGTTGCTGAGTTTGTCTTTGGTAAGAACTTGAATAGGTTTCCACTACCTTCTCTCCATTTATATATATTCTTTTATTTGATGCTTTGTGAAGTGAATAATCTATGGTTACTGAATAATATGATGAAAAGACGAAGAAAGAAAATAGAAGTTAAGCTTTTCCTGTGTTATAACGCTGAGTAAAGTACTTTTACTGACCACCTTTTCAGGAGTTAACTTTTTTTTCTTTTAATGTTTTCACAGGTTGGATATATGTCTTGGAGATGGCTCTGAAGATCTATTCATATGGATTTGAGAATTATTGGAGGGAGGGTGCAAACCGATTTGACTTTCTAGTCACATGGGTCATAGGTGACCTCTTGAAGCAGCAATTCCATCTTGTTTTGCTGATTGAGTGATTGATGGCTATGCTATAATTGATAATCTTTGTATCTGCAGTTATTGGGGAAACGGCTACCTCATAACTCCAGACGAGAACACTTTCTTCTCAAACGGAGAATGGTGAGGAATAACTATGACATATTTGTTATAATGGTTTTGTTTTGTAGTATTCCTGATTCTGGTTCTCTCCTGTCACTGATAGGATCCGGTACCTTCTCCTTGCAAGAATGTTGAGACTGATAAGGCTTCTTCTGCACGTCCAGCGATACCGAGCATTTATTGCAACGTTCATAACTCTTATTCCAAGTTTGATGCCATATTTAGGGACCATTTTCTGCGTGCTGTGTATCTACTGCTCTATTGGCGTACAGGTAAATCAGACTACTGAGTTTTTCTGAAAAATGCAAGCTTACTTATGTCGAAGCCTTGGTCCTTCTCTTCGTTTTGCTTATACTAAGCCTCTTGAAATGCTTCATCTTCCAGTTAATGTGAATGTTATAGGAACCACTGAACAGACACTCTCATGTGTTTTCCCTGCCTTCTCTCGGTTTCTATTTCCATTCCAGAAATAAGACATTTTCCACTTCATTTATATATAGGTCTTTGGTGGGCTTGTGAATGCTGGGAATAAGCAGCTCTTCAAAACAGAATTGGCTGAGGATGAGTATCCTTTTTGACTTATGAAAACCTTTTAATGCACTCAACACAGTCTTACTTAGTAAACCTGTCCTGTTCCTGTGATTGCTAGTGAGTTTTTATTGTTGGGACGTAAACGTTTTCAGTATATGACCGTTTCTTGACTGGAAAAACTCAGCTATCTATTGTTCAACTTCAATGACTACCCCAATGGAATGGTCACACTCTCAATCTGCTAGTTATGGGTAACTGGCAAGTATGGATGGAGGTAATTCACTCTTCTCTTAGTCCCAATTTTAGACTCATTATAGTTTCCAACAAGAAGTATCGCAAGATTCATTGGAGCTGAGGAGACCAATGCTAGATGTGACTATAAACAGCTTCCACTATGGTGCAATAGTTTTAACTACTCGTAATGTTGTTTCCTTCAGAGCTACAAAGATTTGACGGGGACATGGTGGAGCATACGTATTTCGTCAGTTTTCTACGTCATCACTATTTTACTTCTGTTGAATTTGGGAGTTGACTAACACCAACTCCTAAGGAGCTCGACTAAACAGAGGCCGTGATTGTTGTAAAGAAATTCATTCGCTTCTTGGATTGACTACTAACTATACGTGTTTGTTTCAGGTTGTTGCTTTTGTCTTGGAGGCGTTCTTTGCTGAGCTAGATCTTGAGGAAGAAGAAAAATGTCAAGGGGAGGTTAGTAATCGGTCTTTGATTCGCCATAAAATTACTACACAGAAAGGAACAGATGATCTGGAGATTGCTAAAAGTAAAAACCATTGATTCGGGTTTAAACCGTTTGTTTTCATTTCATGATTGTTCGTTGCAGGATTCTCAAGAAAGAAGAAACCGACGTCGATCTGCAGGGTAAGTAGAGAGTGAGAGAGATCAAATCTTTAGTTTTCTAATTTTACAGTAGACTGAAAATCTGAAGCTTTGTTTTGTTGTTGAATTGTTAAAGGACAAAGTCTAGGAGTCAGAGAGTTGATACACTTCTTCATCACATGTTGGGTGATGAACTCAGCAAACCAGAGTGCTCCACTTCTGACACATAAAAGAAAAAGGATCGTTAAAAGGTTGTTTTCATATTTATACTTTTATTGTGAATCTTGATTCTATATGGAGAGATCAAATAGAATCTAGAAGGTGACTACATTTTTCTTCTTTTGAGTGAAGATTTAATATAAAACGATTGAGTTATAGTATGATTTTTTTGGCTTCTCGTGTGCTTAGTTAGTACTTTGTAGTACTGTTTGTAATGAAAACATATGAGCACAAATTTCTTTGACCCTTTTGTAATGTTTATTGAGATTGACTTTGACCTTTTTAGTGTAAGGATGTTTGAGAATTATGATTTTTTTTTTTGGTAAGGGTTTTGAGAATTATGATTACTTCTTCATATCTCCGTGGTTCCTCCTCATAAGGTTTTTTGCCAAAACGATCAAATAATGTTTTTTTCTGATAAAACTGTAAAAAGTAAAATAAAAATAAAGAAGTGAACTTCCAAGGGCCCACATATCTATTTCTGGTAAAATCTAGGGTTTCTCTTTTATGTCAATCATGGCTTCGGGACCAAGCAAGACAGAAGCCGAGACGGCGCAAATCGTTTCCACGGCGCCCATAGAAACAACCACTGAAGAATCCGCCGTCTCTTCCTCTCTGAACAAGGACAAATCCGACTCCGACCCGAAGGAAAATGATTCCTCCAATGACGAAGATAGCATAGTGGACGACGGAGATTCAGCAAGCGATCAATCGGAATGGGGAGTGGATAGCTTCGATGATGAGGAATATTTTCATCTGATGAAGACTCTCATACCGACGAAGAAGTTGAGGGAAAAGCCCGTCTTTATAAACGGAATCTCCACTTTAGCCATGTTCGTATACATGATTCGAAATCTAGTTGTTTTTTTTCTAAATCAAATGATCTTTAATTTTATGGTGAAATTTGATTTTGGAGATTTAGGGCTTTCTTGTTGAAGAAGGGATTGGTCCACGTCCACGTTCACGTTCCGTAGGTTGTGGCTATATCTTACTTAAATCTCTGGACAGTGAACATTCTCCGGCTAAAGGAAGGACACAGCTTCAATACGCACAAGACATGGCCAAATTGTCTCTTCGCAAGTACAATGCCTTAAACGTAAGTATAACTACTGCAATTTTAACGTTGTTTCAAGATGTGTTAATTGGCTATACATCTTTTTTTTTTGGGGTGTGTTTTCAGGAAACCAATGTGAAATTGGATCATGTAAGAGTGACAGCATTTTGGTGTTAGGCAGACTTCGTATATCACTTTCATGGCGAAAGAATCTAAGGGAGATGATACGCTTGTGGAGTATCAAGCTAAGGTTGCTAAAAGATTTCAATGCAAGTCTTATCCTATGTTTTGCAGGCCTAGTCCAAAGCTAGATCCAGATATGTAGTCTAAATTATCTTCTAATCTTCTAGATCCAGAATGTCTGTACAAGCACTAAATAGTAGTTTTAGAGTGTTTAGACATACCTAAGATTTATCATTATTTAAAGGCTTTCATGATGATCAAAACTTGAAAGTGCCCTGTCTGAGGCCAATTATAAATATAAACAAGTAAGTGAACATACTTATATAATCTTATAAAGTTTTATGGCATTCTAACTCAAAACCAATTGGCAATGAGTAAGAGAATCTCAGGTCTTTTCTACATTACTCAAGTCCATTCTCATCTTTCCAATGTGGGATAATTCTCATAATTTCTTTATCGCTAAAATTGTAAATAGTTTAGACTTCAAGGCGGATGTATATATGGGGATTTCCGTCGGATCATGGAGTCTGAACCAATCAAGACGGAGGCGAAAAGACTGGTAACAACTTCAAACTATTTAGAGAGTTTCGTGAACTTTATATATAAGATAGTCCTTAACAAAGAAAATGGCCATTTATAATTAATCTTTTTAATACATATGTGAATTTTGTTTTTTCACTCTAAAAAAATCCAATCATCAATTAGTTGAACTGCCTGAATTTGGAATCAGTTTTGACTTTTGAGGGAATGTAAAACGTACAGGTTGTGACTTATGAGTTGAAGCATGAAACAATCAAATATCCGTGGACGACGAGACTCCTACTTATTAGGATTTTTGCCGGAACAATCAAATAATGTTTTTCTGATAAAACTGTAAAAAGTAAAATAAAAATAAAAAAGTGAACTTCGAAGCCCACATATCTAAAAATAACCCAAATAATTAAACAGCAACCACTTAAGTCATAAAATATTCTGCTAAGGTAAAAAATCTAGGGTTTCTATTTTATTTCAATCATGGCTTCGGGATCAAGCAAGACAGAGACCGAGTCGACGCAAATCGTTTCCACGACGCCCATAGAAACAACCACTGAAGAATCCGCCGTCTCTTACTCTCTGAACAAGGACAAATCCGACTCCGACCCGAAGGAAAATGATTCTTCCAATGACGAAGATAGCATAGTGGACGATGGAGATTCAGCAAGCGATCAATCGGAATGGGGAGTGGATAGTTTCGATGATAAGGAATATATTTCACCTGATGAAGACACTCATACAGACGAAGAAGTTGAGCGTAAATCCCGTATTTATGAACGCAATCTCCACTTTAGCCATGTTCGTATACATGGTTCGAAATCTAGTTTTTATTTTCTTTTTTCCTAAATCAAATGATATTTAATTTATGGTTAAATTTGATTTTGGAGATTTAGGGTTTTCTTGTGGAAGAAGGGTTTGGTCCACGTCCACGTCCACGTTCCGTAGGGGGTGGCTATATCTCACTTGTCTCTCTCGACAGTGAGCGGTCTCCGGTTAAAGGAAGGACACAGCTTCAATACGCACAAGACATGGCCAAATTGTCTCTTCGCAAATACAATGCCTTAAACGTAAAAAATTTAATTATTGCAATTTTAACATTGTTTTGTTAGTTTAATTAAGATGTGTTAATTGGCTTATACATCAATTGTTTTTTTGGGGTGTGTTTTCAGGAAACCAATTTGAAATTGGATCATGTTGTGAGAGTGACTCAAGGGCCTTTTTTTATGCAGCCGACTTCGTATATCACTTTCATGGCCAAAGAATCTGAGGAGGATGATACGCTTGTGGAGTATCAAGCCAAGGTTGCCAAGAAATTAAATCCAAAACGCAAGACTTATCCTATGTTTTGCAAGCCTAGTCCCAAGCTAGATCTAGATATGTAGTCTAAATTATCTTTTTAATTATTGGATATAACGCTAAATAATTAGATGGTTACATGGTCGTTTTTGCTTCTTGTTTTGGATTTCTTCTAATGAATGTTTGTCCAAGCACTAAATGTTAGTTTGAGAGTGTTTAGACATACGTAAGATTTGTCAATAAAATATGAAAAAGCTTCGACTGTGATCAAAACTTGAAAGTGCCATGTCTCCGGCCTAATGTATGAACAAATAAATGAATATCTTATATAGCTTTATTGGTAAAATCGTAAATAGTCGGCAAGTTTAGGGCTGTTCCGTTTATTCGTAGAGTCTGGACCAATCAAGGCCGAGGCGAAAGACCATGGAGACATCCAAAGACTATGAATATCTTCAAAATATTTAGGGACTTTTGTGAATTTTCTACTAAATTCACTTCATAAGAAAAATTAGTGGATGAAGTAAAATTAGTGTTTAAAAAAGAAATAATTGGCCGAAAAAAAAAAATGGTCTCGCCCATTTATCAATAATATTTTAATTTTCAAAACTTTCCTTTTTCGTTAGAATTATAATTAAAATATGTGATATGACAGAATGCTTGTACTATTTACCCATGATCATGCAAATTCAACATTGACTAGTCCTGTCCAAGTGCAGACCAAGTGCAAAAATATTCAAGATCAGTCTTAACTCCGATTAGTCTTATTGATGTCTCACATCTTAATTAGTTTGAAACTAACTTATGAATTCCCAGCAAAATCAAGCCAAACAAGTCCAACCAGAAAGCAATATACTAGTACATTCTTCCTCTTATTTCTGTTGTCTTGCTTGATTCAGAATTGGAAAATGGTACCTTGATTCAGAATTGGAAAATGGTACCTTTTAGTCCACTAACTTTTACATATTATGTTTATGTGTAGCCATTTGATGATGGCATCCGTATCAACAGAGATTGGACACCTTGAGGGCTTTTAGATGATCCTATTTATCAACTCGAAGGTAATTTAACTATTTTTACACTATAGTCGGAAATTTAATTTTACAATTAACCTAAAACTAACTATATTTACCAATTGCGTGTAGACACATGCGGTTCAGTGGTCTTCACCCGCCTTTTACAGACTTCTTACAACAAAGATAAAGTCATTGCCGAACGTCGAGATTTATCCTACCAAGATGGAGCACATTATATCAAAAACAAAACTGGAAAGAATAAGTTTTTGTTCAGAAACATGAATATTCCTATCAACTATCAAGTATATCAATAGTGATGAACTTCACAAAGATGTGAGTTATTGAATTTAACTATTTATATTTTCTGAACTCCTAATTTAAATTTAACAACATAAATTAAAAGCTCTTTGTGTAGTGAAAAATATCCCACGAGAGAGTTTGTTTATCGACACACAAAGATTTACCAACTTGTTATTCTGAAATCATGCAAAGGGAGATTTACAAATTTATATAATAAAGACGTGCACTTTATTTGTTGATTATACCCTCCATGTGAAGCTATTGAAAATAGTTTTCCTCATAATTCTGGCAAACGATTGGCTAAGATAACGCCATACCTTAAATAGAATTGGTTTTAAGGCTTTGGCATAGGAGATGGTCTGCAGAGGATGGGATGTATCTTGCCGTCCAAAGTAAGCATAGACTTGGCTTGATACTCCACAAGAGGTCCATCCGGCTTCTCCCTCGCCATAAATGTAATGTATGACTTTGATCTCGGTCCTCCGTGAAAATTACCTCTCACAACTTCAACCAACTCCACATTCAAATCCTGGTTCCACAACAAACAATCATGAACGAGTCAGACTTGGATACACATCTAAAACTACCAGTATGGAGGGTGAATGAATATGATTAAACCACTAACCTTGACTTGGTTGTGTTTTTGGAGACAAACATAGACCATCTCTTCCCAGAACTCACGAAAGGTTTTACCATCAAGCGCTTCCTGGTCCAAACTAATTGGGAAGATTCTCTTGTAGTTATAACATAGGCTAAACTCTCGCTCCGCGTAAAATCCCTAACCACACACGTTATACCACAAATTTATCATCTATTCCACTCAATTTCATGAATCAAAGCAAATAGTGAGTTTAATCGATGATCTGGCGTTTGTAGATGTGATAGTGTTTATTAGCTTTTTCCATGTCGGAATAAGGCTGCTCATCGGAGGAAAGTTCCGAATCCGAAGATGAATAATACTCCAAACCTTCGAAGCTGTCCACATCCCATTCAGGCGCCATTAACATATCAAATTTAGCCTCAGGCTCATCCATTTTGGCTTCCTCATCACTGCCTTCTTCATTCTCACCAACGCTCTGTTCCTCCTCCTCCAGGTCGAACTCAGCCTTACGCTTTGTCAGGTAAGAATTGACAACGACCGAAGAAACATCATCCATGGGTTCTGCCGCCTCCTTAAACTTGCTCGAATCTCTTTCTGTCGTCGTCTCGGCTACGCATTGTTTGAGAACCATGATGATCGATGATCTATGATCTAGTGAGCCCTAGAACCCTCTCTGTTTCAAGCCCATTGGGAAAGTGAAAACAAAATTCTATATTTTACCTTCTGCCCAGGAAACGTAAAGGAGTGATGAATTTCATGGGCCCATATCCTTAAAATATAGAATTTTGTAATAATTAACTCTATAAAATATTCGGCTTAGCCAAAATCTAGGGTTTCTCTTTTATTTCAATCATGGCTTCGGGATCAAGCAAGACAAATGCCCAAACGGCGCAAATCGCTTCCACGGCGGCGGAGCCCATAGAGACAACCACTGACGAATCCACCGTCTCTTCATCTCTGAACAAGGACAGATCCGACTCCGAAACAAAGGAAGATGATTATTCCTCCGACGGGAATGAATACTCTGCCGAGAGCGACGAAGAAGAAGAAGGAGAAGACTACGAAAGCAACGGAGAAGAAGAAGAAGATGAAGATGATTGCGAAAGCAACGAAGAAGAAGATGATGATAACGAAAGCAACGATAAGGAAAGGGACGGAGAAGACGATGAAGATAGTATAGTGGACGACGGAGATTCAACAAGCGATCAACCAGAATGGGGAGTGGATGACTTCGATGATATATATAGCGATTTCTATTCACCTGATGAAGACTGTTATACCGACGAAGAAGATGAGCGTAAAAAACGTCTTTATCGTCGAAATCTCCACTTTAGCCATGTTCGTATATACATGATTCGCAATTTAGTTTTGTCTTTTTTTCTAAATCAAATGATATTTAACTTATGGTGATATTTGTTTATTTGGAGGTTTAGGGTTTTCTGGTGGAAAAAGGAATTCGTCCACGTTCAGTATGGAGTGGCGCAATCTTACTTGAACCTCTGGACAGTGAACATTCTCCGGTTAAAGGAAGGACACAGCTTCAATATGCACAAGACATGGTCAAATTGTCTCTTCGCAAATACAATGCCTTAAACGTAATTTTTGATTTTAACATTGTTTTGTTGGTTTAAGATGTGTGAATTGGCCTTATATCAATTGTTTTTTTTTTTCTTTGGGTGTGTTTTCAGGAAACCAATGTGACATTGGATCATATTGTACGAGTGACAGGGTCTTTCACTGGTAGGTGGGTTTCGTATATCACTTTCATGGCGAAAGAGTCTGAGGATGATGATACGCTTGTGGAGTATCAAGCCAAGGTTGTGAAGAAATTAAGATGCAAGACTTATCCTATGTTTTGCAGGCCTAGTCCCAAGCTAGATCCAGATATGTAGTCTAAATTATCTTTTGCTTTGTTTATGGCTAACTGCCTAACTTCATGATTATATAGTCTTTTTTCTTGCTTTTCTTTTGGATTTCTTCAAATGGATCTTGGTCCAAGCTACTGAAAAATGTATTGTAATGCGAAATACATCAACCTAATGATGTTAAAAAGAAGTGCAACATGCATTCCAAAATCATAATCTTCTCTTTATCAGCTCCATAGTTCTTCTTTATTCCGAGAATCATGCACAGGGAGATTTACATAATCAATAAGTAACGATATGCACTTTATTTGTTGCCTATACCCTACATGTAAAAGCTCGGCCGAAACATGTATATGATCACGCACAGTTTCAAACCAAAAGCACCAATGACATAGATATCTAAACACTTTTGCGCCTGGACAAAAGCAAATCACTCCTCTTTGTTCGATGATCCAGGTAAATCCAAAATCAATCACCCCTCTCTGTTCCGAGCCAATTGGGAAAGTGAACACTAAAACTTCACTTAAATCCTGTAATTACCTTCTGCCCAAGGAACGTGTGATATGTCATATGTATATATTAATTAAGCAAGAGACTAAATGGCCTAATACATATGAGAGAGAGACTATATTGTCAAGAGATTCCAAAAGCAACTATAATATATAAATATATATACCTAATCACGTTTTGAGTCTCGGCAAATCAACCCAAAACTAGCTAAAAGGCTTTGGTTTAAAAACCGGTCTACAGAGGATAGGGTGGCTCTTTCCGTCAAGAGTATCCATACATTTAGCTTGATACTCCACAAGAGGTCCATTCGGCTTCTCCCTGGCCATAAATGTAATGTATGACTTGGCTCTTGCTCCACCTCGATAATTGCCTCTCACAACTTCAACCAACTCCACCTTACGTACCTTCAACCACAATAAACAACATTCAGACTTAGCTATACTCATCATACAAACAACAAACAACAAGTATGGAGGGTGAAAGACAGGTTTATTAAAACAAAAAGAAGAGGAAGAAGAGAGAACTAGCCTTATCTTGGTTGTGTTTTCGGAGACATATATGTACCATCTCTTCCCAGTACTCACGAAAGGTTATTGCCCCAATCGCATTACGGTCCAAACTCATTGGTTTGATTCCTTTGAAGAGATAAATTAGTCTTCTCTCTGGCTCCACGTAAAATCCCTAATCACAGACATTGTTGAGAACTTAGTATCGTTCTTATAATCAATCACCATCTCAATTTCATGGAATTATAGCTCACATTCAAAAACAAAAAAATGTGATGGTACCTTGCTCTCGATCAGCTGGCGTTTAACGATGCGATAGTTTTCTAAAGCCTCCTCCTCGTCCGATAAAGGTTGCTCGTCAGAGGAAAGTTGAGCCTCCGGAGAGGAATAATACTCTAAACCATCGAAGCTGTCCACATCCCATTCAGGCGCCATTATGATATCATCATCATCATCACGCTCCTCATCAATATTATCATTCCCTTCTTCTTCAATCTCAAACTTGCTCGAATTTACTTTTATCGTCGTCTCCACTTCGCATGGTTTGAGAACCATGATGATCTCGTAAACCCTAGAACTCCCAAGTTAATTGGGGAAAGTGAAAAATAAAAATATGGTTTGGCTACGGTTACGAAATATGTAATTATCCCAAATTATTTTTTTTCTCTGGTTTTTAATCAAATTTGGGATAGTTACATAATTCTTTGGTTTAAATTGGTTTTATCCTTAATTTTTTATGGAGTTTTATTTATTTGGTTAAATTATTTATGATATTATTTTTTCTAATAGTCGTAATTGGGAGACCTAAAAAAGAGCACGGAATTTAGGAAATTGGTGTAATCTTTGCCTTTGTAAAATAAATTTGTGGTTATTGACACGATTTGAGCCTTAAGTTTAGGTACTTACACATATTATTGTAAGTATTCTTGTCCAAACTAACACAACTCACAACGTGAACATGAGGAACGATATTCACAATGACATAAATGCCAAGATGAGATATGAAACGTATGAAGTGTGAACCAAAAAAGAGAGGAATGGGGGAGTAAGGTTTCCAATGTATTTCTTTATTTTTGTCTTTAAAATAAAAGAATTTTATAATAGAAGTAATTTTTAATTTAATGTATATTTTTCCCCTAAAAAATATTCTAAGTAAATTCTATATTTATCTAAGTATTAATAATACCTTTATTTATAAATTTGCAAATTATCCACTCACTTTAACTTTTACATAACTTTCATAAAATTATGATATTCTTTCAATCAAACATTTATTATAAAAAAAAAACACATTTCATCATATAAAAATAATAAACATAATAGATTTTGTTTAACTATCGTCATTAATGTATTTTTCCCCAAATGATATTAATTTTATTTATTTTAATCATAAATAAAAAGTGTTAAAAGTTAAAAGACCATTTGGCAAATAAAAAAGTTCAACTCTACCATAGAGAGAGGATGAAATAAAGTTCTTCTATATATAGAGCAAAAAATAGCAATCTTTATTTTAGATATGAAAATAGAAGTGAGTTCGAGTAGATTTTACTCTAAAATAGAGTTTAGTGGAGATAAAAATAAAAGTGAATTGGAGATGCTCTAACCCACCTCTATGTTTGCCTCTAAACTCTATTTTAAAGTAAAATCTACTCTAACACACCTCTATTTTCACTTCTATGAGCATCTCCAATGTATACCTCTATTTTTTCTCTATTTTAGAAGCAACTATATGTTAGAGTTGATTTTGCTCCAATGTATGTCTCTAAAATTGAGTTATTTCTATAACAGAAGAAAAAATAGAGACGTATATTGGATTACTCTATTTTAGAAATAACTATATTTTAGAGGTATACATTGGAGCAAAATAAACTCTAAAATAGAGTTGTATCTAAAATAGAGAAAAAATAGAGGTGGACATTGGAGATGGTCTAAAATAAAGATTTCTATTTTTTGCTCTATATATAGAATAACTCTATTTCTTCCTCTATAATAGATAAACTTTTTTATTTGAAAAGTAGTCATTTAACTTTTATCTTTTTTTATTTAGTTATGATTAAAATAAATAAAATAAGATTTTGGGTTGCTTTTAGAGGTTTTGGTATAAATATCTATTCTAAAATTTGAGACTACTATTTTCAAAAAAGAAATTAGATAAAGTCTTATAAATATAGAAATTATATATATTATGAAAATTTTGTAAAAAATAAAGTAAATGGGTTCATTTGCAAATGATCTATATATATAATGTATTAATACTAAAATAAAAATAGAATTTATTTGAAATATTATTTTAGAAGAAAATATAGAATAATATATTAAAGTAAAAACTAGCTCTGTTATAGAGTTCCTCTATTTTATTTTAGAGACAATAATAAAGATATACTCCCTCCGTCCCACAAAGATAGATTTTTTAGAAATTTCACATTCTTTAAGAAGTAATGTATAATGACAATTTTAACCTTTTAACTTTTTAACACATTTTAAAGAGTATATTTTTTATTGTTGTTTAATAAGGGTAAAATAGGTAAACTGTTTTAAATTTGACATTGGAAACATAAAACTTCTATCTTTGTGGGACAAATTTTTTTTCTAAAAAATTCATCTTTATGGGACGGAGGGAGTATATTAGAGATATAATTATTAACAAAACATAAGGGCATTTTTGTTATTTTACGCTTTTAGTAGTAACTTTTCCAATCGCATCGCCAATTTACCCTGCCGCTGCGATCAAAAATTTTAGTCGCGGATCGCCGCGATCGATCGCAGCGTTTAGTCGCAGGAACCTTTGAATAGATAAGTTAGCCTTCTCCATGGCTCCACGTAAAATCCTTAACCACATCTCAATCTCATAGAATTTTAGCTCACATTCAAAACCAAAAAGATTGTACCTTTCTCCCGATCAGCTGACGTTTAACGATGCTATAGTTTTCTAAAGCCTCCTCCTCGTCTATTTTGGCTTTCCCATCTCTGCCTTCCTCGATCTCACCATCGTTTTCTTCCATGGATTCTAACGACGCCTCCAATTTTCTCAAATCTCCTTCTATCTTTCGTCTTGGCTGTGCATGGTACCATGATGTATAATATAATGATCGAGTAAACTAAGCCAATTGAGAAAGTTTAAATATATTATTATTACATCTTTTGGAAAACAGAGAGTGAAGATTGAAAGGGATAATTCATTGAATAAGAAACTATGGCTATATAAAGCCTTACAAAGTAGTACTGAATCAGCTAGAATACAGGAAACAACTCTATCACTACTTCGACTCACACGTTCTCCTATAGACTCGGATCGGACTTAATTGATCCTTGACTCCTAACATCAAGACTAATTCAAATGACACTAACAAATCTGTCCAAGAAACGTGTGATATATTTACACAACTGCCATCCGATTCTTAAAGAGAGATTTTTGTGTTAATCCATTATTTTTCAAAGACTTAAGAAGACTGTCTATGAGTCGGACAATAAGAGCATCCTCATTACACAACTCTACAAAATAATTAAAATGACAAATTTCTAATAATATTAGTTATCAACTCAAGAAATTTTTTTTTTTTTACTTACATCCTAACATCTTGCAATCCATGAAAGTTCTCCATAGAGATTTCCAAAGATGCTGTCTCCAACTTATCATAAATTATTTTAGTCTATCCGTTATCATAAAATATTTCAGTCTATCCCGTTATCTAGTCCTAATAACTCCTAATCTAACGATTTTCTTAAGTCACTTTATCAAACTCAAAATGTATTGATTAGGAATTAAAAGATATATTACATATTTATGAAGTCCAATATCTTAATTAATGTGCTTGATCGGTATATTCATATTTCTGATTCATATTTCTGAATGAAAACTTTATCTTTTTGACTTTGATATGATAAGTCTCTATAGAAAAAATTACAACGATAGACGATGATAGATTATGAGTTTACCTTTATTGAAAAATGCACATAAACATGTGTCTAAAAATTAGTTTGGTCAATATAGTTATTAATGATTTTATATAATATATTTTCGTGTTGATTAATAGGATCAACGATAAACTATAAAGTTGTAAAATGTCTAGAAATTTGGCTGTCAGCTCGAAATAACTTCATATAAACATGAAACGAATATTAGTGGAAGAAATTAAAAACATGCTATGAGATTTGTAAACTTTTTGAAAAATCAGAAACATTGGTAGATATTTTAGAAAAATGAGTCATGGATGATACCTAAATTGATGAGAATTCTTTGATTTTGTTTCCCAAAATTTTAAATTTAGAGTCAAAAACATATCAAAATTGTTAGAAAAAATCAAAAGAAGATGAATTAAAAAAAAAAAAAAAAAAGTGAGAGATGAGAATGAGATTTATGAGACAGAGCACTATATCCCCGGTTAGAACCTTTAAGGAGTCATAACGGTTTGGACTTATATGAAATTACATTCTTTGTACATATATTGAACTAACAACCAAATGTAACAAATTTTACATGTAAAGCTTATCTCTCCCTAACAATTGATGATGATAAATACAGATTATTTACTTGAAATTATAGGACTAGTAAAGAGAAAAAGTTTAAGAAGTTATACCATCTCCAATAATTTATTTCATTTTACGTTTTACAACTGAACTTTTCTTTAAAATGACTATCCTCTCAACATCATGTCTTTATAATTGCATCTATTCATTTATAGTTATGTCTCTTCATTATATTCATTTTGCTATCTAGTATTTATAGGTATATACTTTTTTATCTATATAATTATTTATTTTTTCCTAAATAACTATCAATTTTGGTTATTAGTTAATTTTTTCCGAGGATTGTCTCTCTTTAACATAACTTACTTTAAAATATTGACTATTTTTATCATAATGTTTTGTTGAATATATTTATAATTATTTAAATATTTGAAAAAGTACGTCTACAGCAATTAGAGTGCATAAAAGTCATTCCTCATGGCCTGGAATTTTTCTTCTTCTACTTTATCCTCCTACAATAATCAAACATAAACTAGTTCAGATAAGAAACATGATAACAAACTAAATGATGATGCAAACTTAGGATAAAAATAGGTTACCGATTGGATTTTCCTTGAAACAGGTTACTCCAAAGAACAGTAGACGGTGTTGAGCTTACAAGCTCCACAAAGATTTCATTGTTATGCCTCAGGATGACATAAAAACTGTTGGCTCTCAGCATGTCGACACCACAAACGAAATCGACGTCGCTTGTGGCTACCAGAGCATTTGCAGGTTCTTCGTAGTCATGTAAATGGTCAAAAGCCCAAGTGATCATCTGTGCAAGCATTGCCTTATCCCCCACTGTCTTTAACGCCTCTATGTGCTGGAAGACATATAAACAACAACTGATCAATATTTAAAGCCAAACAGAAACTACTACAATTGACAATTGAAAAATGATGAGTTTTATACCGCTTACTATAATTTTTACAGTTACGTCTTTATAATTGCATCTATTTATTTATAGTTACGTCTCTTCATTATATTGATTTTTGCTATCTAGTATTTATAGGTATATATTTAGTTATCTATACTATTATTTATTTTTTTCCTAAATAACTATCAATTTTTGTTATTAGTTAATTTTTTCCGAGGATTGTCTCTCTTTAACATTACTTAATTTAAAATATTACATATTTTTATCATAATGTTTTGTTGAATATATTTATATAGTTATATTTTTAATTATTTAAAATATTAAAAAGTACATCTACTCATTATAGTTCTTTGTTTAATATTTTTTGTTTATGATCACATGTTTTCACCATAATATTTTCTCTTCTTCTTCCTCCTCCTCCAAGGCGCCTTTTCGACCAAAACTCTTCGACTTTCCACCGTTTCTGGCCGGCGCCGGCCTCTCCGGCGTCGGTCAGCCTTTCCCCTTTCTGTATAGTTTTTCAATTCCTTCTCGTTGCATAGACCTAGGCATAAACTTTTACTCTCGATGGGAACTTTTAAGGCTAATTTTCAAATTTTTGAAAACTGTCTTAAAATCCATGGAGAGAGTCTCGTTCCGACCGTTTTCCGGCGACTACTCCGGCCAATTCGTGTCGGTTTCCTTCCGTTGGAGAAGACTCCTGGCGGTTTCCGGTTTCAAGTGAAGTTTAAAATCCGATTTCCAAAACCGCCGTGGAATCTCTTCTACATAAACACCCTCATTTTTACTGTATTTTCATGTCTAAATCAAGTCACTAAGATGAGCGACAATCTCTGGCATCGTTTACAAAACATAACACTCGGTTTTATCTTCTTTTCCTCTGTCTTACGAGATCTGGTTGGGCAATTCTGGGGTTATTCTCTAATTGGACAAACTAATTCCTTAACCCATGGAGATCCGAACTCTGATCGTGGAAGATACATGTTGTCAGGCAACATCTTTTGGTATCGACAACGTCATTTTTGGCGGCGATTGGAGGACGATTCAGACACAGATACGGGATCTTCTCTTTCCCGTGGTTTTAAAGTTTAATTTTGAAATAGGAAAAATTATGTTCAACCAATCTGGGCTATTACGCTTATTAGTCCTGGATAATGCCGATAGTGAAGAACTTGTTAAGATGGGTGCTATAATTGATCTGATTGTGACTTTGGGATTTATATGGAGAATAATCAGTTGGCGTTTTGATATGTTTGGCATTTTCTCAAGTGGATTTCAGATTCAGAGAAACAAGAAAAGTTGGGATTTACTCACGGTGAGACAAGTGCCACGGGGTCTTCGTGAGAGGTTCATATGTGGAGATTTACATCAAAGTACTGGATTCAAAGCTTTGAAGATATGTCTACTAAACGGGCAGATGAGGATTTTGGAAAGTTCAATAGTAACGAAAAAGGAAACCATGGTCATTAACGAGCAAAGATGCATCCGGCGTTTCAAAACACATGGTCAAGAACCATTTCAAACAACATATCATAATTTTCTTTCAATTAAAGTGATGCGGAAAGCATTTAGGAGTTTCATCTATATGATGATAGCCTGTTACGAGTGTATGAAGAGGGGACTTAACAGATTTTTTCTGTTGCCTGTAAGGCTTTTGCTGGAAAGCAGGGTTACTTCCACTTCTTCATCGAAATTGGGTTTCAATTTCCTTTATTTGTTTCAATGGTTGTATTTGAATGGTTTCATGTATCATGTATCATGTAAAACTTTTATGGAATAATATATTTGATTTGCCGAAAAAAAAAAAATAATATAAATCTTAGTAACTGTTTCTGAGGGTTAGTCTCTTTATCGTAATTTTTCGTAAAATATATCTTGATTTATTGTTAATTTTTTTTTTTTTTTAAGTTAGCTCAATTCATTATGAATTTTCGTTTGGTATATTTTTTTCTAAAGATTTTTGAAATCATTTCCCCCGCGATATCGCGGGAAGTCTGATTCCTAGTCTTAATAGAAACGAAAAATGCTCTTATTAATATTAGTAAAAATTGTGGACACATGATAACCAAACAAAACAGAGGGAAATTATTAAAAACATAAGTTGAAATGTTGAATCCACTATAGATCATTAGAAACTCTATAATCTGACTTTATATAATAGTGCCCTTCGCCAAGTCTATCCTTATAGGTCCCCCAATCCTAGGTCACAAAAAGAAACAGAATGAAACAAGTAAGCGAGTAAGCGAGCCATACCGATAACCAATTCGTTATTCTGAAATCATGCATGACCCCAATGCTTGGCCAAGACATTTTGTTGTGATGGGTCATTCTATTTTTTTTTTCTCATATCGTCATACATCTATATATACATGACAAGCACCGTATAATATTGCATAAGGCAAAAAGAATCTCGTTTCTGTAAACATGTTTGAGCCTAGACAGAGCAAATCAGAAATTGGCTAAGAGCAATCCCTTCCTTAAACAAGTTTGGGTTTTAAGGCTTTGGTGTAGGAGCCGGTCTACAGAGGATGGGATGCCTCTTTCTGTCTAAAGTAACCATACACTTGGCTTGATACTCCACAAGAGGTCCATCTGGTTTCTCCCTAGCCATAAATGTAATGTATGACTTTGATCTCGGTCCTGCGCGATAATAACCTCTCACAACTTCAACCAACTCCACATTCGAATCCTAGAGCCACAAAAAAAAATGTTAATGCCAAGCTGAACACTTTTCAGGGTTGAAAATTCCCAAACCCTAGCCAGAACACTACTTGTAAGAAGCTTGTAAATCCTGTCAACCTAACCATTGCTACTGTTAACACCCAAAGATAACCTAAGAGACTGATTCCAAACTAACCTTGCCTTGGTTGAGTTTTCGGAGACAAACATACACCATCTCTTCCCAGTACGCGCGAAAGTCTTTATCTGTAAGTGCTTCCCACTCCAAGCCCATTGGTTTTATTCCTCTGTAATGATCAAAGGGCCTAAGCGCTGGATCCCCGTAAAATCCCTAACCACAAACACACACACACACACGTTGTACAGGAAATCAGCATTTATTAAACCACAAAGTTTCATGAATTTAGCTTCAAAGAACTAGGACGTACCTTGCTCTCGATCATCTGGTGTTTAAAGAGGCGATAGTGTTGTATAGCTTCCTCGGAGAAAGGTTCATCCTCGGAGGAAAATAATACCTCCGGAGAGGAATAATACTCTAAACCATCGAAGCTGTCCACATCCCATTCAGGCACCTTTAAGTAATCTATTCCTCCAGCCTTACACTCCTCAATTTTGGCTTTCCCTAATTCTTCAATCTCACCATCGCTCTCTTCCTCCTCCTCCGGGTCGAACTCAGCCTTACGCTTTGTCAGGCACGAACTGACAACCACTGAAGAAGATGCTTCCATGGAATCTTCTATCGTCGTCTCGTTTGGGCATTGATTGAGAAGCATGACGATCGAGCAAACCCTAAATCCCTCTCTGTTCCGAGCCAATTGCGAAAGTGATATCCCAAAATCTTGCCATTCTTTAGAACTAAGGATGGTATTTAAATTAGATTTTAAATCCTGTAATTACCCAATCGCCCCTCGAATTTTATTTGGATTTTGTAGAATTAACTTTTATTTTTTTTCCTGGTCAAACTAGATAAAATATTATTCCATATCAATGGAGAAAATAATTCAACAAATACAATGGCTAAAGAAAGCCTCTGGCCCTCTGCTACAAATGCTAAGCGGGAAACATGAAAGAAACATATAGAAGCTTGCACAACACTTGAGCAACTAAAGTTGTTGTGCTAAAACGTGAGACGAGGAATTGAAAATCAGAAAGCACACTAGGTGTTCTACTTCTCGAAAATGCTGCATCCAGAGACTCAGCTACAAAACACCGACTTATTAAGCCTGAAAGCTATGAGGAAATCCTCAGTTTCGGAGAGGGTGTGGAGTTGCGAAAACCACCACTTCTCAATGAACCAGTGCATCCTGTCTAATAATACCCAAAATTGTTTTTTTGTTAAGACTATCCTGTCTTTTCTGTAAACCAGTGAATTCGAGATCAAAAGAGTCATACGAATTGAACTTGGCAGAAGATTTCAAATAACAACCTCATATTAAGGTAAGAGAAGCTTAGCTTAATCGAAAATTTGAAATCATCACATCTCAAACAGAGGGAACTGATATATAATATAGGGCAGGTTCAAATGAATACGATTAGTTCAAGGATATTACAACATATTAGAGAGACAATACCTTCCCGAGGAATGATAAAAAGACGGGAGGGGCGTGGAGTAGAGAACCAAAGCTCCTAGGCGACCTGATAGGTTTGATACCATTAACTGCACACAGCAGTAAAAATTCGCAAGGAAGCGAAAGAAGTGCTACTGGAGGGCACAAAAGGAAACGAAGCAACAACCAAATCTAGAAGGCTGAAAGCTTGAACAAGAGGAAACGAAACAACCTTCTTTCCCTCAACTTTGCTGATGTGTTCAGATCTAGATCTGAAACATATCTTTGATATTGGTCAAGTCCTGGGAACCAAACATACGCAAAGAAATTTATTTGGTACTATGCTAAAGTGTTACATCCAGGAGATTAGATCATTAAAAAATATACCAATAATCTGACTTCACATGAAATGCCCTAGTCGTCTGAGTCCCATTTCCAGTCAAAACAGAACAGAGAGAATAACAATGTCTACTAGTAAAAGACGTGTATGCAGTCTGTCCTCCATGTGAATGAATGCTGGGCCAAGACATGTATTGAGATGGGTCTTTTTCTCATCTTACTGCGAAACAAGAGACTAACTGGTCAAATACTGTACTTAAGAGACACCATATCTCTAACAGATTATGCCGAAAGCAACTATGATATATAGATATATCTAATCCCGTTTGAATCACATAGCAATCTAAAACTGGCTAAAAGCGAACCGGTCTACAGAGGATGGGATGCCTCTTTCTGTCTAAAGTAACCATACACTTGGCTTGATACTCCACAAGAAGTCCATCCGGCTTCTCCCTTGCCATAAATGTAATATATGACTTTGATCTCGGTCCTGGGCGATAATAACCTCTCACAACTTCAAAGAACTCCACATTCGAATCCTAGAACCACAAAAAAAAAATGTTAATGATGCCAAGCTTTGGTTGAACACTTTTCAAGGTTGAAAATTCCCAAACCACTACATGTAAGAAGCTAGTAAATCATGTCAACCTAACCATTGCTACTGTTAACACCAAAAGATAACCTTTTCTTGGTTGAGTTTCTGCAGACAAACATATACCATCTCTTCCCAGAACTGGCGGAAGTTTTTATCCGTAAGTGCTTCCAACTCCAAGTTCATTGGACATATTCCTTTGTAATGATAATATGGCCTAAGCTCAGGATCCGTGTAAAATCCCTAACCACACACACACGTTGTACTTAAGAAATCACCATCTATTAATCCACTAAGTTTCATGAATTTAGCTCAAAAAAATTAAAAGCACTAGGACGTACCATGCTCTCGATCATCTGGCGTTTAAAGATGCGATAGTGTTCTAAACCTTCCTCGGGTAAAGGTTCCTCATCGGAGGAAAGTATCGCCTCTGGAGAAGAATAATACTCTAAACCATTGAAGCTGTCCACATCTGATAGGTTCAAAGGCCATGAATACCTCAACGTGTGTTGTTTATAATTTAGTGGGATTATGGGCTAAAGTGTGGGTAAGTGTTTCCTATTATTTAGGTGTCAGTTATTGTTTGAGTATGTCTATTTAAGTTGTTTACGTTTGTGTAACTTGGTATGAAGAAAAAATTGTCTTAAGTTACTTGTGTTCTGTTCTTATTTTTATTGTCTTGATCAACACTTGATTATCCTATAACTGGGACCTATCAAGTGGTATCAGAGCGGTTCTTTCATTCCTTTGATTCGGACCACTTCGCGTGGTGTATCAAAGTATGGGAAGCAACAGGGAGGGAACTGATGATTTGGAGACCAGTCTCCGAGAAGTGCAAGATGAGCTCTTTCGTAAAATGCAGGATGAATTCAAGAAGATGCAGGTCGATATGATGAAGGAGATCCAGAAGGTGAAGTTCGAGATGATGGACGGATTAAAGAGTCTTCAAAAGACCTTGAATCGTATGGTGGATATAACAAGATGTCTCAAAGCTGATTGTGAAAGAGCTAGAAGCCAAGACTTGAGAGTCGACACGGTCACGAATTTGCAGGTTCTGTTAGAATCTCAAGAATTGGTGAAGTTACCACTCAAAAGATCAGCAGGTTCACCACCAAAACGTCGTCAAGCTCAAACAGTTCCGAATAGACGCCGACATCATACTGCTCGGACCAGAAAACGACACAGATACGGAAGGAAGGGTAAGATGACACGAACATGGAAAAAAATGAAGAAAGTGTCACGCGCAGAGATGAGAAAAAAGCAACAAGGGAAGAAGCCCATGACTGAAGTGTTGGCGTGTCGGCAACGACTTCCATCGTCAGAAGCAACTTGGAAAGATGAGAAAGCCTTTCTAAGAACCTTGAGGACAAGGTTCATGTTGAATGGGGGAGTATTGATAGGTTCAAAGGCCATGAATACCTCAACGTGTGTTGTTTATAATTTAGTGGGATTATGGGCTAAAGTGTGGGTAAGTGTTTCCTATTATTTAGGTGTCAGTTATTGTTTGAGTATGTCTATTTAAGTTGTTTACGTTTGTGTAACTTGGTATGAAGAAAAAATTGTCTTAAGTTACTTGTGTTCTGTTCTTATTTTTATTGTCTTGATCAACACTTGATTATCCTATAACTGGGACCTATCAACATCCCATTCAGGCACCTTTAAGTAATAATCTGTTTCAGCCTTTGACTCCTCAATTTTGGCTTTCGGATCACTGGGTTCTTCATTCTCGCCATCGCTCTCTTCCTCCTCATCCTCCTCCGGGTCGAACTCTGCCTTACGCTTTGTCGGGTACGAATTGACAACCATTGATGAAGATGCTTCCATGGAATCTTCTATCGTCGTCTCGGCTCCGCATTGATTGAGAACCATGATGATCGCAAACCCTAAATCCCTCTCTGTTCCGAGCCAATTGCGAAAGTGATCCCAGAAGATTTTCTACGATGGTATTTATATTTAGATTACAATTTAAATTACGTAATTACCTTCTGCCCAGAAAAATTTTGTGATATTTACGCAATTGCCATCCCAATTGTTACTTTTTTTACTTTTTTTTACAAGGCTTTGGCATAGGAGATGGTCTACAGAGGATGGGATGCATCTTGCCGTCCAAAGTAAGCATAGACTTGGCTTGATACTCCACAAGAGGTCTATCTGGCTTCTCCCTCGCCATAAATGTAATGTATGAATTTGATCTCGGTCCTCCGTGAAAATTACCCCTCACAACTTCAACCAACTCCACATTACACTCCTTGAACAACAAAAAATTAACAATCATAAATAATTCAGATTGTATATTTATATATCTACATGTGTGGACGGTGAATGACAGATTAAACAAACCCAAAAGAGAGAGAGAGAACTAACCTTGACTTGGTTGTATTTTTGGAGACAAGCATACACCATCTCTTCCTAATACTTGCCAAAGGTTTTATCCGTAAGCGCTTCCCACTCCAAACTCATTGAGTAGATTTTTCTGTAATTATAACATAGGTTTAACTCTGGCTCCGCGTAAAATCCCTAACCACACACGTTTATACCACAAATCACAATCTATTCAAAAATCTAGTTCACAATCAAAGCAAAACAGTGGGTTTACCCTAAAACTTAAAACTTAGTGTCAAATTTCTGTTCTAATGGCAAAAAGATTCAAGCATTTTCATGATTACAGAGTGTTCTTAGAATCTATACTAAATAAAAACGGCTAAATGCCAAAGTCACAATCTTGTTTTTGTCTTGAAATGAAAAAAGTAACAGTTTTACAATGATGAGAATTGAGAAGCGTAGCTAATTACAACACAACAAGGCACCACAAATCTTTGATCTTCAAAATTCAGCATTTACAGAAACATGAAAAAAGTGTTCTTTCTCTTAACCATTTAGTAGACATAAGGGAAAATGGCATGGCGATTAGCCGGATAATTCTCAAACTTCCGGAGATACCAACGGTGCGTTTCTCCAGCGGCATATGTCAGATTAGCAGCCTACCCAAAAAAAACATAAAAAGACGTAAATACAATTTCTCATAATCCAAACAAAGCAATCGATTTGTGATCATGCAAACAAGAGAGTCGTACCACGAAACCAAAGAGTAACCAGATGGTTATATCTGTTCCTCCACTCGCAATCAGTAAACCCGCATATAAACCCTAAATTTCAGAGCATCATATCATTAGAGAAGAGTTATAAAAAAAAGAAAGTTAAGATGTCTAAGAGGGAGGATTTATTACGATTTCTGCCAGGAAATGCGGACAAGAGACCACCCCAAACCAATCTCCATACGGAATTATGTACTCTTTCGCTTGACTCCGATTTTCCCGGAGCGATCCCTGAAATAACGTTTTGTATTTCACAGGATCAAAAACAGAAACAATGAGCAAAAACTAACTGTTAAACTTACAAGAATGGCATGACAGCGGCGTTGATGTATCCATCCCCAGAGAAAAATGGCTCCACCAATCCACTGGAGTGATCCAAGCTTCATCAAAGGACTTATAGATGATAACAAATTAAATTCAGGTGCCGCAGTATGGCTTTTCCCATTAGCAATGAACTCAGCCGCTTGATTTCCGGCAAATCTTGCTACCTCTGGAGCAATATTGGAGCAAAGTGACAAAGGCGCTGTTACATAGAAACTAAAAACAAAAATTAAAGCCAAACAAAAAGACAATCAAACTATAAGATAAGGATTTTTTAAGATACTTACAACAATCCTGCGAAATAACCGAGAATGTGCATCCGAGCGGAAGGGCTATATTTGAATACATAAAATGACTCTATAAGCCGTCTCAAGACATGGATTTCCATCAGAAGAAGAAGAAACACCGCTCGCCACACTTTAAACCGATGCTCAACAGGAGTCATATGAGATTTATAAAAGGAGAAAACATGGGAACCTCCGGCTAAACGGCTTGCAATGTCGGATAACTGGAACTCCTCAGAAGATAAAGGCGCCATTTTGCAAGCATACATCCAAGTTGCAGCAAGCAGGAGAGTCGTCCACACCACTCCAATAACATAAAAGTGAGCAAAGCATTTCTGAGGAATTGTAAACTTCTGCATAGAGAATTACACATCTGAGTTACTAAAACAAAGTTTAAGCCTTTTCCACATTCAACAATCAAAAACACAACAGTTCTGAAATTGAAACCGGAGATTCAAACTAAAAGTAGTATGCTTTCTCATTTTCAATAGGATTTACAACAAAAATGATGATATAACATCTGATTACAAGAACAAAGTTCAAACCTTTTTCACATCATCCAGATATTCAAAATTAAAATTTTCACAGAAACTTGGCAAAGTTACAAACTTTAGACGAATACCTGAGAAGACGGGTGAAGAATCTTGCCTCTCCCAGCGAAACTCAAAACGAGTTCACGAAAAGAGTTAAGCTTTGAACTGGGTATCGAAGCAATCACCAAAGGAAGTATCGAGACGATCCAAACGGTGATCCAAGCGGCTCTAACCAACCACACAATCTCTAATTCCATAACTTTTGTTTTCTACTCTCTGAATCACAAATAGATAGGGTTTAATCAATTTGAATAAAAGATTTCAAATCGGAGAAGAAAAGTAGTTTGCCGGAGACAGACGCAAAACCATATGCAAATTGGAGAAATTTGATTGAGAGAAGCAATGAATTTGCAACGGGGAAGTAAAGATTTCTTACTATTTTCTTCAGTTTTCGTGCGAGGGAAAACCAGTTGTGAAGTCAGTGTTGTTCTTTTGAGACAATGCTTGTGAATTGTGATAATCTCGAATTAAAACTCAATGAGTCAATGTTTAAATGTTAATTACGTATGTAATTAGGGATAAGATTAAAAACGTGTTAACACAAAAAGATGGATTTAAAAACTACGCCACAAAACACTCGATCATTTTTTTAGCAACCACCACATGTCCACATGTATTACTAACAACATAAATTCATGGGCCTCACTAAAATTTTTAATAAGCCCAATAAAAAATGCGTAGGTGTATAAAATTGAGGATTAAAGTTGAACTCGAATTCGACAAAAAAAAAAAAAAAAGGTTGAACTCGAATTTTAAAAAAAGAGAGATCCCGAGAAAAACATTTGTCAGCAAATCAACAAGAACAGCTTCACCAAAAAAAAAAAATCAACAAAAACAGAATTTTTTTCTAGAAAAGCTTAAAAATATGTCCAAGAAAATTAAAATAATTTATCTTTTTAAGCATGCTATATATATGTAGTTTCTTGAAAGAAATGCCTAACAAAAGGACATTAAATGAGGATATAATAAATTTTATATAACAAAATATTAAAGAATTAAAAGAAATTAGTGTTTGCAAATTAAACAGAAGAAAATATGATAGAATTAAATATTAGGAAAAAAGAACAAATCTCATATGTAAAAGAACTTTCAATCCTTCCTACCAAAAAAAAAAAGAACTTTCAATCCTTGTGATGCAACCACATGTCATTTATAACTTATGGAAAAAAATCTTCTTATCTCAAAGTTTTAATTATTATTTTTATTAATACTTTCACTCATAAGCCACCCCATACAATAAATATGTTTGTTCTTCAACTCTCATTTACCACCATTACTCATCAGTCATCACCTCTCTATCAAGCACACATATTCTTTCTTTACCTTATATAGAAATGGCCTCTTATGAATCACAAAGAGATGTTGTTGAATTGGCAACCCTTGAACAAACGAAAAAACATGTGGAGGAATTAGAGGAGGTTCTTAAGAAATTTGAACAAACTTATTTGGAAAAGGAAAAAGTCGCAGATGATACGCTTTTGAGTGACGAAGAAATGGAAAAGTTAAGTCAGATGATGAACGTTGTGAAAGTTCTGAACAATTGTTCGACAAAGATAGGACAATCATTGCCGCTAAAAGAAGGAGAAAGAGAATTAATTGAAGTTGATTTGAATAATATGCCTTAATTAGATGTTGAATCATCATCATTATAACAATAACAATAACGATAATGATGTCATATGTTGGTTCTTCTTTGTTTATTGATTGCCAGATATTTGTCCGACTTTATAACCGAGCATATAAATAAAATAAACAGTAAATAATAATATTACTTTAATTTATCCAAATAAGTTCTATAGAAACCTTCAAATTTCCGTCGACACCATGGCATGATGTAAGTGTAAACATTTTCAGAAAGATTTTAGCTTTTGGTTAGTTTGGTTAAATCACAGGGAAGTTAACACTTAACATGTTTTTGATTTAAGTTATTTACTTTAAATTTGGTCAGTGTTTCTTAAAATATTTGGTAATTTACTAGTATCATATATAAATGAAAAGGTTTGTAGATTTTTATATATATATATTTTCCCAATTAAAGTTTTTAGTTAATGAGTTAGTAATTTTTTTTTTATCAAGATAGTTACTTATAAAAATGAGTATCAGTCTGTGAAATCCACTAGTTCAATGTTGAAATGTAACACCTCTATCGAGAAGAATTTGAGTAAGAAAGAGAAGTTGTGCTACCCATTAAATTAAAATGATATTACTCACGAAACATGCCTCTTCAACTTATAGTTAATGTAGTTTTCTTTTTTTTTGCCGTCTATATTTATTATTAATTGCAAATTATGAGAACTGTTACATAGACGATTCTACAACTGACAATTCATTCCGACCCTTATTAGATCTACGACAGACTACACTTCCTTCTTCATAATCTTGATGAATACCTTCTCTGCGTAGAATTCTGGCGAACGGCTATAATTGTACATCGCTGGAGATCTCCTGCACACTTGCCTCTATTAATCTACAAATTTTGTTAATAAATCGTAATATCTGGGACTCGAACCCCAGACCTCTTGATGTAGAAGCATCAATCAACCTTTGGTCAACCAATGGGGCAAGGGGGCTTCCACTAGTTAATGTAGTTTAAGCTAATAAAATAACAATCGGGTAACTTAATATATGTAAATGACTTCATGTTTTCAATGGTTTGTTGATCCACAAACTTAATATATGTAAATCAATTTGTTCATGTGTTGAAATTGTGTGGCAATCCACAAATGGTTGACAAATTATGATTTTCAATATCTCAAGTGAGAAGTTGTGTGATGATCCATTTTAGATATTTTTAAAAGCTGTCATCAAGAAAATTATCTAACCACCACAAAAAAAGAAAATTTTGAGCCACTTCATCATGAACTTCTTCATTCTACTAACAATTGGTTTTCTAAATCAACTTTACATTTACATTCGGGAGTGACTGAAGATAAGAGAGAACACATAAAAAAAAATGTCAAAAATAGATCAAAATTCCCTAAATAATATAAAAAATCAAGAACCCTAATTTGAATCAAAATCTTTTCTAATAAGCAGAAAATAAGCTAAAACAGCACAAAAAGCAGCAACAAGATTGCCTTCTTTCAAAAGAACCTTAAACACAAATCCAACAACTTCTCTCGTAATCTTCTTTCCTTCAACCACTAAAACTCTTCTTGATTTCCCAAAGAAAGCAAGCAACACCACCACCGATATCCAAATCACCATCACCGCCGGAACCGCCACCGTCGTCGCAGCCACCATCGACATAGCTCCAAACATCGCACCGAGCACCACCGACGCGTATACCGCCGGCAATCGAGACGGAGATGGAGACGGAGAAGAATCTGAAGATGATGACGTGTATTGGAGCTTGTACCAGTTAAGAACTGATCTCAGGAGGTTCCATGAAGAAGATAAGAGAATTGCGTAGACAGCGATGAAGAGACAAACCCATGTCCTTCTTTTACTCATGATTTTGATGAAGATAAGATACGATCTTGGAGATTCTGTGTGATCTGCCATTGGAAATATTGGAAGTTGTTTGCTTAATCGATCTAATCTGTTTCAGTGAATTTTGAGATTTGTCTGAAGCAAAAGAAGAAAAATGGTAAAAGAGAGAAGATTTTCTGATTTGGGGAGAGCAGTTTCTTTGAATCCTTACTCTCAATCGTAGCGCGTGTTGTGTACACTTCGTTATTGACTTTGTATTCGAGCTGGCAATCGCGTGGTTGTGGTTTCACACGCGCTTTGATATTTGTGTGAAATTTATGAAATGGAAATTGGAAAAGATTCACCAAATGCATTTTTATTTTGCTGGAGACTAGTGCTGAGGAAATGCATTTTTTTTTTTGTCATCTAAATTTTTATTATCAAAACTTGAAAAAGAACCAAAGTAGAAAACAAAAATCCAAACGAAATAAACTAAAGCCGACAGCCAAAAAAAAAATTCTCAAAAACTAAATCGGAAGAAAACGTAAATTTCTTGGAAACTAAGTCCTGTGCAAATAAACTATGTTCGGAAACTAAGCATTTTAATTAATTAAATTAATTAAAGTAAAATCGTTTAGAAATATATTTAATCAATAAACTAGAAAACGACGAAAGAAAAGAAAACATTGGTCACCTTCCACCATAACATATAAATTTTTGTTATGCAGAAAAACATTTCAGAAGATTATTGACCAAAAAAAAAGAAGAAGATTGTTTTCTAAAGAGTGATTTGCAAGAATAACACATTTTCAAAATAAAATTAAGAATATAGCACTATATATGTATTAATTGACTAACTAACCTAAAGGGTAGGTGAAATGACCAAAGGTAGTGGTGGTGGTTCCGGCGACGGCGGTGGTTCCGGCTCCGGCGGTGGTTCCGGCTCCGGCGGTGGTTCCGGCGACGGCGGTGGCTCCGGCGACGGCGGTGGCTCCGGCGACGGCGGTGGCTCCGGAGACGGCGGTGGTTCCGGAGACGGCGGTGGTTCCGGCGACGGCGGTGGTTCCGGCGACGGCGGTTGTTCCGGCGACGGCAGTGGTTCCGGAGACGACGGTAGTTCCGGTGATGGTGGTGGCTCCGGAGACGCTGGTAGCTCCGGCGACAGCGGCGGTGGTGATGATAGTGGTGAGGGCAAAAATGTAATAATATATATTACACATATGTTATAGTGTAAGTTTTTTTTTATGGTTAGTTTCTTAATTTATATTTTTTTTGTTGGTTATACATCCAAATTTTCCTTTTCTAAATTAGAGGAGTAAAAAACTATCCAACAAAAACCCACAATCCGGTGGATTTGTGGGGTAAGTCATAAATCTTTTATCTTGTTTGGACATAGTCAGACAGACACTCAGACTCAGAGATTTTTACTACTAAAAGAGAGTACATTATACATTTAAATCGATTTTTCAACTTATTTGTAATCATACTTGTATAGAAATTTAAATGTGTCAAAGTTAGTTGATTTTATTCGATATCAGTGTGTCAAAGTAATGACTTAAATATTTTATGTTAATAATAATAAAAAAAAAAGTTAATAAAGACAACTGTGTAAGGGGATCGCATATAATCTCAACTAATACAATAAACAAACATATAGCCGTTAAAGTCAGCTTTGGCTAGACGCCTAAACGAGAAGATCAAGAATCTTGACGATGGAGAAGAATCAATGTGATGATGATCGAACGGCTCTGATCTTTCTCGGAACAGGCTGCTCCGGTGCAGTTCCCGATTTCAGATGCTTACTCCAGCCGTCAGATCCTCCTTGCCATGTTTGTTCTCAGTCACTCTCTTTACTTCCTCATCTAAACCCTAATTACAGGTAAATTTTGACATCAGTTTCTCTTTAGGTTTTGGTCTTTGAAGCTGTGGAGATTGTGAAATGTCAAATCTTGTTGCTTTTCGTAAATACCCTTTTGAAGTTGGGAGTTTTGATTGAAAAAAAGAGACATCTTTTGTTCTCTCTCTCTGTTCGAAAAATTCTTATCTTTATTCGTCTTGGAGTTTAGGTTTTAATCCATTTTAGGTAAATAATGAAAAAATCGATTTTTAGATTTCTTTTTGGGAAATTATTCCAGAAATATTGGGGTTTAGTGATCATTCTTGATTCCAATCTTGAATCTTGATTCTCTGTTTTTTGGCAGATGCAATACATCGCTCTTGATTGATTATTGCAGCAAGGAAAAAGATGGTAGACATTATTACATACTTATTGATGTTGGCAAGAGTTTTAGAGAGCAAGTCCTTCGTTGGTTTACCTTTTATAAGATTCCTCGAGTCGATTCCGTTAAGCCCTTTATATGCTTACCTTCTTGATTTGTTGCATCTATTTTTTTTTGTCTGAAATGAAATCTAACTTTTACTTATTTATGGTTGTATGATTTGTGTAGATCATTCTAACTCATGAGCACGCAGACGCGGTTCATGGCTTAGATGAAATTCGATCTCTTCAGCCTCGCGGTTCAACTGATCCACTTCCTGTCTTTCTATCTCAGTTTACAATGAAAAGGTAAGCACTTTCGGGTTTTTTTTTTCGTTTTTCGATTAGAGTTCTCTGATGAGACTTTAAGGCATATTTCCGTGCAGCATTTCTATGAAGTTCCCTTATTTGGTTGAAAAAAAGGTTAAAGAAGTACCTAGACGGGTTTCGCTGCTTGACTGGAAAATCATCGAAGAGAATTGTGACAAACCATTCACTGCCTCGGGCTTATCTTTCACGCCTCTTCCGGTTAACCTTCTTTTGACTTTTGAGTAAATCAAGACAATATAATTTTTCCATGAGACCTAACAGACTCGACGATGTTTTGCTTTAGGTGATGCATGGAGAGGACTACATTGCTTTAGGTTTCCTCTTCGGCGATAAAAGTAAAGTGGCTTATATCTCAGATGTATCACGTATTCCACCGAGTACCGAGTATGGTAAGAGCCCATTATGTTTCGCCTTAATCATTATTACTCTATATTTCACTTCTACTAAAGAGAAAGATTGATCTTATTATGAATCTTTGATGATGCAGCTATTTCCAAATCTGGGGCTGGACAGTTAGATCTTCTTATCCTGGATACAAATATACCGCGGAAGGTAAATATCATTTTGTAAAAAAATTTTACCGCTTTTCGATCTTGAAAATTAAATTTTCTTGCTGACCATCTTATTGATAATAGAGAGGACTACATCCCACACACATCTGTTTTCCTGAGGTTTGTTTCAATGTTTTTTTCATTTTTCAAAGAATTTTTCACTACTCTGAGCCTTTTTGAAGATAAGTTTCAATATTCTTTGTTCTTTAGGCTCTTGAAATCATAAAGAGGCTCTGCCCAAAGAGAGCGCTTTTAACGGGCATGACACACGACTTTGATCACCATGAATACAATGAGATACTAGTGGAGTGGTCTCTAAGGTACGCAATGAAACAATGTTATAACATTTCTATATGTCCACATCGCTGAACGCTAATAGACTACATCGATTTCTAGGGAAGGAATCCATGTACAGCTTGCTCACGACGGATTACGGCTTCCAATAGATCTATGAGCAAATTGCTAAATTCAAATTTAAGATAAGGAGAGACAAATCTCAGAATTCTTGTTACCTAGCAAGAATTCAAGTGACAAAACTCCAAAATTACATGATTAGAATCTATATTTTGATACATAAATGAAAATCTCTGTTTCTTTTACTTCTTTTGGGAATGATTCGAAATCTTTAAACCAAGCCCTTGAAACAACTTCTCTAAATCTGAAATCTCATTCTCAATATTCACTTCATCTTTTCTTGTGATCTTCTCATGCAACTTGATTAGTCTCTGAGTCCCAACATTGACTCCTTCTGCATAATCTCTAAGCGCTCGTCTCATTGATCCATTTTCTTCTTGAACATCTTTGTATTTCCTTTTAAGCGATCGGTATCCGTCAATAGACTTGAGAAGCTGTTCAGACAACTCTTTGTTTCTTCCCTGTAGAGGAACATTGTTGTCTCCTGGACAATCAACATCTCCTTTCTTCTCCTTATTATGCTCTGCAGCGCAATTCTGCACTTTCTTAAGTAATTTCTCATTTTGAGCCCTAAAATCACTTATAAGCTCCTCCATTTCGTTCAATTCGTGAGCTTTCCTCGAAAGTTCTAAAGCCATTATCTCTTTCTCTTTCCCTAAACTCGAACACATCATTTGAAGACTCTTTCTTGCAGCCATACTCGCGCTTAACTCTTTTCTCAGTTTCTGAATATCTTCAGGATCGTTCTGTGGCGGCTTTGTTGGACTCTTGGTTGGATCATGACCCGGTTTCAGATCTGTGAAGCATCGTCTAAGCTCTTTTTTCCCAGATGATGATTGTTGTTGAGCTTTCTGGATTCGTGTCTTTAGATCATCGAGAATCGTCATCATCGTGTTGACTCTCTGGACCTTCCAATCATCGTGGTGCCTCGAGGTTGCTTCATTGTGATCTTGAACGAGTTTCAGCAGTAGCTTTACGTTCGTAGTGATTCCTTAAAACGGAAGCAAGAACACGTTTAACAAATTTCTTCCGACGCAAGTCACAAGATTGTTTTCTTGCACAAAACGGAAAAGGAAAACTCTAAAAATCATGTCTTAAATCGATCTTTATAAGATGAATGTGATTGATTTACCTTCTAAACCAGAATCTTCATGAGATTGATGCTCTATGGTTCTTGTTGGTGATGATGTAATAGATCCAGAATCAGAAGGAACTAAATCCGGCGCAGAAAATGCTCGGAGACGGCTCATTTTACCCGGTTCAAAAACGCCGTCTGGAGATAATCAAACAGACAAAAAATGATAAACAAAGGAAGATGTTGGAAGAAATTTGGACAATAACAGATTATGGTTGTTGTATTTTTGCTACTTCCATGTTTTTTGAGGCGTAATTAGTGGACAATCATTTCGCTCGACCCTTTTGGCTAGGCTTTTAATTTTGTTCAACTAAATTTGTCTGTCTTACCTCATTTCACGCTCTATTTTTTTTTATTTTTTTTTCTATTTAAAAGAATTAACATTGAATTTTAACAAGTAAAAAATGTGTGCTGCCAGAAGAAGAAAAAAAACATTATGGGCCTAGACCCAATATATCATTAGAACATTGGGCTTAAGCAGCACACATTTTGTTTTGTAAATCAGTAAATATATATTACTATGAGGACTTAATTGTAAAATGGAGGAGGAGCCGAAAGGTCCGAAAACTCTACTATACTCACTTCTTATATAACTGACTTGACGTTTTAGATACCCAGAAAATGGCTTCTTCCTCCTCAGCGCCTATGAAGGACGACGAAAAATCCAGAAACTGGGAGGAGCTTCCACCGGAACTGACTTCATCAATCCTGCACCGTCTCGGCGCCATTGAGAGATTAGAAAACGCTCAGAAAGTGTGCAGGCCGTGGCGTTCCGTCTGCAAAGACACTTCCATGTGGCGCAAAATCGACATGCGAATCCCGAGAAATCTCAAAATCATTGAGTACGACATCTATATGAACACTGAAAATCTTGACGCCGAGGAACTCCGCACTTTCATCGCCTTTAGGTTATGTTCTGTCTCCATATATTACTCGCAAGTACTCTTTTGAATTTTGTTTTGAGAAGTTGCGTTGGTGTGCTAAATTAAAATTGTTGTCCTTCTATGTCTTAGACCATGTTTTTAACTTGCAACTATTTTTTGTCAGATCAAATATTCTGAAACGCCTTGGACGTATGATGTGTCATGCCGTTGATCTCAGCCAAGGCGGCTTGGTAGAGATAAACATTGAATGTTTTGGCACTGATTCTCTCCTCACATATATTGCTGATAGGTTCTCTCTCTTCCCCTAAAACTCACATGCACACGATATTTCATCGAAATCTATGAAGTTGTCTACATAAGTGAGATTGATTTGTTTTCAAAAAGGATTTGCTAATTTCTAGCTAGGGTTAGATCGAAGGATTTGCTACTAGTTGTTAATAATAGATCACCAAGGGAAAAGGTAAAAGAAATTTCAATCCAAAATATTATACTTGATCCAATCTTAGCCTAGGTAAAGTCCATCTTGATGCGATAGAAATGAAATATAACAAATAAGTTTTAGCTAATGTAATAAAGATACCAATTGTTGTTCCAAAAATTTGATCCCTTTTATATAGCTCCAGAATAGACGGATTGAAGAATAAAATATTTCGGTAGTTTGAGTAGTGGTACAGATATGTTTGTTCCTAATTAAGTTCCTTTACCTTTCGTGTATTAGGAGAAAATTTGTGGTTAACTTATATATGACATCAACATTGAGTACTTGCCTTGCTGGTAGGTTCTGTCCGTCTCTCTTTTTATACTCGCAAGCACACAGATTTTTATACGTTGATCATTTGATTTTACATCTTGCTAGTGTATGTCAATTTTAGGGCTAGATCAAATTTTGGTCAGAACTGAAGAAACTAAAAAATCTCGCTACGTTTTAGTAATTGGAAATTACTGAATGTGTTTGTTCCTTCATTTTTGTATTTCCATATTCAAATCTTTTTCTTTCTTTTGCTAGCTCTTAATTCCATGATTCTATAAAACCATTATGTATGTTTATGAGTTCATCACTACTAGTATATATAGTTCCATAATGATATTGTGTTTGTATCTTGGTGTTCTTTTATCTCTTAGATCTATGTTTTTTGAACTCTACTTGCAACTATATTGCAGATCAAGTAATTTGAGACGCCTTGGACTTGTTAAGTGCGATCAAATAACGGGCATGGGACTTTTCGCTGCAGTCATGAAACTTCCAATGCTTGAAGACCTCGAGCTTTCATACTGCTCAATCAAAGGACTGAATTTGGAAGCTATAGGCTATGCTTGCCCTCATTTGAAAACATTGAAGCTAAATTGTCAAGGTTACAATATCTTCGCTCGCTTTGAGTCTGATCATGATGCCCTAGACATTGCTAAAAGAATGCCGGAACTGCGATATCTCCAGCTTTTTGGGAACAGACTAACAGACATCGGCTTGAACGCCATTCTTGACGGTTGTCCTCACCTGGAGTACCTCGATTTACGCCAGTGTTTCAACATTGATTTTGTAGGGGATCTGGAGAAGCGTTGTATCGAAAGGATCAAAGATTTGAGACTCCCCAACGACTCAACTGATGATTACCCATTTGATACCAGTTTGGTCGATTTTGGGATAGACATTTGAAATCGTTTTGAAGTCTGTTTATCTGGTCTTGACAATATATCAGTCTTTGGTTTAAGCTCTTGAGCATGTCATTGTAACTTTGCGACTTGGCAAGTTTATCCATCTTATAGTTAAATGTGTTGGCAATGTTTATTGTATTCTGCAACTTCCATGTTTTGCGAGGCGTATTAGTGGATTGATTGACCCTTTTGGCTCGGCATTTTCTTCAACTAAATTTAAGTTTCTTATCTCATTTCTCGCTCCATTTTAAAGAAGTTTCACATCGAGTGTTGGCTATGTATAATAAGCAAAGAAAAAAATAAAAATAAATGTCTATGGTTCAGATGATGATAGAAATTGAACTGAGTCTTTGACAAAACGCACATGTTTTACCAAAAAAAAAAAAAAAAAAACCCTACATGAACTATATCATGGGATCCCACTATATCATCATGTCCAATTCTACACAAAAAAAAAACCGTAATGCATTCGGAAATTTATATCTTTTATGAGCCTAGGCCCAATGATGTATTCGACTATTGGGCTTATTATACTTCGCACAAATTGCATTCGTAAATATTCCAACAATTTTCCGATTCTCACAGAAATGGCTTCCTCCTCTTCCTCGCGGTACGTTCCTCCGCCGTTGAAAGACGGAGAGTCGAGAAACTGGGCGGAGCTTCCGCCGGAGTTAACATCTTCGATTCTGCTCCGTCTCAGCACGATTGAGATACTGAAAAACGCTCAGAGAGTATGCAGATCGTGGCGACGCGTCTGCAAAGATCCATCGATGTGGCGCAAAATCGACATGAGAAACAACGGAATGTTTGGTTATGACTACGATAGGATGTGTCGTCACGCCGTTGATCTCAGCGAAGGCGGTTTGGTCGAAATCAACATGGTACACTTCGGCAACGATTCTCTCTACTCCTACATCGCCGACGGGTTATTTCTTTTATTCTTAGAATTGATTGGTATTCAGGAAAATTTCTTAATATTGATTACGTTTCTAGGGTTTAGATTAGATTATTGTCATGATTGAAGAAGATATGAATTCCTGCATTGTGAGGATTAGGGCAAAATTTCTGTTTTTGTGTCAATTGTTGCATTGCAAGTTAGATGTCATGTTGTTGAATCTGTGGTTTTGGTAGAGCAAGTGTTCTATGAGATTTAGATGAATATGGTTATGTGGTATATATGCCTCTAAGTTGATTAATATTGATAATTTTCTTTTGCAGATCAAGTAATCTGAGATGCCTTAGACTTGCTATGTGCTATCCACTAACATGCAAGGGATTTGTCAGCGCAGTGATGAAACTCCCATTACTTGAAGACCTCGAGATTTCACATGGCTATGCACAACTGGATTTGAAAGCTATAGGCCAGTCTTGCCCATTACTGAAGACATTCAAGCTAAACCGCCCTTCTTTCAGCCGGTACGTTAAATATGATGATGAAGCTCTAGCAATTGCTGAAACCATGTCCGGATTACGCCACCTCGAGCTTTTTGGGAACGGACTAACCAATTCAGGATTGGAAGCCATTCTGGACAACTGTCTTCACTTGGAACATCTTGATTTACGCCGCTGCTTCAACATTGACCTTGTCGGGGATCTCGAGAAGCGCTGTTCTGAGAGGATCCGAGATTTGAGACGCCCTGAAGACTCAACCGCTGATTCCCCATTTGATGCCACTTCCGACATTGATTCAGCAGAAGAAGACGACTCTTTCTCAGATGATAGCGATGACATTGCGTACAGCGTACTACGCCAATGATTATTCTGACATATGTAACCCTTATTATAACTAGATAAGGATACATTGTCTGATCATTTTGAAGAATGCAATGACAATATCAGTGGTGACTGGTAATGAACTCGATTATGTTCTCTTTTCGGCAAGTCCGTTGTTTCAGCTGACTTGTGTCCCTCTTTGCATTTGTAAAGTTTTTGAGAAGAACAGATTTTAACATGTCTTTGCAATGAAAGTCACAAAGTTTAACAAGTTAGAGGTCTTCATTATCCTTATTGATATTGAGCCTATATCTTTAGCTCGACATATAATAATGCCACTAGATTACCACGTTCGTTAACTGATGAGTGTTAACGAACCCAAGAGATTACTTTAGTGGGCTTCTTATACTTTATTATGCCAACTGATTTCGTAAATATGTATCACAATGAGGACCCAACTGTAAATTAGTGATGGATACGAAAGTCTTTAAACTTCCCTCTCTTATTTCGTGGATTTCATCATAATTCTTAGGGTTTCTTCTTTGTTGCCGTTTTCTCTAAGTCTTCGCCGTTTTTGTCTTTGTCAATGAAAGACGGAGGATATAGAAACTGGGCGGAGCTTCCGTCGGACTTGACGTCATCGATCCTGCTCCGGCTTAGCATGTTTGAAATACTTGAAAACGCTCAGAAAGTGTGCAGATAGTGGCGTAGCGTCTGTAAAGACCCTTGGATGTGGCGGAGAATCGACATGCGAAACCCGATAAACTTGAGAGGCATATATGATGGACATGGAGATCATATGCCACCACGCAGTTGATCGCAGCCAGGGCGGTTTGGTTGAGATCGACATTGGGTACTTCGGTACTGATTCTCTCCTCAATTACATGGCCGAAAGGTTCTGTCTCATTCTCTTTCTCCCTATCACTCAAAAGCAAGCCAATTTTTGGTTTTCTTCAATAAAATTTAATTTATCTTTGAACGTGGTATGCTAATTCTCTAATTCTAGGCTTAGACATTAAAAAAAAAAAAACAGACCTTTTGCATCATTATCGTTCTTCACTTCTTCTTCTCTGTCTTAGATATGTTTTTTTCACAGAATTACTTGCAGCTCAAGTAATCTGAAAAGCCTTAGACTTGTAAAATGCCATATGACAGACGAGGGAATTGCCAAAGCAGTTGTGAAACTTCCATTGCTTGAAGACCTCGAGGTTTCATTGTGCGATTTGTCAGGAGAGTCTCTGAGAGTTGTAGGCCAGTCTTGTCCAAATCTGAAGACATTGAAGCTAAATTACAACCTTCACACCGTATTTTATATTGCCAGATTTGATGAAATTGCAATAGCAATTGCAGAAAGCATGCCTCAACTACGGCACCTTGAGCTTTTAGGGAACAAACTAACCAACACAGGCTTGAACGCCATTCTTGAAAGTTGTCCTCACCTTGAACACCTTTACGAGGATCTCGAGAAGCGATGTTCTAAGAGGATAAAAGATTTGAAATCACAAAGGATCAACCGCCATTAGATGCCATTTTTTCAAATTTTTTTCTTTTTTGTATTGACAATATTAGTAGTAAGTATAGTATAGAACTCACTCATGTCCTCTTTTCTAATGGAATGTTAAATAACAAACCATCTTTGTTGACTAAGTCATGTCTTTCTTAAGTCTTTTGTCGAATAGGCCCAGTAGTTTATTGTGGATCTAAGCCCAATAGGCTATCCGAGTAACTAACTTGGCTAGCACGAATTGTATTGTAACTTCCACTTCTTCTTATATCATAAATTTGACAATTTTATTTACCCTAAAAAAATGGCTTCCTCTTCTTCGTTGTCGTCAACTTCCGTGCCGTCGCTGATGAAAGACGAAAAGTGGAGAAACTGGGCGGAGCTTCCGTCGAAGTTGACGTCATCGATTCTGCTTCGTCTTGGAGCCATTGAGATACTTGAAAACGCTCAAAAAGTGTGCACATCGTGGCATCGGGTCTGTAAAGATCCTTCGATGTGGCGGAAGATCGATATTGACAATCGCAATGACAGGGCAGCCTTCAAGTACAACCTCGAGTCCATGTGTCGTCACGCAGTTGACCGCAGTCAGGGCGGGTTGGTTGAGATCGAAATTTGGTACTACGGTACTAATGATCTCATCAAGTACATCGCCGACAGGTTTTGTCTCTATCTAGTTAGTTTTGTTTTTTTAAAGGGAATTAATTTGATGGATGCTAGTTCTAGGATTTTATTGGTTGCTAATTCTAGGGTTAGTATGATCGGAGGATTTTGTGTCACTCTTTATGAATGCACCTTTGGACACAGTTGCTTAGGATTATGTTGAATCATTGGTTTGGTTGTGTTCAAGAAAATTTATTGTTCACGTTTGTTTCTGTTTATTCCTTTGTTATCTTACAATTTTGGATTAGAAAATATCCACTTGATCATTCTCAGATTGTTATGGTTTTAACGTCTAAAATGGTTGACTCAGGTTCTTCGTGAGTTATGGAAAAAAAGAAAGAAGACTTTTGCATCTGTCTTTCGTCCATACTATCTTACATTATGTTTTTTGATGACTTTTTTACTCACAATTATTTGCAGGTCAAGTAATCTGAAAAGCCTAGGACTTGTAAGGTGCATTCCAATAACAGATGAGGGAGTTGCCAAAGCAGTTTCGAAAGTTCCATTGCTGGAAGACCTTGAGGTTTCATACTGCTTATTTTCAGGAGAGTCTCTGAGGGATATAGGCCGGTCTTGTCCGAATCTGAAGACATTGAAGCTAAACCGCAACCCTGAATTCATGTTTTCAAATAGTGGGTTTGATGACAATGCCATAGCCATTGCAGGAAGCATGCCTGAACTACGCCGCCTCCAGCTTTTAGGAAACGGGCTAACCAACAAGGGCTTGAACGCCATTCTTGATGGTTGTCCTCACCTGGAACACCTTGATTTACGCCAGTGTTTCAACATCAACCTTGTTGGGGATCTCAAGAAGCGATGTTTGGAGAGGATCAAAGATTTGAGGCACCCCAATGACTCAGATTATGACTCAGATGATGACTCAGATTAAGGTGCAGCGGCCACAATGAGGTCCACTATCATTGGGACTAGATATTGAATCTTTCTGAATAATGCGGAGACACCTTTGTTGTTTGAGTTATGAACAGTTTCAGTTTCCTTTCTCTCTATCTTGGTAGTTTCAATATATTTCCTTTGGACTTTTAAGAAGTTTTGAGCGCGTGATTTTAAGTTGCTCGAGAACAATGTTATGGGTCTTTGTATTTTTTAGTTGGTACATTACTTTATCACAATCGTTTAGTTACATATTACATATAACATTAACAATATTTTAATTAGTTAAATTTACTTATGAAAACTAACTAATTTTAGCATCAATTCTAAAGTTTTGCGATTGATAGCTATAAGAAACTTGAGTAGACCCGTAGAGAGAATATAATCGTACATTACATTTTCCCTTGGTGTTTCATCAGTCATCACCAATTTCATTTGATAGTGTATTTTATATCAAAAATGTCCAAAGACAATAATATTCCACTAGGTGTCCACATGAAAATCACATCATTATCAATAATCACTAGCTAGTAGACTCTTAATGATTATTTACATGATCACCTTATTGTATAATTGACTATCATACGAAAGAATAAATTGACAAAAAGAAACAAGATTATAAATAACATTTCCTTTTGGTAATATAAATTCCCTAAAAAAACAAAAAAAGAGTGGACATTGATTTTACTCTTTACTTTTGGACATTAATTTTACACTTTACTTGGGAAGGTATGCATAGAAGTCAATTTGTTAAATTGTTTTGTTAATAAAAGTGCTCTCAATAGGATTGAATATGTTTTGTTTCTTCTACATTATTGTCCCAATTTAAATAATGCAAAGTTTATTCTTCTCCTTTATTCTATCGGGTTTAGGAGTAGAAAACATCCAGATTGTTATGCTTCTGAGGTCTGAAATCGTTCTTTTGCATTGTTGTCTTTCTTCTTCGGTTCTCTATCTTAGGCCATACTATATGATATGTTTTGAACTTTTTACTCACAATTATTTGCAGTTCTAGTAATCTGATTCTGAGAAGCCTTTAGTCTTACACGGTGCATTTCAAATAAAATATATGGGCCTATCCCAAGATATTATTTAAGTAGGTTTGGCCCAAATTAGTTTCGTAAATATGTTATACCGTGAGGACCTATTTGTTAAATAGAGACGGATACGGCAATTGAATGAATGGCTTCGTCCTCTTCTTCACCTTTGACTCCGGCGATGAAAAACGGAGAGTCTAGAAACTGGACAGAGCTACCGCCGGAACTGACGTCATCGATCCTGCACCGTCTCGGTGCGATTGAGATACTTCTAAACGCTCAGAGAGTATGCAGATCGTGGCGACGCATCTGTAAAGACCCGTCGATGTGGCGTAAAATCGACATAAAAATCCCGAGAAAATTCGAAGACTTGTTTCACGATCTCGAGGCCGTGTGCCGTCGCGCCGTTGATCTCAGCCAGGGAGGCTTGGTTGAGATCAACATTGAGCACTTGGCGAACACTTCTCTCCTCAATTACATCGCCGACAGGTTCTTTCTAAACCCTAAAACTCGCATATATGAATTGTGATATGGTTAATGTTTACATATATAGTGTTCAATAATGTTTATTGGTAATTCGTGAACAAGTCTTATTGGATCATGTTCTAATTCTCTATATTGCTACTTTATGCAGATCAAGTAATCTGAGACGGCTTGGACTTGTTTACGGTGGTCCAGTAATTAGCAGTGGAGTTGTCGAAGCAGTCATGAAGCTCCCATTACTTGAAGAACTTGAGATTACATACATCAGAGGACAAGTTTTGAAAGTTGTAGGCCAGTCTTGTCCAAATCTGAGGACGTTAAAGCTAAACTGTATGGGTGCTTTTAAGTGTTGTGATAAAGTTGCTCTAGCAATTGCTGAAACAATGCCCGGTCTTCGCCACCTCCGGCTTTACAGGAACGGATTATCGGATATGGGCTTGAACGCCATTCTTGAAGGTTGTCCTCACCTGGAACACCTTGAGTTACATAAGTGTTTGAACATTAACGTTGTCGGGGATATGGGGAAATGATGTTTTGAGAGGATAAAGATTTGAGATGATAACCCCGAATGACTTACCTTTCGCTTCATGAGAGGTACTGCCAGATTCAATTCGTTTGTTTGTAATTCTCATTTAGATTATTGTATTTACCTATTCATTCAATTCACGTTGTATTCTCCATGAACCTTAGTGGGCATTCTAACATATATCAGAACCTTTAAAACCAAGGGACCATAGTGTATATTTAAAAGAACCAAAGATGATATATATACACAATAGTTAAAAAGGATTGTAGAATTTCATACATGGACAGAAGCAGAAAATAAGATTTTGACGCCATATGAGTGTGAATACTGAAAAGGGATCAAGTTTAAAGACAGCATTTGACCACTCAATCTTCTCAACTTCCCTCGCGTCTTTCCAAGGAAATATCGGCTGACCAAAGCTCCATTAACCTCTTGGGATCTTCAAGCTGCTTGTTCCAGAAGATGGCAATGTTCCCATCAGTGTTGCTGCTGAGTGTGTTGATGGCTATTCTCAAACCAGAGAGATACAGTTTCAGCTCATCCAAACCGTTCACCTCCTTCCAATCCAATTCATCTGGCTCACACCACAATATAATTAATCTATTCATGATCGGCACGGCCCAATAAGCATGGGTTTGATCGAAAATATTTCAATGGCAAAACATGGTTTGGAAAGATGATTCAGCAATGTCAATGATAGGCCTGGGCTAATAAACCGAACCGAATGTACCGAACCGAAACCGAAGCAAAAATAACCGAACCGAACCGAACTGAAAATTTGAAAATAACCGAATGGATACTAAATTTTATAACCGAAATAACCGTAACCGAATTGGTACCGAACCGAAATATTTTGGGTAACCGAAATACAATTATATTTTCAAAATAATTAGTTATTTGTAGACCAAATAATCAAAAATACTTGAAAAATATATAAAAATATTCGAAAATAACCGAAATATATCCAAAAATATCCGAAAATACTCAAAAATAACCGAAATATCCGAAAATATCCTAAGCAAAATAACCGAATGGATAATAAATTTTAAAACCGAAAGAACCGAAACCGAACCGAAATTTGAAAATATCCGAATGGATACTAAATTTTAAAACCGAAAGAACCGAAACCGAATGGACCCAACCGATAACCGAACGGTTAACCGAAATCCCAAGCCTAGTCAATGATATGGGAAAAATATGGGCTTTTCAGGCCTAATATACACGGCCCATAAATAAGATTTCTTTAGCAATAATAATAAAACCCTCGCCGCTAGAGATCATCGTCTGCAAACAAAAAGAACCCTAAAACTTCCATCAACGCCGGAGGAAGAAATTTATGTAATCTACAATCAATTCGTTAATCGCGATGAAGGAAGAAGAAGTAGATAGATGCCAGATTCAGAACTGGTATCCGAAATTCAAATCCTTAACCATCAAAACCAAATTTCACAAACTTCCAGAATCATTCATCAACTATCTCATTGACGATTCTGGTCCGTTTCTTCTTCCCAATTCCGTAACAAACGAAGACGCAATGCCTAACAGAGTCCACAATTTCGAAGAAGAAGATGATTTCCAAGTCCCCGAAGAAGCTTCAGATAACGAAGGAGAGCCACCATTGAATCGCCCTTCTTTTCCAGCACTCGAAATCGAGATCAGAGAATCAATCGAAACCCTAGGCGGCACAATTATCCCGAAGCTGAATTGGAGTTCACCAAAAGATGCAGCTTGGATTAGTCCATCACAGAATCTAAGCTGCACTTGTTTCAATGAGATTGCTCTCTTGTTTCGTTCCTCAGATTCGTTATTCCATGATCTCTGCAATGCTTATGATTCATGTACTGACAAAGTCTCTTCAAGGCCAGAAAGTTTCTACCTTGCTTTGAGAAAATGGTACTCTTCTTTGAAGCCTGAGATGGAATTTAGATGCTTTGTGAAATCTAACGAGCTTGTTGGGATTTGTCAGCGTGAGGTAACTACATTTTACCCTGTTCTTCTCAATGAGAAGGATTTGATCAAAGGATTGATAGAAGAGTTCTTTGATGATAAGATTAGGTTTGAATTTGAATCACAGAATTACACTTTTGATGTTTATGTGACGAAAGAGAGAAAGGTTAAGCTGATAGATTTCAATACTTGGTGTGGTTCTACTTTGCCATTGATGTATACATGGGAAGAACTTGAAGAGATTCATGGAGAATGTGATGAATTGGAATTGAGGATTGTGGAGAGTCGTCTCAGTGTGCTTCCTGGTTTGAAAACTGCTGTTCCTTATGATTATCTTGACGTGAGTCCTGGTAGTGGTTGGGATCAGGTTCTTAAGATAGCGGAAGAGGAGTTTCAGAAAGAGAATCAGATGTCTGATGAAGTTGCTTAAGCTTTTGGTCGAAGCAAGAATCAGAGTTCTCAACGAAGCAAGAAGAGTTAGTTTCTTGGGTATTTGAAGACTAGACAATAATTCTTTTGAGTTATTGTAGTTTTTATTTTATTTTATTGTAGTTGTGTGTGCCTACATCAATAATTGTTGTGTTTCATCAGATCTCAACAGAGAAAATGGAATAAAAAACCTCAAATGAATCTACATGTTTCACTGATGATCTTCATTCTTGTCATGATTTGTGATACCAAATTTACAGACACATAGTGGGTACAACCACGAAGGAGGTATTTAGGATCAAAGGCTATATCAAAGGAAGTATATAGAAGAGAATAGAAGTATACAAAGGGGGAGATTTTATTAAAACACTCAAAGGATTACAACGCTCAAATGATTACAAGACTCTCACTCGCTTAGCTTGGGTTTAACACACCTCCAAGCTTCCTTATTTATAGTACAAAGCTTAGGGAATATTACTTAGAATATTCCTTTCTTATCTTACAACCTAGAGTATTCTTTTCTTATCTCACACACGCTAGAATATCCTAAACTTATCTTACAACGACATCCATAACTTTATTCTTATCTTTATTCACACGCATATCTTATCTTTTTTCCCCCTGTCTCCAAAAGAGAAGTGATGTTCCCTTTAGTCGTTGTCGTCTTCTTCTTCACTGTCAGAAACCACTTCAGTCACGTAGATCTTTTGTCCTGGAATGTATCTTTTGATTTTGTATTTTTGACTTTATTGTTTAAACTTCAATCTACCAATTCATTTAAAACAATGGTTTCTTAACAATCAAGTTATAGGTACACAAAGACTTAATACGCCAACAAATTAAGATTTGTCACTATCAATCAAGTTATTAAAAATATAGAGTTTAGAGAGAGAGTTAGACACTCATTCTCTCCCCAATGGACGTGTGTGTCTCCCTCTTTGTCTTAGAGTTAGACACACAAAGCTCTTGCTGAGAAGGATTTATATCAAGATAACGAATTAACCCAACTCGTCAAATGTTCGTGCTGTAATTACCGGCCCAGGCCCATAATATTATTGCAATAACTAGTACCCACTTGTTCTCACATTGCCACATCTTGTTTTGTTTCACATTGTCTAATCACACTTCCTTTGTCATGATTGATGAAAGAAGTTGTAGGTTATTAGCAGAAGAAGATCATCCACTTGTACTATGAAGAAAATCATTCTTCTTAATTACTTTATGATTTACCTAATTATTTGTCTAATTAAGTAATCTAAGAAGCCTTGGACCACAATGTGCTAGCGAATGGTGCCCAATGAACCTGTAAAAGCAGTCGCAAAACTTCCATTTCGTGAGAGCTCGAGGTCTTACATTAATCAAAGCTATATAGGTCATTCTTGTCCACGGCTAATGACGTTGAAGCTAAGCAATAACACAGTATTTTGCATATCATTCATTCAACTTCAACTTTTTATTTTTTTGGGTCAAATCACTATATATTCATCTAACTTACCACATTTATCCATTACTTAAGTGATAAACTCTATCAAATTTAACATATGTAAAATATAATTAATATATGTTAGATTCGCTTCCATCCGTTATATATCCGCTTCTATTCGATTTGAAAAATCCAGATATTCATAACTTTATGGAGCAAATCAATTATCAAAAATTAATATCCATTATAGACAAATCACAAATAAGAAAATTTTAAGAGATGGATATCTCCTCCAATCTGGTATATACATACATATATATATATATATATATATAGATAATTACATATATTAATTGTATAATTACTAGGACTCCGGACCCCCGCGATGTCGCGGAGGAAAATATTTCAAAAATCGCTAAAAAAATATCAAATGAAAATTAATAATAACGATGGTAGATGACTAAATGTTATAACGATTTATAAAATAAACTTAAACTTGCAATTTTTCGTGAAATAAACTAAATGTTGCAATGGTTCAACTAAACGGCTGCGATCATTTTATGAAAAATTACGATAAAAATATGCAACCGTAAAAAATATTTACTCGGATTGCAACTTTCTCAAAAACATAACGTAAAATATTTTTTTTTAGTTTAAAAAGAAATAAATGAAATGTTGCGATATATCAAAAGTTGTAGCGGTTCGTCAAGTTCGTCAAATAAACTAAAGATTACAATGGTTCGTAAAACAAAACCCAAAATTGCAATGATTGGTCAAATAAACCAAATATTTCAACGGTTCAATTAAACGATTACAATCTCATTTAAATGAATTTTGGTAATTAAAAATTAAAAATATTAATTTATGAAAATTTATACCGAAAGACACGACGGTAGATAATTAGATGTTATAGCAATTTAATTTGTAAAATAAACCAAAGGTTGCAATTGAATTGTTCGTGAAATACAAAATAAAATATATAAATCAAAGGTTGCAATCGTTCGTGAAATAAACTAAATATATAAATCAAATGTTACAATTGTTTGTGATATAAACTAAAGGTTGCAATTGTTCGTGAAATAAACTAAATATTGCAATAATTCGAATAAAAGGTTGCAACTGTTTATGAAGAGGTACAATAAAAAGAAGCAACCGCAGAAGATATTCGGATTGCAATTTTCTAAAAAACATACCCGTAAAATATAAATTTTAGTTTAAAAATTAAAAATATAGCCATATGTAAACTATGAAATAAAACCAATTTTATATGTACTTTATTGGTTTACGTAAAAAGAAATTCAATAAAACAACATGACCGTACAAAAATAACTGTAAGAAAAACAACCATAAATATTTAAACGAAAGGTTGCAATAAAAAGACACAACCGTTCAGATGTGCAAATGGTATTTATTGGAAACGACATAACCGTAAAAAAATAACCGATTAAAACGAAAATTACGATAAAAAAACGCAACCAAAATAACCGTAAAAAAATAACCGATTTAAACGAAAGGTTGCGATAAAAAGACGCAACCGTTCAGATGTGCAAATGGTATTTATTAGATTGCTATTATATATAGATTATATACCTACTCTTTAGAAACGAGTCCTGGATCGGTCATGACGTACGATAGTCGATATCAGTGGTGTGGTGTATTTGCCTCAGAAAATCAAGAAAACATTAGCGCGTGAGTGTTATTTGCGATATGTGCGGCTATAATCGAGTGTCGAGACCAAATAATACGTGGCATGAACTCTATCGTACACTACGATGACCAAATTTTGACTTAGAGACGGAAGCAGAAAGGTACACTTCACTTCTTATTCAGTGATTTGACCTAATTTCATCCTCAAAAATGACGATCTCCGCTATTTCAAAAAAGAAAATGAGAACCTCCTCTACGTCGCCGATGAAAGACGAAGAGCCAAGAAACTGGGTGGATCTTCCGTCGGAGTTGACGTCTTTGATCCTGATCCGTCTTAGCGTGACTGATATTCTGGACAACGCTCGGAAGGTGTGCAGCCCGTGGCGACGCATCTGTAAAGACCCTTCGATGTGGCGGAAAATCGACATGCGAGACTTGGCAAACCGCAGAATGTTCAAGTACAATGCATATAGCATGCGCCGCAGGTGCCGTGACGCTGTTGATCTCAGCCAGGGCGGCTTGCTAGAGATCAAAATTGATCGCTTCGTGAACGATTCTCTCCTCAGCTACATCGCCGATAGGTTCTCTTTCTTCTCTCTATCCCTTAATTACACTCGCTACTTTTGAACGGTTTTTCATGGAAACCTCCAAATGCTGTTTAGAGGAATATGACTTTTATTTGATTTCACTGTCTGCGAATCAGTCACAAAATGCCCTGACGATTTAGCTACGGCAAAATTTTGATAACTTATAATCGTTGATTTTTATTTTATCATGTGTTAATTAAACTCAGTTTATCATGTCTTTTTCCTTTTACCTGATCTGGCGATCTGCTATGAATGGACTTTGGATATTCATTTACTTCAAGTTTTCTTTTCTGTAATCTACGTTTGGGGTTAGATATGCACAGATATGAAGGCTAATTTTCATGCCTTATGTTTTAGAGTAAATGGTTTCGATTTTTGTTCTTTCAAGTAACTGTTGCTATAAATTTATTATAGTCCTTTGTTCTCACATTGTTCTAGTCTAGTTTTGTTTTACCCGTTATTATTTACTCTCATCATACTTAATTAATTACTTATCCTTTGCGATGGTTAAAGAAAACAACTAGTTATATAGGTTATTAGCAGATATAAGAATATATATCGTTAGCTTATAGAGCTCTTGTCATAGACTTGCTTAAAGCATCATTACAGTTTTGATCTTTTAAGCCATGCATGTACTCGTCGTCCCAGTTTGATCAAAGGGATTGTACATAACACGTTATTCTTTGCTCTTCATATTTTACATGCTTCTGAGTTGATTAGTACTATATATGAGAATTTCTAGTTATGGTTTTTTTTTTTTTGATAACATATTTTTGTTACTCTTCTTCTTAGTTTATGATTTAACTCTTCACGTAACTATTTTCAGATCAAGTAATCTGAAAAGTTTTGCACTTCCAGTCTGTTACCCATCGATAACAACGATAGAAGAACTTGTTAACGCAATCGCGAAATTTCCATTTCTTGAAACCCTCGAGTTCTTCGACTTTTTGTTTATACTGGATTTGAAAGCTATAGGCCACGCTTGCCCACAGCTAAAGACATTGAAGATAAACTTCTCAGGCTACACCCCTTGTGATGATGATGATGCCATAGCAATCGCTGAAAGCATGCCCGAACTACGCCAACTCCAGCTTATGGGGAACGGACGACTAACCGACACAGGCTTGAACGCCATTCGTGACGGTTGTCCTCATCTGGAACACCTTGACGTACAAATAAGACATAATTAAGAAGCAAGTAAAGAAGAATGAAGCAGAGATGTCAAATGAGCCGTGACACTCGGAAGAGCTGGGGAAGGAGACTCGTCCCATGTATACATAAGAGATTGTGATGCTTGATGTTTTATGCTTTTGTTTGTTGATTGTAAGAGACGTGATGAATCTCCTGGGGATCACGATCGCCATGAGATCGTGACTAGAGCTTCAGATTGTGATCCTTATGAGATCATAATCGGTTGTTCATAGTTATCGTTTTATCTTCTTGTGTAATCTGTGTTTGTGTGATTGTAATCAATAGCAATAGAGATCTATAAAGGATTTTGTGAGTTCAAAACTTATCATGTACGCAAGTGTTTCAACATTAACCTTGTCGGGAATCTTGAGAAGCGATGTTTGGAGAGGATCAAAGAATTGAGACGCCCCGGTGACTCAACCGCTGATTACCCATATAATATCATTTTGTCAATTATTATTCAGATGATGACTACAGATTGAATCTCTGTGAACACAGGGTTGCTTTTGTTGGTCTTGTCAACTTATGAACTCGTTCATGTCTCCTCTTTTCTCTATGATGCCAGTGACTATTATTGGTACGAGAAATTGAATCTTTCTGAAAAATAAAGAGAACATGTGGTTTTTGTTGGTCTTGTCAACTAATGAACTAGTTCATGTCTCCTCTTTTCTCTATGTTGGTAGTTTCAAATTCCTCATTTTTCTGATTTTTAAGAACTTTAACCAACTTCTTACTAACTAAACCTTCCTCTCGCTTGTTACTCCACGTGAATAGCGGACCATGAGTCCTCATCTATACTATTAATTGGGAAGCATTGGATAATAACTAACCTTATAAAGTGTAAATAATTACAAAGGATTGCCATTAGAATTTTTTGATTCCACGACTACATAAAGAATTTCAGCAAGGGGTAAAATGGACAAACGTTATGAAAAAGGGACGCGGATCTTGGATCATGAAGTCGGATCTCGGGTCTTTATCATTAGCAGCCCGATTTGTTTGATGAATGATTATATTGGGCTTACGAAGAATAGGCCCGATCAAATAGGCCCAATCGGATATACTGTTACGGTGTGAAAATAATAAACACAGTCAATACATTTATTAAATATTACCATAACAACCAAATCTATTTATGAGAATTATAATCTCTCTACTCCTATATTTCTATAACAACCCAATCCTAATATTACAATTAATAAAAAAAACTTATTGATTTATATTCCATTCCATTTATTGTTGTTTACCACAAATAACAAAATCCGATTATTGAAATATCCATTTTAGATTCAATATCTTCAAAAATCATTCCATAACAACTAAAACTATAAATGCGAATTTTAATGAAAATGTTCACGGATAAATCTTTGGGATCTCAATCCCGCATATTCCCTATATCGACTGAAAACTAATTCTTCGAGATTACATTTCCTTAGTTAGTTTATATTTTAAATGATAAAATCTTTTCAAATCAACATTAATCTCGAAATTCAACCCCAAAATTCATAAACACAATACAAAAATTCGCATAATATCAAGCATATACCTTAAATATTCTAAAAGATTTTTATCCTCTTCCCCCGTAATTCTCTAAACCCTAGAAGAATTATAGACGACTTTCATTACTATAAATATAGGGTTTAGTTTTCTATTGAACTCACCTTTTCATTGTTTTACCTGTTCTATTCAATATCTCTCTAACAAAATGGCAGCTATTATACCATTCACCGATCTTGCTGACATCATGCCCATCAAAACACAATGGAGAATTCAAGTTAAGATTTTGCATTCGTGGACTCAATACACTCAATTCAAAGGGGAAATAGTGGAAGTATTCCAGAACCTATAAGACTAAGCATTGCAAGAGACAATTCTTCTAAGGGGTAAGAAACAATAACAAATGATTATTATCGTTTTCTGTTATACAATAATAATCATTACTCTTTTTTTTCTTTGAACATGTATAAGCTGGTATGGAAATAGACATTTGGAGTTACTGAAATCAGTTTTCAGTTGAAGAGATTATTTGAACCAAACTTATTATGTTCTTTTCTCAACTCTCTGTTTTAACAAATTCTGAAACATCTATTACCTATAACAGCAACTTTGTTTTTCAAAAGTTAGCTGTTAGATTTACAGCATATAAAGTAATATGAATAAGTATTTCAATTCTACTAATTCAAAATGAATAACAGAGTCTAAATACTCTGTTAATAGTAAAGATACAGAAGCAATATTTACATTGCTAATAATATCAACCAATAGCAGAAATTAACATTCATGTCAAACTCTAATATAGTAAAAACATTTAAGAAAATAATTGACAACTTCATGTTTTATATAACAAGTCTACAATTTCAAAAAGAGATAACATACTCTAAACTATTTGTTGAACTAAAGAGAGATCTTTAATTATGAAATCACTAACCTCTACTGAAGCTTCTATGCGTTGAATTGCTACAAAGGAAACATCAAATCTGCCTCATCCAGAATATTTCAACTGCAAACTGATGCTTGGACTGTAAACAATGAGCAAACAAAAAGGAAAATTTTATCAATTTTGAAAACATACGATGACAAAACAATGTTTTAATAACAATTCTACTAATTCATAAAGAGTGACAATAGCTAAATATTATTATGGATTAAACCAAATTTTAATACTTAACAACTAATTAACCTTTAACATTGCTTCCAGATTCTGTTATGGCTTCTAAAGGACATCAAATTTGCCTTCTCTAAAAGAATAAAACTCGAATATTTTGCCTTATTTGTAAACATTGAATTTTGTATAATCAGCACCATATATATATGTATAAACACTGTTTCTTAGGTAAGAGCCGTAATAGAAAACTTAACTTTGTAAATCGTCTTCCTTAGACAAAATCATCATATTTCTAATTATCTGAAATCAATTTAGGAAACAAAATCTATTGTCTAAATCTATACAAAATCAAATTTTAACCTCTATTAACTCCAACGCTTTGAAGATTTATGTAGATAGATTGAGTTACCCGGTTAAACACAAAAATTATAGACAATCAATTTCGGATCTAAACAACAAATATAATTGAAAATACTTACTCATGCAAGTTCGTATATTCACAGTGATTGCCCAAGAACTCTGTTGAAACACAGAATTTCAATGATTATAAAATGAATCGACAGATTTTTAAAATAGATTGATTGAAGAAGAATCTTTAAAAACCTTACCTTTTTGAAGAATTCCCGAATCTGATATGAAAATTTGATATACGGAGACGTACTAGGTTGATTATCGACAATTTTGTCATTGATTAAAAAATCGAATAAACTTCTGATTTGTAGGGTTTCGATTACTTTGAAGACGATAAGACAAAGAATGTTTCTTCGAATCTTATCTGTCCAAAATGGAAAAAAAAAACACAAGTAATATCCTTATATAATAAATCACAAGTCAATTCACAAAAAACTGCAACCCTCTCCATTTGACACGTGGCTTAAGTCCCAAATTTTAGCCTTTCACTTTTCTAAACGTAAACCTAATTATTCAAGCAAAAAAAAAAAATCTATAGAAAAAAAAAATGAAGAATCAATCATTTTCTTCAACTGCTCCACGATCTCTGCGCCCATGATCTCTTCTTCCTGTAACTAATATATTTCTCACTTCATAAAAAAATCAAACTAAACCCTCTATTCATCAAAAGCCAAAAATTCAATAATCTAGATCAAAAGCCAAAAATCAAAAATTCAATAATCAAACTTTGTCTTCACAAACAAGAGCATCGAGATTATGATTGTTTTAAGAAAATTATTTAAAACATTAACGTGCTATTATGAATAAGTTAATGGTCCTTTGACCCGTACGAAGTACGGGCTTAACACTAGTATTGAATAAAATATAAAAACGAAACCATGGATCTGTTATTACGTAGATCCATATGTCTTCAGGATCGAAACAATTCTATTAGTAAATGGATCTCTAAAAATGCCGGCCCAAAAAAATAAAATGGTAGTTCATTAATGGGCCATTCATGGGCCATTATAGTTTAATTAATCGTTTACATTAATGACCATTGCATCAAATTACAAACAATAATTTTGTTTCACCAAATAAATAATTTTATAGTTTAAGAAATAAAAATATTCAATATAAATCAAAATCAAAACTCAATCTTACAAATATTACACACCAATTTTACAACTTTCTAAATAATTCAACAAAACCAAACAAAGATATCCATTCATTCACCAAACACAAATTACTAAATTCTTCCTAATCTTTCTTTCCAAACTTTTAAACCAATAAAAAAAAATAAACTAACATACCAATTTTGATTTCACACACATTTAAAAAATCTTCACTTTAAGTTTCTAATAATATTTATCTATTCTATTAACTAATTCACACAATAAACAACAAAAAAAAAAAATTACTTTACATTAAAAATAATGTATTGAATATATGTTATACAACACATATTTCAAAATAAAAAAAACCCCGCACGTACGTGCGGGTCCGGACCTAGTATAAAGAACAATACCGCGCACACCACTTCTTGGAAATCTTGCATGCCCGAAGTATCCAGAAGAGAGAAGAATCGGATCGTGTTCTTCCAAGTCAAGCGTCTCATTGAACTTGCCTAGAATAATGCACGGCTTGCCCCGAAACGATGAATACAATTTAGTAATTTAACTAACCATATTTTTGATTTATCGATAATTTAATTATATCAAAGTTAACATATACAAAAAATAAAATATGACTGATGATGAAGCATTAACAAAATAAAACCTAATTCTTTTAAATTCAAATTTTGTTGGATAAGTTTAAAATTTTTCTAGCTAGATTACTATATAAACTTTTATTTGGTAGAAAATCTTAACATTAAAACAAAAACAAAAAAAAATCAAACGGAATTATTCTTTTTACTTAAATAGAAACGAGTCAAAAAAAAGAAAAGAAAAATCAAGCAAACATTAGCGCGTGAGTGTTATTTGCGATATATGCGGCTGGTCTTGCTTGATTCTTCAGGAGTATTGAGACCTAATTAGACGTGGCATGAATCGTACCGTAGACACAAAATAATACTACGATGACCAAAACATTTAGAGAGTGAAGCCCAAATGTCCGAAACAATACACTTCACTTCTTATTCACTAATTTGACCTAATCTTATCCTCAAAAAAGACAGCCTCCTCTATTTGAGAAAAGAAAATGACAGCCTCCTCTTTTTGAGAAGAGAAAATGACGACCTCCACTACGTTGCAGTCGTTGTTCATGAAAGAAGATGAAGAGCGAAGAAAAGAGCAACGAAACTGGTTGGATCTTCCGCCGGAGTTGACGACTTCGATCCTGCTCCGACTTAGCGTGACTGATATACTGTTTAACGCTCAGAAGGTGTGCAGACAGTGGCGACGCGTCTGTAAAGACCCTTCGATGTGGCAGAAAATCAACTTGCGAGATTGCCTATTGTATCAGTTCGATTTCGAGAGCATGTGTCGTCACATTGTTGATCTCAGCCAGGGTAGCTTGCTAGAGATCAACATTGGACACTTCTTGAGCGATTCTCTCCTCAGCTACATCGCCGATAGGTTCTCTCTCTCTTCTCACTATTCCTTTCGCAAGCATGCTATGTTTTTGAATGGGTTTTCATGGAAATCTCCAAATGCTGTTTAGAGAAATATGGCTTTTATTTGATTTCACTGATCTGTGAATTAGACAAAAAATGTCCCAGTATATATATTTTGACTGATAAGAAATCTCTGAAATGTGTTTGTTCCTTTTTCTCCTGAGGATTAATTAGGGCAAAATTAAGATTTTTTTTTTTTGGGTTTATCATGTGTTAAATAAACTCAGTTTATCATGTCTTTTTAATTTCCTTTTACCGGATCTGGTGATCTGCAATGAATGGACTTTGGATATTCATTTACTCAAAGTTTTCTTTTAGGTAGTCTACGTTTGGGGTTTGATATGCACAGATATGAAGGCTAATTTCTATGCTATGAAGCTGTTATAAATTTATAATAGTCATTTATTGTTCTCACATTATTGTTCTAGTCTTGTTTTGTTTCACACCGTTATTATTATCATCATATATAACTTTACTTCTCATGACAAAAAAAAAGTAGTTAGGTTATTAGCATATATATATAAGAATATCATTAGCTTATAGAACTCTTATGGTTTCGTTTTTGATAACATATTGTTGTTACTCTTCTTAATTCTTTGTTTGTGATTTAACTCTTCACGTAATTATTTGCAGATCAAGTAATCTGAAAAGTCTTGGACTTTCAATCTATGAACCAATGACGAACGAAGGAGTTATGAAGGGAATTGCAAAATTTCCATGGCTTGAAACCCTCGAGGTCTTCCATTCATCGTTTAAACTGGATTTGAAGGCTATAGGCCACGCTTGCCCACAGCTAAAGACATTGAAGCTAAACTTCTCAGGCTGCCCAGGGCATGAAATTTATCTTATAAGCCAGTTAGACCTCATTCCCCCTCCCGTCGAATGTGATGATGATGCCCTAGCAATCGCTGAAAGCATGCCGAAACTACGCCACCTCCAGCTTATTTGGAACGGACTGACCAACACTGGCTTGAATGTCATTCTCGACGGTTGTCCACACCTGGAAGACCTTGATGTGCGCAAGTGTTTCAACATTAAACTTGTCGGGAATCTTGAGAAGCGATGTTTGGAGAGGATCAAAGAGTTGAGACGCCCCGGTGACTCAACAGCCGATTACCCATATAATATCGGTCTGTCAACTGTGCTTCAGATCATGATTAAATGTGGATTCTTTCCGAGACACAGGGTTGCTTGTTGATGGTCTTGTCAAGTCAACTTATGAACTCGTTCATGTCTCTTCTTTTCTCTATGATGCCAGTGACTATTATTGGTATTAGATACTGAATCTTTCTGAACAATGCAGAGAACATGTGGTTTTTGTTGGTTTTGTCAACTTATGAACTTGTTCATGTCTCCTAATTTTTTTTCTCTATGTTGGTAGTTCTTATTTCCTTCTAAACTTTTTAAGCTTTGAGCGCGTGACTGTTACTCGCGAAAACGATGCAATGGTTTTTGATTTTTCATAAGTGTGTAGATCGTGGCGTGGAGTCTTTAATTTAAAGACCCTTGGATGTGGCGGAGGATTGACTTAAGAAACCGCAGAAGCTCGGCAAAAATGAAGCAGAAGCTCGATATCATGTGCCGTCACGTTGTTGATCGGAGCCAGGGAGGCTTGGCTGAGATCAAAATTTGGAACTATGGTTCTAATGGTCTCCTCAATTACATAGCCGATAGGTTCCACATCTCTCTCTTCTTCCATATGACTCACACCGCACGCACGCAAATTTTGGTTTTCTTAAAGTGATTTTGATTTCACTCGTTCAATGTGACGAGAGTGATTGAGAATTGAGGAAAATTTTGTTTGCTTATGTCTTTGTTTGGAGGATTTTGTTATCTAAATCTCGAATCTCTGACAAAATGCACTTCTTCACATTGATTGGTTTTGTTAATGAAAACTTTTAAAATTAACTTTTATTGGGCAAGTATAAATTTGTTCTTTCTAGTAATTTCATATGTAAACTTTTATTTGGTATAAAATCTTAGCATTAAAACCTAAAAACAAATCAAATCGAATTATACTTTTACTTAAATAGAAACGAGTAAAAAAAACATTAGCGCGTGAGTGTATTTGCCTAATTATACGTGGCATGAATTGTATCGTACACTACGATGACCAAATATTTGACTTGGGGACGGAAGCACAAAGGTAGACATCACTTCTTTTATCCACAGATTTGACCTAATTTTACCCACAAAAATGACAACCTCCGCTTTTTCAGAAAAGAAAATGAAAACCTCCTCTCCGTCGCCGATGAAATACGAAGAGCCAAGAAGCTGGGCGGATCTTCCGTCGGAGTTGACGTCTTTGATCCTGATCCGTCTTAGCGTGGCTGATATTCTGAACAACGCTCAGAAGGTGTGCAGACCGTGGCGACGCGTCTGTAAAGAACCTTCGATGTGGCGGAAAATCGACATGAGAAGCCTGATCAGAGATAGGGGAATGCTCGAGCCCTTAGCTATCATGTGCCGTCACGCCGTGGATCGCAGCCAGGGTGGTTTGGTCAAAATCCACCTTGGGAACTTCGTCAACGATGATCTTCTCGACTACATCGCTGATAGGTTACCTATCTTCTCTCTATCTCTTACCACTCGCTATGTTTGAATTGTTTTCATTGGAATCTCTCCAAATACTGTTTTGTTTAGAGAAATTGATGGCTTTAGACAAATAAATATGTGTCGGTATATATTTTGAGTATCTGAAATGTGTTTGTTCCTTTTTTTTCGTGAGGATTAGGGTAAAACTTTGTTCATTAATTATAAGAGATCCCCATTTAATTATAATCGTTGATTTTTATTTTTATTTTGTTTATCACTCGTGTTAATGAAACTCCACTTATCTTGTCTTTTTTTTCCCGTTTACTGGATTTGCTATGAATGCACTTTGGATATTCAGTTACTCTTACTCGAGAATGTATGTCTTGCAACTTCAAGTTTTCTTTTAATGTATGTCTTTTAATGTACTCTACGTCTGGTATGAATGCACTCATGTTTGCAACTCAATGTTCATGCCTTACAATATTTTAGGAGTCAAAAAAAAAAAATCAGTTTTATTTTGGAGTCACTGGTTATATGATGATGTTATGATAGTCCTTAGTTCTCACATTGTTCGATCGAGTCTTGTTTTGTTTCACATCGTTACTGTCATATCATACATAATTACTTGTCCTTTGTCATGGTTAATAATGAAAACAAGTAGTTAGGTTATTAGCATTATAAGAAGGTTATTAGCGTTATACAATTCTTATCATAGACTTGCTTAGTTGCTTAAAGCATCTTTAAAGTTTGATCTTTTAGGTCCAAATTGAAACAAATGGTTTGCTCTTCTGTGCTCTTCTTATTTACATGCTTCTGAGTTGATTAGTACTATGAGAATTTCTTATGTTTTTTTTTTTTTTAAGAACGTATTGTTGTTCTTCTTATCGTTTATGATTTAACTCGACACGCTATTATATATTTGTAGATCAAGGAATCTGAGAAGTCTTGGACTTGGAATGTGCTTTCCAAGGGTGACGAGGCCAAGACTTGTGAATGCAATCACAAAACTTCCATTACTTGAAACCCTCGAGGTCTCACACTCATGTTTAAACCTGAGTTTGGAAGATATAGGCCACGCTTGCCCACAGCTAAAGACATTGAAGTTAAACTCCTCAGGGGGTTTCTGGAACTCTCGCAATGATGATGATTATGCCCTAGAAATCGCTAAAAGCATGCCAGAACTACGCCACCTCCACCTTTATGCGAACAACCTAAGTTACACACGCTTGAATGCCATTCTTGACGGTTGTCCTCACCTGGAACGATTGGTTACAGATGTGTTGCAAGCTTAACCTTGTCGGAGATTTGGAGAAGCGATGTTTTGAGAGGATCAAATACTTTGGACACACCAAATCATGACTCAACCGTTGATCACCCATTTGCTTTCACTTTTTCAATGACTTGGACAACATTGAGGTTTACTATGAGTAGATAGTGAATCTCTCTGAACACAGGTTGCTTTTGATGGTCATGTCACATTATGAACTTATGTCTCCTCTTTTCTCTATGTTGATTACCCATTTGATATCACTTTTGTCAATGACTTGGACAACATTGAGGTTTACTATGACTTTTATCCGGACTAGATAGTATATCTCTTTGAACACAGGTTGCTTTTTATGGTCATGTCACATTATGAACTTGTTCATGTCTCCTCTAGTCCTCTTTTCTCTATGTTGGTTTGGTAGTGTTTCAAAGTCCCTTATTTTCTTTGTACGTCGTAAGTTTGTAGCGCGTGATTGTAACTCGCGTACGATGCATAAGTTGTTTCTTAAGAAATTTTTTTTTCACAAAACACACTTCTTAAAGTTTTTCTTTTGACTTTTGGACAAAATCAAAATGAGTTCTCATGGATTAGCCAAATAGTATATTATTTTGACCAAAATACATTTTTAACTAAATGAACACAACTATTCTCTCATTTTCTTCTAGCTATTCGTTTGATTAATAGGAAAAGTAGAAAAAGAGTATGAGATGATAGGAAAACTAGAAAAGGAGTATGAGATGATCATGAAAAGGACAATACAGAGTATTTGTGTTTTGACTGTTAATCCAAATACCACCACCTCAGTGATAAATATAGCTATTCATTGTGTCGATATTCGATTCTTCATCTATTTTAGTACCTCTACTCCCTTGTAAGATCTCAACTTATCAATTTGAGTTGTACCTAATGTTTTCATTTTTTTGATTTTTGATTCCCGTGTAGATTGTACATGTATATATATGTGTGAAAATAAACCAAATAGGTAGTCAAAAGTCTATGTGTTCTTGTATTCAGTCTCTTGCTTTGAAGAGAGGGACCGAATTATACAAAATTCTTGAAAACTTGAAACTGATGAAAGGTTTTTGAAGCCATGTAGCAATAACTAGCTAGTCCCTTTGCTTGTTCTCACATAGACAGTTGTTTTGTTTCACAGTCACTCTCACCACACTTACTTTGTCACTGTCATCTCCACTTGTAGAACTCTTAGAAATTTTAGACACTTGTACATTGGTTCAATTTTATTTTTACAACTCAAATTTAATTATATAACTAAATTATATTAAAATATAAATATTAATCTGGTTTGAGAGACACTTTGGGTTTCTCATGAATAGAGATGATCTTATGTCTAGCTCATATGTACTAGTTAACCCAATTTAAACAATATATTAATTGTTTATATCACTTGATTCCTAAGTTGTTAAATTGTTATATGCTTCTAAGTTGATAACTGATCAATATTATCAACTTATGTAAAAATATTTAATTCTATCAAATTTAACATATGTAAACAGTAAAAAAACAACGACTAATAATAAAACATTAACAAAATCAAACCGAATTTGTTTAATTTAAATTTAAATTTTATTGGGTAAGTTTGAATTTGTTCTTTCTAGATTACAATGTAACTTTTATTTGGTATAAAATCTTTAAAACAAAACAAAAATCAAACCGAATTATTTTTGTACTTAAATAGAAACGAGTTCAAGATTTGGTCATGACAATATCAGTGGTGTGAGCGCGTGTATTTGCTAAAAATCAAGCAAACATTAGCGCGTGGGTGTAGTTGCCCTAATTATACGTGGCATGAATTGTATCGTATACTACGACGGCCAAATTTTTGACTTATTTAAAGACGGAAGCCGTAAGGTCCGAAACTACACTTCACTTCTTATTAACTGATTTTTTGACCTAATTTTATCCTCAAACATGATGATCTCCGCTTTTTCAAAAAAGAAAATGAGAACCTCCTCTACGTCGCAGATGAAAGACGAAGAGGCAAGAAACTGGGCGGATCTTCCGTCGGAGTTGACGTATTTGATCCTGATCCGTCTTAGCGGGATTGATATACTGGACAACGCTCAGAAGGTGTGCAGGCAGTGGCTACGCGTATGTAAAGACCCTTCGATGTGGCGGAAAATCGACATGAGAAGCCGGATCAGAAACGAGAGAATGCTCGACCGCTTAGCTAGCATGTGCCGTCACGCCGTTGATCGCAGCCAGGGTGGTTTGGTCGAAATCCACCTTGGGAACTTCGTCAACAATGATCTCCTCGACTACATCGCAGATAGGTTACCTATCTTCTCTCTATCTCTTAGTTACCACTCGTACGCACACTACGTTTGAGTTGTTTCATGGGAATCTCCAAATGCTGTTTTATTTAGAGAAATTGATGGCTTTAGACACAAAATATGTGTCGGTATATATTTTGAGTGAGAAAATAATATCTGAAGTTTGTTTGTTCCTTTTTTCTCGTGAGGATTAGGGCAATAATTTTGTTCACTTATAATCGTTGATTTATACTATTTTTTTGTTTATGACGATTTAATTGAAACTCCTCGTCTTTTTTTTCTTTTTTTTTTCTTAATACTGGATCTGCTATGAATGAACTTTGGATATTCAATTACTCTTACTCGAGAATTTATGTCTTGCAACTTAAAGTTTTCTTTTAATATACTCTACCTTAGGGAATCCTATCACAGGATAACAATGTTGATGCCTTAGCTTTATAATGTTTTACAAGTCAAAAAGTTTTATTTGAAGTGACTTTATATGACGCTGTTATAATAATCCTTTTAGTCCTCACATTGCTCGATCGAGTCTTGTTTTTGTTTCACACCGTTACAGTCATCATACTTAATTACTTGTCCTTTGACATGGTTAATGAAACAAGTAGTTATTAGGTACTAACTTAACCTTTTACCAAAAAAAAAAAAAAGTGGTTAGGTACTTATTAGCATTATAAGAAGATTATAAGCTTGTTACCACTCTTATCATAGACTGGCTTAAAGAATCATTAGAGTTTGATCTTTTAGGTCCCAATTGAACAAATGGTTTTCCCTTCTTATTTACTATTTGCAGATCAAGGAATCTGAGAAGTCTTGGACTTGGAATGTGCTTTCCAAGGGCGACGAACCCAGGACTTGTGGACACAATCGCAAAACTTCCATTGCTTGAAACCCTCGAGGTCTCACACTCATGTTTAATTCTGGATTTCAAAGCTATAGGTCAGGCTTGCCCACAGCTAAAGACATTCAAGTTAAACTCCTCAGGGCATTTCTGGAACTCTCGCAACTTTCGCAACTCTCGCAATGATGATTATTATGCCCTAGAAATCGCTGAAAGCATGCCAGAACTACGCCACCTCTACCTTTATGGGAACAAACTAAGTGACATAGGCTTGAACGCCATTCTTAACGGTTGTCCTCACCTGGAACACCTCGAGTTACATAAGTGTTTCAAGCTTAAACTTGTCGGAGATCTGGAGAAGCGATGTTCTGAGAGGATCAAATATTTTAGACACACCAATAAATGAGTCAACCTTTGATCACCCATTTGCTATCACTTTTTTCAATGACTTGGACAACATTGAGATTTTACTATGACCTTAATTAGTGAATCTCTCTAAACACAGGTTGCTTTTGATTTTCATTTCAAATTATGAACTCTTTAGTTTTTTCTATGTTGTAGTTTCAAAGTTTTTATTTCGTTTAAGCTTTTAGCGTGTGATTTGTTTTTAATGAATAATGATGATCGATTGGGTTTAATTATGGGCCTAGGCCCAAGAGATTATTTTTATTATCGTAAATATGTATCACTATGAGGACCTAATTGTAATTTAGCGACGGAAACGAAAATTTTGAAACCACAGTTACTTTCTTCTTCTCTCTAGCCGTTTTCATTTGTTTCTCCTTGGCCACCGTCTTCTTGTCTTTACCTCCGGCGATGGAGGACGGAGATTATAGAAACTGGGCTGAGCTTCCAGCAGAACTGACGTCATCGGTTCTTCTCCGGCTTGGCGTGGTTGAGATACTCGAAAATGCTCAGAAAGTGTGCAGATCGTGGCGTCGCGTCTGTAAAGACCCTTCGATGTGGCGGAAGATTGTCATAGACAACAGCGGAAATAGGGATATCTTCAAGTACGACCTCGAGTCCATGTGCCGTCACGCCGTTGATCGTAGCCAGGGCGGTTTGCTTGAGATCGATATTGAGTACTTTGGTACTGATAAACTCCTCGATTACATCGCCGATAGGTTCTCTCTCTCTCTCCCTGTAACACAAAATCTCTTGAATTATGGTTTTCTTCAAGAGGGATTTTCGAATTTTTATTAGAGCACTGAGGTTGATTTGATTTCAGTCGTTGTATTCGGGTTATGCTAGTTCTAGGGTTACAGATTTTGACAATTGGGGAAATTATTGTTAACTTATGATTGTGTTTGGAGGATTCTGTGTCACTCTTTCGTTATACTGAATCTATGATGAATGCACTTTTTGGCATTTGAGTTGAATCAGTTGTTTTGTTAATGAAGTGTTGGTTTTTAATGTTTTGGTTTCTTATACATTGTCCTTTTCTCGTTTGTGAATGTTATTCCTTTTTTTCTTTGGATTTTAAGTAGAAAACATCCACTTGATTCTCATATTTTGATGCTTGGGAGGTCTAAATCTTTGGGTTAGGTTATGTTTTAAACTTTGACTCACAATTATCTGCAGTTCAAGTAATCTGAGAAGCCTTAGACTTGTAAGATGCCATCAAATAACAGATAAGGGAGTTGCCGAAGCAGTTGTAAAACTTCCATTGCTTGAAGACCTCGAGGTTTCATACTGCTCATTTTCAGGAGAGTGTCTGAGTGTTGTAGGCCAGTCTTGTCCACATCTGAAGACATTGAAGCTAAACCGCCGACCTCGCGTCGAGTTTGTAATAAATATGCGTGATCATAATGCCATAGCAATTGCAGAAAGCATGCCTGAGTTACGCCACCTTCAGCTTTTAGGGAACGCACTAACTAACACTGGCTTGAAAGCCATTCTTGACAGTTGTACTCACCTGGACCATCTTGATTTACGCCAGTGTTACAATATTAACCTTGTCGAAGATTTCATGAACCAATGTGTTGAAAGGATCAAATATTTGAGATGCCCCAATGACTCAATCGCTGCTTGCTCAACCGAAACCAGCTTTCTTGATATCGATTCAGATGATGGCTTTCCCTATATGTATGGTGGCTATGACATTATGGGCGGCTATGACATTATGGGCAGCTACGACATGATGGGCGGCTATGACATTATGGGCAGCTACGACATGATGGGCGGATATGACATTATGGGCGGCTATGACTCAGGTATCAGGGACTATCGTTGGGAGTAGATATTGATTTTTTTCTTAACAATGCAGAGACAGGTTGTCTTTGCCGTGCTTGTCAAGTTCAGTGGCAAGTGGTTGTGACTTATGAACTCGTCCGTGTCTTCTTTTTCTCTATGTTTGTTGATTTTAAATTAAAGACGGAACCCAAAAGATCTTATTTATTTTGACATTTTTGATCCTCAGAAACTGCTTCCTCCTCTTGGTCATCGACGTCTACTTCCGTTTCTTCGCTGGTGAAAGATGAAGAGGTGAGAAATTGGGCAGAACTTCCACCGGAACTGACATCGTCGATCCTTGGCCGGCTTGGCACGATTGATATACTGGAAAATGCTCAAAAAGTGTGCAGATCGTGGCGTCGCGTTTGTAAAGACCCCTCGATGTGGCGGAAGATTGACATGGACAACCTCGGAGACTTGGGAGCCATGGAGTACGATCTTGAGATCATGTGTCGTCATGCAGTGGATCGTAGCCAGGGCGGCTTGGTTGAGATTGACATTTGGTACTTTGGTACTGATGAGCTCCTCAATTACATTGCCGACAGGTTCTATCTCTCTCTCTCTCTATTCATATGACTCAAAACCACGCCTATGTTTGTTTTCTTAAGGGAAATTTTGATCTCCTTAAGAGAAATTTGATTTCACTCGTTGAATGGGGTATGCCAATTTGAAGGTTAGATGTGAAAGATCTTAGTAGTTTCAGTGAGTGGGAATACCTTCTGTTCTTTTTTACTTATGAGAATTGGGGAATTATTGTTATTTTATGATGTGTTTCGAGAATTATTGTGTCGATCTTTTTAACTAGAAATCAATTTGTTAAATCAGTTCTCAATTCAGGTTTGTGACTGTTAATCCCTTGCTCTTCCATTTTGGAGTAGAAAATATCCACTTGATTCTAACATTGTTATGTTTCTGAGGTCTAAATGATTGGCTTCAGGTTCTCCGTGTGCTATAAATAAAGATCTTTTGCATCTTTGTTGTCTTTCTTCTCTATCTTGGATTATGCTTTTAACCTTTTACCAACAATTATTTGCAGGTCGAGTAATCTGAGAACCCTTAGACTTATAATGTGCTATCCAATAGCAGACGAGGGATTTATCGAAGCAGTTGTGAAGCTTCCATTGATTGAATACCTCGAGCTTTCACACTGCTCCTTGTCAGGAGAGTCTCTGAAAGTTGTAGGTCAGTCTTGTCCAAATCTGAAGACATTGAAGCTAAACTCTGAGCCTGACCCCAAATTTAATGATGATGAGTTTAATAATGAAGAAGCTCTAGCAATCGCAGAAAGCATGCCAGAACTACGCCACCTCCAGCTGTTTGGGAACATACTAACCAATGTGGGTTTGAACGCCATTCTTGACGGTTGTCCTCACCTGGAACACCTTGATCTACGCAAGTGTTCCAACGTTGACTTTACCGGGGATCTAGAGAAGCGATGTATTGAGAGGATCAAAGATTTGAAACGCCCCAACGACTCAACCGCTGGTCACCCATATGGTAACTTTTTGATTAATGTCCCCAATGATACCAGCAACTATTATTGGTACTAGATATTGAATCTTTCTGAACAATGCAGAGAACATGTTTCTTTTGTTGGTCATGTCTCCTCTTTTCTCTATGATGCCTGTGACTATTATTGGTATTAAATATTGAATCTTTCTGAACAATGGAGAGAACATGTGGCTTTTGTTGGTCTTGTCAACTTATGAACTCGTTCATGCCTCCTCTTTTCTCTATGTAGTTTCAGTGTCATTTGAACTTTAAAAAATGTTTTGAGCCCGTGATTGTAACTCCGAGAACGATGCGATGGGCCTTTTCGTTTTTGCTGTGATTACAATTTAAGTATAGGCCAAGGCCCAAGATTAAGGTAGGTTTGGCCCAAATTAGTTTCATATTTATGTGGTACCATGAGGATCTAATTGTAAAATTAGAGACATACAAAATTCTTAAAACGAATTCATTCTCTTATTTTGAGCATCATATAATCTGACGGAAAATTTATACTTGTGAAAATTTCTCACCACTTATTTAGATTTTTACCTATATTTGAAATTTTATTTTTTTTTATTTTAACTTTTTTCTATTTTACTATTAAGACAAACTTAATCTTTCTATTTTTCGTCAATGTCAATTTATACATACACACTCTTATTATATAATCTCAAATTTTAAACATGTATTTCTTAAAAATAAATTATTTATCTTAAAACATTTATACAATCATACATTTACGATAACATTTAACCATTAATTTTTTTATAACCTAAATAAAATATTGTTTTAATAAATTTCTTGCACTTCATTATTAACTCTCTAAGTAATAGTTTAATAATTTTAATTATATTGTTCCAATCTATAACTAGCGGAATTTGGATTTTGTTCTTATAGAAAGATGAACAAAAAAAAACAAACTTAGATAGAAAACGATCCAAACTAAACCGGTAAAAGAGACTAATATACTCCGATAAAACGAAAACTAGATATCTGATCAAAATCGGAAGATAATTTATATATAACAAAAACCAGAAAAAATTCCGGTTAATCGGAAATGGCTTTCTTTCTCTGAACGATAGAGATATGTTAAAGAGCGAGAAAGCTAGTTAATTAGGGGTTAATTATTTATTTAAAATGTATGAAAATAACAATAACAATACTGTATTTCTATGATATCTAAGGGATGTAAATGCTCTTATTCACTTATTTGACCTAATCTTATCTTGAAAAATACAACCTCCTCTTTTTCAAAAAATAGTTATAAAGTTAAATTTTTTTTTTTTTTTTGCCGAGATCAATGTGTGGTGCCAAAAGAGTTCACGAGCGTGTGTATTTTATTTGCCCAAGGGTGCCTTCAGAAAATCATCATGATTGTTATTCGCGATAAGTGCGTCTGGTCTTGCTTCTTCAGCTATCGAGTATTGAGCCTAGCTAATAGTACGTGGCATGAATTGTATCGTATACACTTAAATACTACGACGACCAAAAATTTGAATTAGAGAGTACTGAAGCCGAAAGGTCCGATACTAGACTTCACTTCTTATTTAATTTCTCTGATTTGACATTGTTTTTTTTTTTAGGCTTCAAAAATGTCTTCCTCCTCCTCCTCCTCCTCCTCCTCCTCCTCCTTTTCTTGTACGTCGTTGTCTACTTTCGTGCCTCCGCTGATGAAAGACGAAGAGCCAAGAAACTGGGCGGATCTTCCGTCGGAGTTGACGTCTTCGATCCTGATCCGTCTTAGCGTGACTGATATTCTGGACAACGCTCAGAAGGTGTGCAGACCGTGGCGACGCGTCTGTAAAGACCCTTCGATGTGGCGGAAAATCGACATGAGTAGCCTGATGAAAAACTATGGAATTCTCGACTGCTTAGCTAGCATGTGCCGTCACGCCGTTGATCGCAGCCAGGGTGGTTTGGTCGAAATCCACCTTGGGAACTTCGTCAACAATGATCTCCTCGACTACATCGCAGATAGGTTACCTATCTTCTCCCCATCCCCTACCACTCGCTGCGTTTGAGTTGTTTCATGGGAATCTCATTTAGATATTAATATATACATTTGTGTGAGAAAGAAATATCTGAAATGTGGTTGTTCCTTTTTCTCTTGAGGATTAGGGCAAAATTGTTTGTTCTTTTTTTTTTATTTTCTGATGAGGATTAGGGCAATTTTTTTTATTTTTTTTTGTAGGACAAAATTTTGTCAACTTATAATCGCTGGATTTTTTGTTTTAGTTTATCACGTGTTAATGAAACTCTTTTCTTGTCTTTTTCCTTTTACTGGATCTGCTATGAATGCCCTTTACTATGGATATTTTTCTATGCCTTGCAACTTAAATTATTTCTTTTTATTTATACTATACGTTTGGGTCTTTGGGATTAGATGGACAAATATGAAGATAATTAACGTTCATGCCTTTATAGTGTTTTACGAGTAATTCTTTTTCAATTTTGTATTCAAGTACATAATTAGTCCTCACATTGTCCCAGTCTTGTTTTGTTTCAGACCGTTATTACTCTCATAATTCTTAATTAATTATTTATCCTTTGTCATGGTTAAAGAAAACAAGTATTCTTAATTAGCATATAAGAATATCATTAGCTTATATATAGAACTCTTATCATAGACTTGTTGCTTAAAGCATCATTACAGTTTTGATATTTAAAGCCTCGTCGTCCCAGTTTGATCAAAGGGATTGTCCATATGTTATTCTTTGCTCTTCATATATATTTTACATGTTTCTGAGTAGATTAGTACTATGAGATTTTTTAATTATGGGTTTTTTTTTTTTTTTTTGATATCATATTGTTGTTACTCTTCTTCTTAGTTTATGATTTAACTCTTCACGGAACTATTTGCAGATCAAGTAATCTGAAAAGTCTTGGATTTCCAGTCTATTACCCAAGGACGACGAACAAAGGACTTGTGAACGCAATCGCAAAACTTTCATTGCTTGAAACCCTCGAGTTTTTCCAATCATCGTTTGAACTGGATTTGAAAGCTATAGGCAACGCTTGCCCACAGCTAAAGACATTGAAGCTAAACTCCTCAGGGTCAAGTTATGATGATGTTTATGCCCTAGCAATCGCTGAAAGCATGCCCAAACTACGCCACCTCCAGCTTCTTGGGGACAGACTAACCAACATAGGCTTGAACGCCATTCTTGACAGTTGTCCTCACCTGGAACACCTTGATTTACGCAAATGTTTTAACATTGCCCTTGTCCGGAATCTTGAGAAGAAATGTTTGGAGAGGATCAAAGAGTTGAGACGCCCGGACGACTCAACCGCTGATTACCCATATGCTATCACTTTTGTCGATTCTGATTCAGATGATGACTACTACCACTATTCAGATAATGACTACTACCACTATTCAGATAATGACTACTACTACTATTCAGATAGATATTGAATCTCTCTGAACGATACAGAGAACATGTTGCTTTTGTTGGTCTTGTCAACTTATGAACTCCTTCCTCTCTTTTCTCTATGTAGTTTCAGTGTCCTTTTGAACTTTAAAAAATGCATTGAGTGCGTGATTGTAACTCCAAGAACAATGCAATGGGGCTTTTATTGCTGTGCCTACAATTTAATTATAGGCCTAGGCCCAAGATTAAAGTAAGCTTGGCCCAAATTTGTTTCGTAATGAGAGAGACTGATACATAATTCTTGAAACGATTTCTTCACTCTCTTATTTTGACAATTCGATACTTAGAAATGGCTTCTTCGTCTTTACCTCCGGCGATGGAAGTCGGAGAATATATAAACTGGACGGAGCTTCCACCGGAACTGACGTCAGCAATCCTGCACCGTCTTGGCGCGATTGAGATACTTGAAAACGCTCAGAAAGTTTGCAGATCGTGGCGCCGAGTTTGTAAAGACCCATCGATGTGGCGTAAAATCGACATGCATAACCTCGGAGATTTGGAAGACATGGATTACAACCTCGAGATCATGTGTCGCCACGCTGAGATCGATATATGGTACTTTGGTACTGATGGTCTCCTCAATTACATCGCCTATAGGTTCTCTTCTCTCTCCCTGTGACTCAAAATCTCGCCAATTTTTGATTCTTTGTTTAGAGAATTGGGTTGATTTGATTTCAGTCGTAGTATGGGGTTATGTTAGTTCTAGGGTTAGAACAGATTTTGGTTGTGAAAGTTATTCGTAGCATATGATTTGTGTTGTGTTGGAGTAGTAAATAGTCACTTGAAGCTCAGATTGTTATGCTTCTGAGGTCTGAATGGTTAGGTTCTGGTTTTTTGGGATGATAGAAAAAAGATCTTTTGGATCTTTATCATTCTTCTTCTCTATCTTAGATGTTGTTTTTAACTTGTTGTTACACACAATGATTTGCAGGTCGAGTAATCTGAGAAGCCTTAGACTGACAAGGTGCTCTCAAATTACGGACGATGGACTTGTCGAAGCAGAAGAAGATCATCCACTTGTACTATTGAACGGTTCTCTAATTCTTCTCTCTATCCCTTAATTACAGTCGCTACTTTTGAACGGTTTTTCATGGAAACCTCCAAATGCTGTTTAGAGAAACATAGCTTTTATTTGATTTCACTGTCTGCGAATCAGTCACAAAATGCCCTGAGGATTTAGCTACGGCAAAATTTTGATAACTTAATAATCGTTGATTTTTTTATTTTATCATGTGTTAATTAAACTCAGTTTATCATATGTCTTTTTCCTTTTACCTGATCTGGCGATCTGCTATGAATGGACTTTGGATATTCATTTACTTCAAAGTTTCTTTTCTGTAATCTACGTTTGGGGTTAGATATGCACAGATATGAAGGCTAATTTTCATGCCTTAATAGTGTTTTAGAGTAAATGTTTTCGATTTTTGTTCTTTCAAGTAACTGTTGCTATAAATTTACTATAGTCCTTTGTTCTCACATTGTTCTAGTCTAGTTTTGTTTCACCCGTTATTATTTACTTTCATCATGCTTAATTAATTACTTAATACTTATCCTTTGTCATGGTTAAAGAAAACAACTAGTTATATATATAGGTTATTAGCAGATATAAGAATATCGTTAGCTTATAGAGCTCTTGTCATAGACTTGCTTAAAGCATCATTACAGTTTTGATCTTTTAAGCCATGCATGTACTCGATCGTCGTCCCAGTTTGATCAAAGGGATTGTACATAACACGTTATTCTTTGCTCTTCATATTTTACATGCTTCTGAGTTGATTAGTACTATATATGAGAATTTCTAGTTATGGTTTTTTTTTTTTTGATAACATATTTTTGTTACTCTTCTTCTTAGTTTATGATTTAACTCTTCACGTAACTATTTTCAGATCAAGTAATCTGAAAAGTTTTGCACTTCCAGTCTGTTACCCATCGATAACAACAATAGAAGAACTTGTTAACGCAATCGCGAAATTTCCATTTCTTGAAACCCTCGAGTTCTTCGACTTTTTGTTTATACTGGATTTGAAAGCTATAGGCCACGCTTGCCCACAGCTAAAGACATTGAAGATAAACTTCTCAGGCTACACCCCTTGTGATGATGATGATGCCATAGCAATCGCTGAAAGCATGCCGGAACTACGCCACCTCCAGCTTATGGGGAACGGACGACTAACCGACACAGGCTTGAACGCCATTCGTGACGGTTGTCCTCATCTGGAACACCTTGACGTACAAATAAGACATAATTAAGAAGCAAGTAAAGAAGTATGAAGCAGAGATGTCAAATGAGCCGTGACACTCGGAAGAGCTGGGGAAGGAGACTCGTCCCATGTATACATAAGAGATTGTGATGCTTGATGTTTTATGCTTTTGGTTGTTGATTGTAAGAGACGTGATGAATCTCCTGGGGATCACGATCGCCATGAGATCGTGACTAGAGCTTCTGTGATCCTTATGAGATCATAATCGGTTGTTCATAATTATCATTTTATCATCTTGTGTAATCTGTGTTTGTGTGATTGTAATCAATAGCTACAGAGATCTATAAAGGATTTTGTGAGTTCAAAACTTATCATGTACGCAAGTGTTTCAACATCTGATTCAGATGATGACTATAGATTGAATCTCTATGAACACAGGGTTGCTTTTGATGGTCTTGTCAACTTATGACTCGTTCATGTCTCCTATTTTCTCTATGATGCCACTGACTATTATTGGTACGAGAAATTGAATCTTTCTGAAAAATAAAGAGAACATGTGGTTTTTGTTGGTCTTGTCTGTTAAATTTGGGCTAATTCTGGGCTTCCAACTAAAAACCAATTGGCAATTAGTGGATTGGCCCTAACCCTTTATATATTATTGATTGTCCCATCAAACTTCCGATGTGGGACTTGGATTGTATCTCCAACAATCTCCCCTTCAATCCAAGGACCACATGGATCTTAACACACCTCCTCGATCCCTCACTCGGACCGATAATAAGCCCCTTTCTCGGGCCCCCATTACTCGGGTTTGAGGTATGTCCGTATCCACTTTTCTAGGTCCACCAGAATTTGAACCTTGGGCTCTGATACCATGTTAAATTTGGGCTAATTTTGGGCTTCCAACTAAAAACCAATTGGCAATTAGTGGATTGGCCCTAACCCTTTATATATTATTGATTGTCCCATCAAACTTCCGATGTGGGACTTGGATTGTATCTCCAACATTGTCAACTTATGAACTAGTTCATGTCTCCTCTTTTCTCTATGTTTGGTAGTTTCAAATTCCTCATTTCCTTCTGATTTTTAAGAACTTTATCCAACTTCTTACTAACTAAACCCTCCTCTCGCTTGTTACTCCACGTGAATAGCGGACCATGAGTCCTCATATCCACTAAAGAACAATACCGCGCACACCACTTCTTGGAAATCTCGCATGCCCGAAGTAACCAGAAGAGAGAAGAATCGGATTGTGTTCTTCCAAGTCAAACATCTCATTGAACTCGCCTAGAATAATGCACAGCTTGCCCCTAAACGATGAATACAATTTAGTAATTTAACTAACCATATTTTTGATTTATCGATAATTTAATTATATCAAAGTTAACATATGCAAAAAAATAAAATATGACTGATGATAAAGCATTAACAAAATCGAACCTAATTCTTTTAAATTTAAATTTTGTTGGATAAGTTTAAATTTCTTCTTGCTAGATTACTACATAAACTTTTATTTGGTAGAAAATGTTAACATTAAAACAAAAACAAAAAATTCGAACGGAATTATTCTTTTTACTTAAATAGAAACGAGTAAAAAAAAAAAAAAAAAAAACGAGTCCAAGATTGTTCATGACGATATCAGTGATTTGGTGGCAAAAGTGTTTATGAGCGCGTGTATTTACCTAGGCCTAAGAAAATCAAGCAAACATTAGCGCGTGAGTGTTATTTGCGATATATGCGGCTGGTCTTGCTTGATTCTTCAGGAGTATTGAGACCTAATTAGACGTGGCATGAATCGTACCGTAGACACATAATACTACGATGACCAAATGTCCGAAACAATACACTTCACTTCTTATTCACTAATTTGACCTAATCTTATCCTCAAAAACGACAGCCTCCTCTTTTTGAGAAAAGAAAATGACAGCCTCCTCTTTTTGAGAAGAAGAGAAAATGACAACCTCCACTACGTTGCAGTCGTTGTTCATGAAAGAAGATGAAGAGCGAAGAAAAGAGCAACGAAACTGGTTGGATCTTCCGCCGGAGTTGACGACTTCGATCCTGCTCCGACTTAGCGTGACTGATATTCTGAACAACGCTCAGAAGGTGTGCAGACAGTGGCGACGCGTCTGTAAAGACCCTTCGATGTGGCAGAAAATCAACTTGCGAGACTGCCTATTCTATCAGTTCGATTTCGAGGGCATGTGTCGTCACATTGTTGATCTCAGCCAGGGTGGCTTGCTAGAGATCAACATTGGACACTTCTTGAGCGATTCTCTCCTCAGCTACATCGCCGATAGGTTCTCTCTCTTCTCTCTATTCCTTTCGCAAGCTACGTTTGAACTGTTTTTCATGGAAATCTCCAAATCTGTTTAGAGAAATATGGCTTTTATTTGATTTCACTGATCTGTGAATTAGACACAAAATGTCCCAGTATATATATTTTGACTGATAAGAAATCTCTGATATGTGTTTGTTCCTTTTTCTCCTGAGGATTAATTAGGGCAAAAGTTTGATAACTTATAAGCGTCGATTTTTTTTGGTTAATCATGTGTTAATTAAACTCAGTTTATCATGTCTTTTTTCCTTTTACCGGATCTGGCTATCTGCCATGAATAGACTTTGGATATTCATTTACTTAAAGTTTTATTTTATGTGCTCTTCGTTTGGGGTTTGACATGCACGGATATGAAGATTGAAGGCTAATTTTGATGCCTTAATAGTCTTTTAGAGTAAATGGTTTCGATTCTCATGCGGTCATGCCTTAATTAATAGTGTTTTAGAGTAAATGCCTTAATAATGGTTTAGATATAAAGGCTAATTTCCATGCTATGACGGTGTTAGAAATTTATAATAGTCCTTTAATTGTTCTCACATTGTTCAAATCTTGTTTCGTTTCACACCGTTATTATCATCATATATATATAACTTTACTTGTCATGGTTAAAGAAAACAAGTAGTAATCAGGTTATTAGCATATATCATTAGCTTGTAGAACTCTTATGATAGACGACTTACTCAAAGCATCATTGTTAATTTTCATGCCTTAACAGTATTTTAGGGTAAACGATTTCGATTTTCATGCCTTAATAGTGTATTAGAGTAAATTATGCCTTAATTTTTAGATATATATGAAGGCTATTTCCATGCTATGACGCTGTCCAATCTCACATTGTTCGATCGAGTCTTGTTTTGTTTCATTGTTATTACTCTATCACATCATATATAACTTTCTTGTCATGGTTAAAGAAAAAAAATAGTTAGGTTATTAGCATATATATATAAGAACATCATTAGCTTATAGAACTCTTATGGTTTCGTTTTTTTATAACGTATTGTTGTTAATCTTCTTCCTAGTTTATGATTTAACTCTTCACGTAATTATTTGCAGATCAAGTAATCTGAAAAGCCTTGGACTTTCAATCTATGAACCAATGACGAACGAAGGAGTTATGAAGGGAATTGCAAAATTTCCATGGCTTGAAACCCTCGAGGTCTTCCATTCATCGTTTAAACTGGATTTGAAGGCTATAGGCCACGCTTGCCCACAGCTAAAGACATTGAAGCTAAACTTCTCAGGCTGCCCAGGGCATGAAATTTATCTTATAAGCCAGTTAGATCTCATTCCCCCTCCCGTCGAATGTGATGATGATGCCCTAGCAATCGCTGAAAGCATGCCGAAACTACGCCACCTCCAGCTTATTTGGAACGGACTGACCAACACTGGCTTGAATGCCATTCTCGACGGTTGTCCTCACCTGGAAGACCTTGATGTGCGCAAGTGTTTCAACATTAAACTTGTCGGGAATCTTGAGAAGCGATGTTTGGAGAGGATCAAAGAGTTGAGACGCCCCGGTGACTCAACAGCCGATTACCCATATAATATCGGTCTGTCAACTGTGCTTCAGATCATGATTAAATGTGGATTCTTTCCGAGACACAGGGTTGCTTGTTGATGGTCTTGTCAACTTATGAACTTGTTCATGTCTCTTCTTTTCTCTATGATGCAGAGAACATGTGGTTTTTTGGTTTTGTCAACTTATGAACATGTGGTAGTTCTTATTTCCTTCTAAACTTTTTAAGCTTTGAGCGCATGACTGTTATTCGCGAAAACGATGCAATGGTTTTTGATTTTTCATAAGTGTGTAGATCGTGGCGTGGACTCTTTAAAGACCCTTGGATGTGGCGGAGGATTGACTTAAGAAACCGCAGAAGCTCGGCAAAAATGAAGCAGAAGCTCGATATCATGTGCCGTCACGTTGTTGATCGGAGCCAGGGAGGCTTGGCTGAGATCAAAATTTGGAACTATGGTTCTAATAATCTCCTCAATTACATAGCCGATAGGTTCCACATCTCTCTCTTCTTCCATATGACTCACACGCACGCAAGTTTTGGTTTTCTTAAAGTGCTTTTGATTTCACTCGTTCAATGTGACGAGAGTGATTGAGAATTGAGGAAAATTTTGTTTGCTTATGACTTCGTTTGGAGGATTTTATTATCTATCTCGAATCTCTGATAAAATGCACTTCTTGACATTGAGTGGCTTTGTTAATGAAAACTTTTAAAATTAAATTTTATTGGGCAAGTATAAATTTGTTCTTTCTAGTAATTTCATATGTAAACTTTTATTTGGTATAAAATCTTAGCATTAAAACCTAAAAACAAATCAAATCGAATTATACTTTTACTTAAATAGAAACGAGTAAAAAAAACATTAGCGCGTGAGTGTATTTGCCTAATTATACGTGGCATGAATTGTATCGTACACTACGATGACCAAATATTTGACTTGGGGACGGAAGCACAAAGGTAGACATCACTTCTTTTATCCACAGATTTGACCTAATTTTACCCACAAAAATGACAACCTCCGCTTTTTCAGAAAAGAAAATGAAAACCTCCTCTCCGTCGCCGATGAAATACGAAGAGCCAAGAAGCTGGGCGGATCTTCCGTCGGAGTTGACGTCTTTGATCCTGATCCGTCTTAGCGTGGCTGATATTCTGAACAACGCTCAGAAGGTGTGCAGACCGTGGCGACGCGTCTGTAAAGAACCTTCGATGTGGCGGAAAATCGACATGAGAAGCCTGATCAGAGATAGGGGAATGCTCGAGCCCTTAGCTATCATGTGCCGTCACGCCGTGGATCGCAGCCAGGGTGGTTTGGTCAAAATCCACCTTGGGAACTTCGTCAACGATGATCTTCTCGACTACATCGCTGATAGGTTACCTATCTTCTCTCTATCTCTTACCACTCGCTATGTTTGAATTGTTTTCATTGGAATCTCTCCAAATACTGTTTTGTTTAGAGAAATTGATGGCTTTAGACAAATAAATATGTGTCGGTATATATTTTGAGTATCTGAAATGTGTTTGTTCCTTTTTTTTCGTGAGGATTAGGGCAAAACTTTGTTCATTAATTATAAGAGATCCCCATTTAATTATAATCGTTGATTTTTCTTTTTATTTTGTTTATCACTCGTGTTAATGGAACTCCACTTATCTTGTCTTTTTTTTTTCCCTTTTACTGGATTTGCTATGAATATGCACTTTGGATATTCAGTACTCTTACTCGAGAATGTATGTCTTGCAACTTCAAGTTTTCTTTTAATGTACTCTACGTCTGATATGAATGCACTCATGCCATTACAATGTTTTAGGAGTCAAAAAAAAAAATCAATTTATTTTGAAGTCACTGTTGATATGATGATGTTATAATAGTCCTTAGTTCTCACATTGTTCGATCGAGTCTTGTTTTGTTTCACATCGTTACTGTCATATCATACATAATTCCTTGTCCTTTGTCATGGCTAATAATGATAACAAGTAGTTAGGTTATTAGCATTATAAGAAGATTAAGAACTTATACAATTCTTATCATATACTTACTTAATGCATCTTTAAAGTTTGATCTTTTAGGTCCAAATTGAAACAAATGGTTTGCTCTTCTGTGCTCTCCTTATTTACATGCTTCTGAGTTGATTAGTACAATGAGAATTTCTTATGTTTTTTTTTTTTTAAAGAACGTATTGTTGTTCTTCTTATCGTTTATGATTTAACTCGACACGTGATTATATATTTGTAGATCAAAGAATCTGAGAAGTCTTGGACTTGGAATGTGCTTTCCAAGGGTGACGAGGCCAGGACTTGTGAATGCAATCACAAAACTTCCATTGCTTGAAACCCTCGAGGTCTCACACTCATGTTTACAACTGAGTTTGGAAGATATAGGCCACGCTTGCCCACAGCTAAAGACATTGAAGTTAAACTCCTCAGGGGGTTTCTGGAACTCTCGCAATGATGATGATTATGCCCTAGAAATCGCTAAAAGCATGCCAGAACTACGCCACCTCCACCTTTATGCGAACAACCTAAGTAACACACGCTTGAATGCCATTCTTGACGGCTGTCCTCACCTGGAACGATTGGTTACAGATGTGTTGCAAGCTTAACCTTGTCGGAGATTTGGAGAAGCGATGTTTTGAGAGGATCAAATACTTTGGACACACCAAATCATGACTCAACCTTTGATCACCCATTTGCTATCACTCTTTCAATGACTTGGACAACATTGAGGTTTACTATGAGTAGATAGTGAATCTCTCTGAACACAGGTTGCTTTTGATGGTCATGTCACATTATGAACTTATGTCTCCTCTTTTCTCTATGTTGATTACCCATTTGATATCACTTTTGTCAATGACTTGGACAACATTGAGGTTTACTATGACTTTTATCTGGACTATATAGTATATCTCTTTGAACACAAGTTGCTTTTTATGGTCATGTCACAATTCACATTATGAACTTGTTCATGTCTCCTCTAGTCCTCTTTTCTCTATGTTGGTTTGGTAGTGTTTCAAAGTCCCTTATTTTCTTTGTACGTCTTAAGTTTGTAGCGCGTGATTGTAACTCGCGTACGATGCAGAAGTTGTTTCTTAAGAAATTGTTTTTCACAAAACACACTTCTTAAAGTTTTTGTTTTGACTTTTGGACAAAATCAAAATGAGTTCTCATGGATTAGCCAAATAGTATATTATTTTGACCAAAATACATTTTTTAACTAAATGAACACAACTATTCTCTCATTTTCTTCTAGCTATTCGTTTGATTAATAGGAAAAGTAGAAAAGGAGTATGAGATGATACGTGGGTGTAGTTGCCTAATTATACGTGGCATGAGTTGTATTGTATACTACGACGGCCAAAATTTTGACTTATTTAAAGACGGAAACCGTATGGTCCGAAACTACACTTCACTTCGTATTGACTGATTTTTTGACCTAATTTTTATCCTCAAAAATGACAACCTCCGCTTTTTCAAAAAAGAAAATGAGAACCTCCTCTACGTCGCAGATGAAAGACGAAGAGGCAAGAAACTGGGCGGATCTTCCGTCGGAGTTGACGTATATGTTCCTGATCCGTCTTAGCGGGATTGATATACTGGACAACGCTCAGAAGGTGGCGACGCGTGTGTAAAGACCCTTCGATGTGGCGGAAAATCGACATGAGAAGCCCGATCAGAAAGGAGTGAATGCTCGACCGCTTAGCTAGCATGTGCCGTCACGCCGTTGATCGCAGCCAGGGTGGTTTGGTCGAAATCCACGTTGGCAGCTTCGCCAGTGATGATCTCCTCGACTACATCGCAGATAGGTTACCTATCTTCTCTCTATCCCTTAATTACCACTCTTAAGCATGCTACGTTTGAGTTGTTTCATGGGAATCTCCAAATGCTGTTTTATTTAGAGAAATTGATGGCTTTAGACACAAAATATGTGTCGGTATATATTTTGAGTGAGAAAATAATATCTGAAGTTTGTTTAGTCCTTTTCCTCGTGAGGATTAGGGCAATAATTTTGTTCACTTATAATCGTTGATTTATATTTTTTTGTTTATCACGATTTAATTGAAACTCCACTCTTGTCTTTTTTTTTCTTTTTTTTTTCTTCTTAATACTGGATCTGCTATGAATGAACTTTGGATATTCAATTACTCTTACTCGAGAATTTATGTCTTGCAACTTAAAGTTTTCTTTTAAATATACTCTACCTTAGGGAATCCTATTACAGGATAACTGTTAGTATATACATTGGAATATTCTCTTTCTATATTGGCCCTGTTCTTTTCGTTATCGCGCGATTCTTGCGGCGACCAACAAAAAATGCCTTGTTTTTTAATTTTATTTACACCCAGCGACTGAACATCTCGTGAAAAGCAAGAAAAAGTGACGCCGGTGTTGATTTACTCAGTCGCTGAAAAAACAAGCGACACCGGCGACTGCAAATATCACGAACAAAAATTGCAGTGACAGGGAAAGAGAAAGAAACCAGCGACTAGGAAAGAGAAAGAAAGCAACAACATTAGTGTAATTTTGTGTCGCTGGAAAGTGTCGCGCGACGTCCAAAAGAACACGCCCAATAATCGTATAAAGATCCTCGTGTATATGTAGTTTAGATTCTCTAGCTCATGTATAAATATGAAAGCCAAAGTGCATAATAAAGTATCGGTTTCCAAATCATCTACATGGTATCAGAGATCCTTTGATCCAAACCCTAAATTTTTCCTTTGCGCCGTCATCTTCTTCCTCCACCGATCCAACTCTCTTCTTCCTTCTTTCTTATTTCTCTCTCTCCTTAAGCTATCATGTCGTCTGAACACTCTTCTACGTCCTCTGCATCAGCCCCTGTTTTCAATTCTTCTGAACCAAGCAAGACTTTGATCTCTCTCAATGTCTCCAATATCACCAAACTCACACCAATTAACTTCATCACATGGCGTCTTCAAGTCAGATCTCTACTTGAAGCACATGAGCTTCATGTCTTCATCGCCGATGACGACCAAACACCATCGGAGACAATCTCCACCGCCACTGCTGCAAATCAACCAAATCCAAACTTTGCTGCCTGGATCCGTCAAGACAAGCTGCTTTTCAGTGCCGTACTTGGCTCTCTCTCTCTCTCGGTTCAGTCACTTGTCGCCAGAGCAACGACAACGCGCGAGCTATGGAAGATTCTTCACCGTACGTATGGGACAGCTTCTCGTGGTCACATACGCGTCATCAAGGACCAGCTCAAAGAGAGCAACAAAGGCACCACGTCTGTCAATGAGTACATGCGAGGTATCATGGAAAAAGCTGACAAATTAGCACTGCTTGGGGATCCTCTCCCCCACGAAGATCTGCTGGAATACATCACCAATGGGCTTGGTGAAGACTACAGAGCAATTGTGGAGATGGTACAGGGTCGTGACACACCAATTTCGATTGATGAGCTTCATGAAAAACTCATAACTCATGAATCGCGAAATTAATCTGAAGGCTGCAAGCAAAAGTGATCTCTCTGTTCCGGTGACTGCCAATGCAACACAACTCAATCCGCAATCGTCACACAACACTTCACGCGGTGGTTCCAACAACTATCGTGGTGGCTATCGTCAGTCCAAGCCTTACTTGGGAAAGTGTCAAATCTGTGGCGTCCAGGGACATGGAGCCAAACGGTGTCCTCAATACCAACAATCCTCAACACCACAGCCCTATGCTGCACAACAACAACAGTTTCAGTATCGAGGACCTGCGCCCTGGCTAGCTCCACACCTGCCGCTTCCAGCACCGCAATGGCGACCCCAAGCTCATCACACTGTTAGCAGCCCTCATCCAGACCTTTCTCCCTGGCTACTCGATAGTGCTGCATCACATCACATCGCCAGCGATCTCAGCAACCTGTCTCTCCACTCTCCTTACAATGGCGGTGAACAGGTTTTAATCGGCAATGGTACCGGTCTACCGATCACTCATACGGGTTCTGTTTTCTTTCCCTCAAACTCTCGAAATCTTCATCTCTCGAATACCTTGTGTGTCCCTGCAATGAAAAAGAACTTGATCTCTGTCAATAAATTATGCAAAACTAATAGTGTTATGGTTCAACTCTGTCCTTATGACTTTCAGGTGAAGGATCTTCACACGGGGATAACACTACTCAAAGGCAAGGCCAATAACCATGTTGATGCCTTTATAATGTTTTACAAGTCAAAAAGTTTTATTTGAAGTGACTTTATATGACGATGTTATAATAGTCCTTTTAGTTCTCACATTGCTCGATCGAGTCTTGTTTTTGTTTCACACCGTCATCATACTTAATTACTTGTCCTTTGACATGGTTAATGAAACAAGTAGTTTACCAAAAAAAAAAAAAAAAAAAGTAGTTAGGTACGTACTTATTAGCATTATAAGAAGATTATCAGCTTGTACAACTCTTATCATTGACTTGCTTAAAGAATCATTAGAGTTTGATCTTTTAGGTCCCAATTGAACAAATGGTTTTCTCTTCTTATTCACATGCTTCTGAGTTGATTAGTACTATGAGAATTTCTAATGTTCTTCTTTTTTTCTAAGAACGTACTGTTCTTCTTCTTTTTATAGTTTATGGTTTAACTCGACCTGCAATTTATATATTTGCAGATCAAGGAATCTGAGAAATCTTGAACTTGGAATGTGCTTTCCAAGGGCGACGAGCCCAGGACTTGTGGACGCAATCGCAAAACTTCCATTGCTTGAAACCCTCGAGGTCTCACACTCATGTTTAATTCTGGATATCCAAGGTATAGGTCAGGCTTGCCCACGGCTAAAGACATTCAAGTTAAAATCCTCAGGGCGTTTCTGGAGCGCTCGCATCAAATGTGATGATGATTATTATGCCCTAGAAATCGCTGAAAACATGCCAGAACTACGCCACCTCTACCTTGATGGGAACAAACTAAGTGACATAGGCTTGAACGCCATTCTTGACGGTTGTCCTCACCTGGAACACCTCGATTTACATAAGTGTTTCAAGCTTAAACTTGTCGGAGATCTGGAGAAGCGATGTTCTGAGAGGATCAAATATTTTAGACTCACCACTAAATGAGTCAACCTTTGATCACCCATTTGCTATCACTTTTGTCAATGACTTGGACAACATTGAGATTTTACTATGACTTTAATGGGATTAGTTAGTGAATCTCTCTAAACACAGGTTGCTTTTGATGGCCATTTCAAATTATGAACTCTTTAGAGCATGTGCAGTGGTAATCTCTCACTATAGTCTCTCATCTACAAAAGCATTAATAAAATATAAAAGTATATTTTTTAATTTGTTGAGTCTCTCAAAAAAGGTGAAAGAGTCTCTCATTTGAGAGACAATGAGAAACTCTCTCACTTTTTTTGAGAGACTCATCTAATTAAATAATATATATTTTTATTTTATTAATTCTTTTGTACATGAGAGATTATGGTGAGAGACTACCACTGCACATGCTCTTAGTTTTCACGTAGTTTCAAAGTCTTTATTAAGCTTTTTAGCGTATGATTTGTTTTATTATAAAATGATGATCGATTGGGTTTAATTATGGGCCTAGGCCCAAAATATTATTTTTATTATTGTACTTTATGGCCCGAACTAATATCGTGTAAATATGTATCACTATGAGGACTTAATTGTAATTTAGAGACGGATACGAAAATTTTGAAACCACAGTTACTTTCTTCTTCTCTGTAGCCGTTTTCATTTGTTTCTCCTTGCCTTGGCCACCGTCTTCTTGTCTTTACCTCCGGCGATGGAGGACGGAGATTATAGAAACTGGGCTGAGCTTCCAGCAGAACTGACGTCATCGGTTCTTCTCCGGCTTGGCGTGGTTGAGATACTCGAAAATGCTCAGAAAGTGTGCAGATCGTGGCGTCGCGTCTGTAAAGACCCTTCGATGTGGCGGAAGATTGTCATAGACAACAGCGGAAATAGGGATATCTTCAAGTACGACCTCGAGTCCATGTGCCGTCACGCCGTTGATCGTAGCCAGGGCGGTTTGCTTGAGATCGATATTGAGTACTTTGGTACTGATAAACTCCTCGATTACATCGCCGATAGGTTCTCTCTCTCTCTCCCTGTAACACAAAATCTCTTGAATTATGGTTTTCTTCAAGAGGGATTTTCGAATTTTTATTAGAGCACTGAGGTTGATTTGATTTCAGTCGTTGTATTCGGGTTATGCTAGTTCTAGGGTTACAGATTTTGACAATTGGGGAAATTATTGTTAACTTATGATTGTGTTTGGAGGATTCTGTGTCACTCTTTCGTTATACTGAATCTATGATGAATGCACTTTTTGGCATTTGAGTTGAATCAGTTGTTTTGTTAATGAAGTGTTGGTTTTTAATGTTTTGGTTTCTTATACATTGTCCTTTTCTCGTTTGTGAATGTTATTCCTTTTTTTCTTTGGATTTTAAGTAGAAAACATCCACTTGATTCTCATATTTTGATGCTTGGGAGGTCTAAATCTTTGGGTTAGGTTATGTTTTAAACTTTGACTCACAATTATCTGCAGTTCAAGTAATCTGAGAAGCCTTAGACTTGTAAGATGCCATCAAATAACAGATAAGGGAGTTGCCGAAGCAGTTGTAAAACTTCCATTGCTTGAAGACCTCGAGGTTTCATACTGCTCATTTTCAGGAGAGTGTCTGAGTGTTGTAGGCCAGTCTTGTCCACATCTGAAGACATTGAAGCTAAACCGCCGACCTCATTACAGTTTTGATCTTTTAAGCCATGCATGTACTCGTCGTCCCAGTTTGATCAAAGCGATTGTACATAACACGTTATTCTTTGCTCTTCATATTTTACATGCTTCTGAGTTGATTATATAGTACTATATATGAGAATTTCTAGTTATGGTTTTTTTTTTGATAACATATTTTTGTTACTCTTCTTCTTAGTTTATGATTTAACTCTTCACGTAACTATTTTCAGATCAAGTAATCTGAAAAGTTTTGCACTTCCAGTCTGTTACCCATCGATAACAACGATAGAAGAACTTGTTAACGCAATCGCGAAATTTCCATTTCTTGAAACCCTCGAGTTCTTCGACTTCTTGTTTATACTGGATTTGAAAGCTATAGGCCACGCTTGCCCACAGCTAAAGACATTGAAGATAAACTTCTCAGGCTACACCCCTTGTGATGATGATGATGCCATAGCAATCGCTGAAAGCATGCCCGAACTACGCCACCTCCAGCTTATTGGGAACGGACGACTAACCGACACAGGCTTGAACGCCATTCGTGACGGTTGTCCTCATCTGGAACACCTTGACGTACAAATAAGACATAATTAAGAAGCAAGTAAAGAAGAATGAAGTAGAGATGTCAAATGAGCCGTGACACTCGGAAGAGCTGGGGAAGGAGACTCGTCCCATGTATACATAAGAGATTGTGATGCTTGATGTTTTATGCTTTTGGTTGTTGATTGTAAGAGACGTGATGAATCTCCTGGGGATCACGATCGCCATGAGATCGTGATTAGAGCTTCAGATTGTGATCCTTATGAGATCATAATCGGTTGTTCATAGTTTTCGTTTTATCATCTTGTGTAATCTGTGTATGTGTGATTGTAATCAATAGCTACAGAGATCTATAAAGGATTTTGTGAGTTCAAAACTTATCATGTACACAAGTGTTTCAACATTAACCTTGGAGAGGATCAAAGAGTTGAGACGCCCCGGTGACTCAATCGCTGATTACCCATATAATATAATTTTGTCAATTCTGATTCAGATGATAACTACAGATTGAATCTCTGTGAACACAGGGTTGCTTTTGATGGTCTTGTCAACTTATGAACTCGTTCATGTCTCCTCTCTTCTCTATGATGCCAGTGACTATTATTGGTACGGGAAATTGAATCTTTCTGAAAAATAAAGAGAACATGTGGTTTTTGTTGGTCTTGTCAACTTATGAACTAGTTCATATCTCCTCTTTTCTCTATGTTGGTAGTTTCAAATTCCTCATTTCCTTCTAATTTTTAAGAACTTTATCCAACTTCTTACTAACTAAACCCTCCTCTCGCTTGTTACTCCACGTGAATAGCGGACCATGAGTCCTCATATCCACTAAAGAACAATACCGCGCACACCACTTCTTGGAAATCTCGCATGCCCGAAGTAACCAGAAGAGAGAAGAATCGGATCGTGTTCTTCCAAGTCACGCGTCTCATTGAACTCGCCTAGAATAACGCACGGCTTGCCCCCGAAACGATGAATACAATTTATTCATTTAACTAACCATATTTTTTATTTATTGATTATTTAGTTATATCAAAGTTATTAACATATGAAAAAATATATATATATATAATTGATAATAAAGCTAGCATTAACAAAATCGATCGAACCTAATTCTTTTAAATCTATATTTTGTTGGATAAGTGTGAATTTTTTCTTGCTAGATAGATTACTATATAAAATTTTATTTGGTAGAAAATCTTAACATTAAAACAAAAACAAAAAAATCAAACGGAATTATTCTTTTTACTTTAATAGAAACGAGTCAAAAAAAGTAATAAAAAAATAACGAGTCCAAGATTGTTCATGACGATATCATTGAGGTGGTGGCAAAAGTGTTTATGAGGGCGTGTATTTACCTAGGCCTTAGAAAATCAAGCAAACATTAGCGCGTGAGTGTTATTTGCGATATATGCGGCTGGTCTTGCTTGATTCTTCAGGAGTATTGAGACCTAATTAGACGTGGCATGAATCGTACCGTAGACACATAATACTATACGACAACCAAATGTCCGAAACAATACACTTCACTTCTTATTCACTAATTTGACCTAATCTTATCCTCAAAAACGACAGCCTCCTCTTTTTGAGAAAAGAAAATGACAGCCTCCTCTTTTTGAGAAGAGAAAATGACAACCTCAACTACGTTGCAGTCGTTGTTCATGAAAGAAGATGAAGAGCGAAGAAAAGAGCAACGAAACTGGTTGGATCTTCCGCCGGAGTTGACGACTTCGATCCTGCTCCGACTTAGCGTGACTGATATACTGTTTAACGCTCAGAAGGTGTGCAGACAGTGGCGACGCGTCTGTAAAGACCCTTCGATGTGGCAGAAAATCAACTTGCAAGACTGCCTCTATCGGTTCGATTTCGAGGGCATGTGTCGTCACATTGTTGATCTCAGCCAGGGTGGCTTGCTAGAGATCAACATTGGACACTTCGTGAGCGATTCTCTCCTCAGCTACATCGCCGATAGGTTCTCTCTCTCTCTTCTCTCTATTCCTTTCGCAAGCTACGTTTGAACTGTTTTTCATGGAAATCTCCAAATGCTGTTTAGAGAAATATGGCTTTTATTTGATTTCACTGATCTGTGAATTAGACACAAAATGTCCCAGTATATATATTTTGACTGATAAGAAAAAATCTCTGATATGTGTTTGTTCCTTTTTCTCCTGAGGATTAGTTAGGGCAAAAAATTTGATAACTTATAATATAATCGTCGATTTTTTTTGGTTTATGTGTCAATTAAACTCAGTTTATCATGTCATTTTAATTTCCTTTTACCTGATCTGGCTATCTGCCATGAATGGACTTTTGATACTCATTTACTTAAAGTTTTATTTTATGTGCTCTTCGTTTGGGGTTTGACATGCACAGATATGAAGGCTAATTTTGATGCCTTAATAGTCTTTTAGTGTAAATGGTTTCGATTCTCATGAGGTCATTCCTTAATTAATAGTGTTTTAGAGTAAATGCCTTAGTAATGTTTTAGATATGATGAAAGCTAATTTCCATGCTATGACGGTGTTAGAAATTTATAATAGTCCTTTAATTGTTCTCACATTGTTCAAGTCTTGTTTTGTTTCACACCTCTATTATCATCATATATATATAACTTTACTTGTCATGGTTAAAGAAAAAAAATAGTTAGGTTATTAGCATATATATATATAAGAACATCATTAGCTTATAGAACTCTTATGGTTTCGTTTTTTTATAACGTATTGTTGTTAATCTTCTTCCTAGTTTATGATTTAACTCTTCACGTAATTATTTGCAGATCAAGTAATCTGAAAGGTCTTGGACTTTCAATCTATGAACCAATGACGAACGAAGGAGTTCTGAAGGGAATTGCAAAATTTCCATGGCTTGAAACCCTCGAGGTCTTCCATTCATCGTTTAAACTGGATTTGAAGGCTATAGGCCACGCTTGCCCACAGCTAAAGACATTGAAACTAAACTTCTTAGGCTGCCCAGGGCATGACAATTATCTTAGAAGCCAGGTAGACCTCATTTCCCCTCCCGTCGAATGTGATGATGATGCCCTAGCAATCGCTGAAAGCATGCCGAAACTACGCCACCTCCAGCTTATTTGGAACGGACTGACCAACACTGGCTTGAATGTCATTCTCGACGGTTGTCCTCACCTGGAAGACCTTGATGTGCGCAAGTGTTTCAACATTAAACTTGTCGGGAATCTTGAGAAGCGATGTTTGGAGAGGATCAAAGAGTTGAGACGCCCCGGTGACTCAACCGCCGATTACCCATATAATATCGGTGTGTCAACTGTGCTTCAGATCATGATTAAATGTGGATTCTTTCGGAGACACAGGGTTGCTTGTTGATGGTCTTGTCAACTTATGAACTCGTTCATGTCTCTTCTTTTCTCTATGATGCCAGTGACTATTATTGGTATTAGATACTGAATCTTTCTGAACAATGCAGAGAACATGTGGTTTTTGTTGGTTTTGTCAACTTATGAACTTGTTCATGTCTCCTAATTTTTTTTCTCTATGTTGGTAGTTCTTATTTCCTTCTAAACTTTTTAAGCTTTGAGCGCGTGACTGTTACTCGCGAAAACGATGCAATGGTTTTTGATTTTTCATAAGTGTGTAGATCGTGGCGTGGAGTCTTTAATTTAAAGACCCTTGGATGTGGCGGAGGATTGACTTAAGAAACCGCAGAAGCTCGGCAAAAATGAAGCAGAAGCTCGATATCATGTGCCGTCACGTTGTTGATCGGAGCCAGGGAGGCTTGGCTGAGATCAAAATTTGGAACTATGGTTCTAATGGTCTCCTCAATTACATAGCCGATAGGTTCCACATCTCTCTCTTCTTCCATATGACTCACACGCACGCAAGTTTTGGTTTTCTTAAAGTGCTTTTGATTTCACTCGTTCAATGTGACGAGAGTGATTGAGAATTGAGGAAAATTTTGTTTGCTTATGACTTCGTTTGGAGGATTTTATTATCTATCTCGAATCTCTGATAAAATGCACTTCTTGACATTGAGTGGTTTAGTTAATGAAAACTTTTAAAATTAAATTTTATTGGGCAAGTATAAATTTGTTCTTTCTAGTTTAATATGTAAACTTTTATTTGGAATAAAATCTTAGCATTAAAACCTAAAAACAAATCAAATCGAATTATACTTTTACTTAAATAGAAACGAGTAAAAAAAACATTAGCGCGTGAGTGTATTTGCCTAATTATACGTGGCATGAATTGTATCGTACACTACGATGACCAAATATTTGACTTGGGGACGGAAGCACAAAGGTAGACATCACTTCTTTTATCCACAGATTTGACCTAATTTTACCCACAAAAATGACAACCTCCGCTTTTTCAGAAAAGAAAATGAAAACCTCCTCTCCGTCGCCGATGAAAGACGAAGAGCCAAGAAGCTGGGCGGATCTTCCGTCGGAGTTGACGTCTTTGATCCTGATCCGTCTTAGCGTGGCTGATATTCTGAACAACGCTCAGAAGGTGTGCAGACCGTGGCGACGCGTCTGTAAAGAACCTTCGATGTGGCGGAAAATCGACATGAGAAACCTGATCAGAGATAGGGGAATGCTCGAGCCCTTAGCTATCATGTGCCGTCACGCCGTTGATCGCAGCGAGGGTGGTTTGGTCAAAATCCACCTTGGGAACTTCGTCAACGATGATCTTCTCGACTACATCGCTGATAGGTTACCTATCTTCTCTCTATCTCTTACCACTCGCTATGTTTGTTTCATGGGAATCTCTCCAATTGTTTAGAGAAATTGATGGCTTTAGACAAATAAATATGTGTCGGTATATATTTTGAGTATCTGAAATGTGTTTGTTCCTTTTTTTTCGTGAGGATTAGGGCAAAACTTTGTTCATTAATTATAAGAGATCCCCATTTAATTATAATCGTTGATTTTTATTTTTATTTTGTTTATCACTCGTGTTAATGGAACTCCACTTATCTTGTCTTTTTTTTTTTTTTCCCTTTTACTGGATTTGCTATGAATATGCACTTTGGATATTCAGTACTCTTACTCGAGAATGTATGTCTTGCAACTTCAAGTTTTCTTTTAATGTACTCTACGTCTGATATGAATGCACTCATGTTTGCAACTCAATGTTCATGCCATTACAATGTTTTAGGAGTCAAAAAAAAAAATCAATTTATTTTGAAGTCACTGTTGATATGATGATGTTATAATAGTCCTTAGTTCTCACATTGTTCGATCGAGTCTTGTTTTGTTTCACATCGTTACTGTCATATCATACATAATTCCTTGTCCTTTGTCATGGCTAATAATGAAAACAAGTAGTTAGGTTATTAGCATTATAAGAAGATTAAGAACTTATACAATTCTTATCATATACTTACTTAATGCATCTTTAAAGTTTGATCTTTTAGGTCCAAATTGAAACAAATGGTTTGCTCTTCTGTGCTCTTCTTATTTACATGCTTCTGAGTTGATTAGTACTATGAGAATTTCTTATGTTTTTTTTTAAGAACGTATTGTTGTTCTTCTTATCGTTTATGATTTAACTCGACACGTGATTATATATTTGTAGATCAAAGAATCTGAGAAGTCTTGGACTTGGAATGTGCTTTCCAAGGGTGACGAGGCCAGGACTTGTGAATGCAATCACAAAACTTCCATTGCTTGAAACCCTCGAGGTCTCACACTCATGTTTAAACCTGAGTTTGGAAGATATAGGCCACGCTTGCCCACAGCTAAAGACATTGAAGTTAAACTCCTCAGGGGGTTTCTGGAACTCTCGCAATGATGATGATTATGCCCTAGAAATCGCTAAAAGCATGCCAGAACTACGCCACCTCCACCTTTATGCGAACAACCTAAGTTACACACGCTTGAATGCCATTCTTGACGGTTGTCCTCACCTGGAACGATTGGTTACAGATGTGTTGCAAGCTTAACCTTGTCGGAGATTTGGAGAAGCGATGTTTTGAGAGGATCAAATACTTTGGACACACCAAATCATGACTCAACCTTGATCACCCATTTGCTTTCACTTTTTCAATGACTTGGACAACATTGAGGTTTACTATGAGTAGATAGTGAATCTCTCTGAACACAGGTTGCTTTTGATGGTCATGTCACATTATGAACTTATGTCTCCTCTTTTCTCTATGTTGATTACCCATTTGATATCACTTTTGTCAATGACTTGGACAACATTGAGGTTTACTATGACTTTTATCCGGACTAGATAGTATATCTCTTTGAACACAGGTTGCTTTTTATGGTCATGTCACATTATGAACTTGTTCATGTCTCCTCTAGTCCTCTTTTCTCTATGTTGGTTTGGTAGTGTTTCAAAGTCCCTTATTTTCTTTGTACGTCGTAAGTTTGTAGCGCGTGATTGTAACTCGCGTACGATGCAGAAGTTGTTTCTTAAGAATTTTTTTTTTCACAAAACACACTTCTTAAAGTTTTTCTTTTGACTTTTGGACAAAATCAAAATGAGTTCTCATGGATTAGCCAAATAGTATATTATTTTGACCAAAATACATTTTTAACTAAATGAACACAACTATTCTCTCATTTTCTTCTAGCTATTCGTTTGATTAATAGGAAAAGTAGAAAAGGAGTATGAGATGATAGGAAGAGTAGAAAAGGAGTATGAGATGATCATGAAAAGGACAATACAGAGTATTTGTGTTTTGACTGTTAATCCAAATACCACCACCTTAGTGATAAATCAGGTGAGTAGCTATTCATTGTGTCGATATTCGATTTTTCATCCATTTTAGTACCTCCACTCCCTTGTAAGATCTCAACTTATCAATTTGAGTTGTACCAAATGTTTTCATTTTTTGATTTTTGATTCCCGTGTAGATTGTACATGTATATATGTGTGAAAAAACCAAATAGGTAGTCAAAAGTCTATGTGTTCTTGTATTCAGTCTCTTGCTTTGAAGAGAGGGACCGAATTATACAAAATTCTTGAAAACTTGAAACTGATGAAAGGTTTTTGAAGCCATGTTGCAATAACTAGCTAGTCCCTTTGCTTGTTCTCACATAGACAAGTCTTGTTTTGTTTCACAGTCACTCTCACCACACTTACTTTGTCACTCTCATCTCCACTTGTAGAACTCTTAGAAATTTTAGACACTTGTCTCTTGTACATTGGTTCAATTTTATTTTTACAACTCAAATTTAATTATATAACTAAGTTATATTAAAATATAAATGTTAATTTGCTTTGAGAGGCACTTTGGGTTTCTCATGAACAGAGAATCAGAGATGATCTTATGTCTCATATGTACTAATTAACCCAATTTAAACAATATATTAATTGTTCATATATATCACTTGATTCCTAAGTTGTTAAATTGTTATATGCTTCTAAGTTGATAACTGATCAATATTATCAACTATGTAAAAATATTCTTTTGAAGTTATTTTGAACTTGTTTGAGCGCGTGTTGACTTCACAGTATCCGTTTTGAAATCAAAATGCAATATTAACATCTATTACATATTTCATTCATTCACCTTTAACTATTTATTCATCTAACTAACCACATTTATGATTTATCCATTATTTAATTCTATCAAATTTAACATATATAAACAGTAAGCAACAACGACTAATAATAAAACATTAACAAAATCAAACTGAATTTGTTTAATTTAAATTTGTTCTTTCTAGTTTACTATGTAACTTTTATTTGGTATAAAATCTTTAAAACAAGACAAAAATCAAACCGAATTATTTTTGTACTTAAATAGAAACGAGTTCAAGATTTGTTCATGACGATATCAGTGGTGTGAGCGCGTGTATTTGCTAAAAATCAAGCAAACATTAGCGCGTGGGTGTAGTTGCCCTAATTATACGTGGCATGAATTGTATCGTATACTACGACGGCCAAATTTTTGACTTATTTAAAGACGGAAGCCGTAAGGTCCGAAACTACACTTCACTTCTTATTCACTGATTTTTTGACCTAATTTTTATCCTCAAAAATGACGATCTCCGCTTTTTCAAAAAAGAAAAGGAGAACCTCCTCTACGTCGCCGATGAAAGACGAAGAGGCAAGAAACTGGGCGGATCTTCCGTCGGAGTTGACGTATTTGATCCTGATCCGTCTTAGCGGGATTGATATACTGGACAACGCTCAGAAGGTGTGCAGGCAGTGGCGACGCATATGTAAAGACCCTTCGATGTGGCAGAAAATCGACATGAGAAGCCGGATCAGAAACGAGAGAATGCTCGACCGCTTAGCCAGCATGTGCCGTCACGCCGTTGATCGCAGCCAGGGTAGTTTGGTCGAAATCCACGTTGGGAACTTCGTCAACAATGATCTCCTCGACTACATCGCAGATAGGTTACGTATCTCCTCTCTATCCCTTAATTACCACTCGTAAGCACGCTACGTTTGAGTTGTTTCATGGGAATCTCCAAATGCTGTTTTATTTAGAGAAATTGATGGCTTTAGACACAAAATATGTGTCGGTATATATTTTGAGTGAGAAAATAATATCTGAAGTTTGTTTGTTCCTTTTTTCTCGTGAGGATTAGACACAAATGCTGTTTTCTTGTTTTTGTTTCACACCGTTACAGTCATCATACTTAATTACTTGTCCTTTGACATGGTTAATGAAACAAGTAGTTATTAGGTACTAACTTAACCTTTTACCAAAAAAAAAAAAAAAGTGGTTAGGTACTTATTAGCATTATAAGAAGATTATAAGCTTGTACCACTCTTATCATAGACTTGCTTAAAGAATCATTAGAGTTTGATTTTTTTAGGTCCCAATTGAACAAATGGTTTTCTCTTCTTATTTACTATTTGCAGATCAAGGAATCTGAGAATTCTTGGACTTGGAATGTGCTTTCCAAGGGCGACGAACCCAGGACTTGTGGACACAATTGCAAAACTTCCATTGCTTGAAACCCTCGAGGTCTCACACTCATGTTTAATTCTGGATTTCAAAGCTATAGGTCAGGCTTGCCCACAACTAAAGACATTCAAGTTAAACTCCTCAGGGCGTTTCTGGAGCTCTCGCAACTTTCGCAACTCTCGCAATGATGATTATTATGCCCTAGAAATCGCTGAAAGCATGCCAGAACTACGCCACCTCTACCTTTATGGGAACAAACTAAGTGACATAGGCTTGAACGCCATTCTTAACGGTTGTCCTCACCTGGAACACCTCGAGTTACATAAGTGTTTCGAGCTTAAACTTGTCGGAGATCTGGAGAAGCGATGTTCTGAGAGGATCAAATATTTTAGACACACCAATAAATGAGTCAACCTTTGATCACCCATTTGCTATCACTTTTTTCAATGACTTGGACAACATTGAGATTTTACTATGACCTTAATTAGTGAATCTCTCTAAACACAGGTTGCTTTTGATTTTCATTTCAAATTATGAACTCTTTAGTTTTTTCTATGTTGTAGTTTCAAAGTTTTTATTTCGTTTAAGCTTTTAGCGTGTGATTTGTTTTTAATGAATAATGATGATCGATTGGGTTTAATTATGGGCCTAGGCCCAAGAGATTATTTTTATTATCGTAAATATGTATCACTATGAGGACCTAATTGTAATTTAGCGACGGAAACGAAAATTTTGAAACCACAGTTACTTTCTTCTTCTCTCTAGCCGTTTTCATTTGTTTCTCCTTGGCCACCGTCTTCTTGTCTTTACCTCCGGCGATGGAGGACGGAGATTATAGAAACTGGGCTGAGCTTCCAGCAGAACTGACGTCATCGGTTCTTCTCCGGCTTGGCGTGGTTGAGATACTCGAAAATGCTCAGAAAGTGTGCAGATCGTGGCGTCGCGTCTGTAAAGACCCTTCGATGTGGCGGAAGATTGTCATAGACAACAGCGGAAATAGGGATATCTTCAAGTACGACCTCGAGTCCATGTGCCGTCACGCCGTTGATCGTAGCCAGGGCGGTTTGCTTGAGATCGATATTGAGTACTTTGGTACTGATAAACTCCTCGATTACATCGCCGATAGGTTCTCTCTCTCTCTCCCTGTAACACAAAATCTCTTGAATTATGGTTTTCTTCAAGAGGGATTTTCGAATTTTTATTAGAGCACTGAGGTTGATTTGATTTCAGTCGTTGTATTCGGGTTATGCTAGTTCTAGGGTTACAGATTTTGACAATTGGGGAAATTATTGTTAACTTATGATTGTGTTTGGAGGATTCTGTGTCACTCTTTCGTTATACTGAATCTATGATGAATGCACTTTTTGGCATTTGAGTTGAATCAGTTGTTTTGTTAATGAAGTGTTGGTTTTTAATGTTTTGGTTTCTTATACATTGTCCTTTTCTCGTTTGTGAATGTTATTCCTTTTTTTCTTTGGATTTTAAGTAGAAAACATCCACTTGATTCTCATATTTTGATGCTTGGGAGGTCTAAATCTTTGGGTTAGGTTATGTTTTAAACTTTGACTCACAATTATCTGCAGTTCAAGTAATCTGAGAAGCCTTAGACTTGTAAGATGCCATCAAATAACAGATAAGGGAGTTGCCGAAGCAGTTGTAAAACTTCCATTGCTTGAAGACCTCGAGGTTTCATACTGCTCATTTTCAGGAGAGTGTCTGAGTGTTGTAGGCCAGTCTTGTCCACATCTGAAGACATTGAAGCTAAACCGCCGACCTCGCGTCGAGTTTGTAATAAATATGCGTGATCATAATGCCATAGCAATTGCAGAAAGCATGCCTGAGTTACGCCACCTTCAGCTTTTAGGGAACGCACTAACTAACACTGGCTTGAAAGCCATTCTTGACAGTTGTACTCACCTGGACCATCTTGATTTACGCCAGTGTTACAATATTAACCTTGTCGAAGATTTCATGAACCAATGTGTTGAAAGGATCAAATATTTGAGATGCCCCAATGACTCAATCGCTGCTTGCTCAACCGAAACCAGCTTTCTTGATATCGATTCAGATGATGGCTTTCCCTATATGTATGGTGGCTATGACATTATGGGCGGCTATGACATTATGGGCAGCTACGACATGATGGGCGGCTATGACATTATGGGCAGCTACGACATGATGGGCGGATATGACATTATGGGCGGCTATGACTCAGGTATCAGGGACTATCGTTGGGAGTAGATATTGATTTTTTTCTTAACAATGCAGAGACAGGTTGTCTTTGCCGTGCTTGTCAAGTTCAGTGGCAAGTGGTTGTGACTTATGAACTCGTCCGTGTCTTCTTTTTCTCTATGTTTGTCGATTTTAAATTAAAGAAGGAACCCAAAAGATCTTATTTATTTTGACATTTTTGATCCTCAGAAACTGCTTCCTCCTCTTGGTCGTCGACGTCTACTTCCGTTTCTTCGCTGGTGAAAGATGAAGAGGTGAGAAATTGGGCAGAACTTCCACCGGAACTGACATCGTCGATCCTTGGCCGGCTTGGCACGATTGATATACTGGAAAATGCTCAAAAAGTGTGCAGATCGTGGCGTCGCGTTTGTAAAGACCCCTCGATGTGGCGGAAGATTGATATGGACAACCTCGGAGACTTGGGAGCCATGGGGTACGATCTTGAGATCATGTGTCGTCATGCAGTGGATCGTAGCCAGGGCGGCTTGGTTGAGATTGACATTTGGTACTTTGGTACTGATGAGCTCCTCAATTACATTGCCGACAGGTTCTATCTCTCTCTCTCTCTCTATTCATATGACTCAAAACCACGCCTATGTTTGTTTTCTTAAGGGAAATTTTGATCTCCTTAAGAGAAATTTGATTTCACTCGTTGAATGGGGTATGCCAATTTGAAGGTTAGATGTGAAAGATCTTAGTAGTTTCAGTGAGTGGGAATACCTTCTGTTCTTTTTACTTGTGAGAATTGGGGAATTATTGTTATTTTATGATGTGTTTCGAGAATTATTGTGTCGATCTTTTCAACTAGAAATCAATTTGTTAAATCAGTTCTCAATTCAGGTTTGTGACTTTTAATCCCTTGCTCTTCCATTTTGGAGTAGAAAATATCCACTTGATTCTAACATTGTTATGTTTCTGAGGTCTAAATGATTGGCTTCAGGTTCTCCGTGTGCTATAAATAAAGATCTTTTGCATCTTTGTTGTCTTTCTTCTCTATCTTGGATTATGCTTTTAACCTTTTACCAACAATTATTTGCAGGTCGAGTAATCTGAGAACCCTTAGACTTATAATGTGCTATCCAATAGCAGACGAGGGATTTATCGAAGCAGTTGTGAAGCTTCCATTGATTGAATACCTCGAGCTTTCACACTGCTCCTTGTCAGGAGAGTCTCTGAAAGTTGTAGGCCAGTCTTGTCCAAATCTGAAGACATTGAAGCTAAACTCCGAGCCTGACCCTAAATTTAATGATGATGAGTTTAATAATGAAGATGCTCTAGCTATCGCTGAAAGCATGCCCGAACTACGCCACCTCCAGCTTTTTGGGAACATACTAACCAATGTGGGCTTGAACGCCATTCTTGATGGTTGTCCTCACCTGGAACACCTTGATCTACGCAAATGTTCCAACGTTGATCTTACTGGGGATCTAGAGAAGCGATGCGTTGAGAGGATCAAAGATTTGAAACGCCCCAATGACTCAACCGCTGGTCACCCATATGGTAGAATCACAGTTGATGTCCGCTATGATGCCAGCGACTATTATTGGTAGTAGATATTGAATCTTTCGGAACAATGCAGAAAACATGTTGCTTTTTTGGTCTTGTCAACTTATGAACTCGTTTATGACATTTCTTTTCTGTCTGTCTCAGGTCTCAGCGTCCTTTTGAACTTTAAAAAATGCTTTGAGTGCGTGATTGTTACTCCATGAACAAATGCGATGGGGCTTTTTTTTTGCTGTGGGTACAATTTAATTATAGGCCTAGGCCCAATATTAAAGTAAGCTTGGCCCAAATTTATTTCGTAATTATGTGATACCATAAGGACCTAATTGAAAATTCTTGAAAACGACTTCACTCTCTTATTTAGTGGTTTCTGACAAATTCGATACTTTTTTTTTTTTTTTTTTTTTTTTTTTTTTTTTTGGGCAAACAAATTCGATACTTAAAAATGGCTTCTTCGTCTTTACCTCCGGCGATGGAGGTCGGAGAATCTAGAAATTGGACGGAGCTTCCACCAGAACTGACGTCATTGATACTGCACCGTCTTGGCGCGATTGAGATACTGGAAAACGCTCAGAAAGTTTGCAGATCGTGGCGCCGAGTTTGTAAAGACCCATCGATGTGGCGTAAAATCGACATGCATAACCTCGGAGATTGGGAAGACATGGATTACAACCTCGAGATCATGTGTCGTCACGCTGTTGATCGTAGCCAAGGCGGCTTGGTTGAGATCGATATATGGTATTTCGGTACTGATGGTCTCCTCAATTACATCGCCGATAGGTTCTCTTCTCTCTCCCTGTGACTCAAAATCTCAAATGGATTTTTGATTCCTTGTTTAGAGAACTGGGATTGATTTGATTTCAATAGTTGTATGGAGTTATGTTAGTTCTAGGGTTAGAACATATTTTGGTTGTGAAGTTACTATCTCTTGTGAGAATTTGGGGCTTATGATTGTGTTGTGTTACATTGTCTCAAAATTATATGTTGGAGTAGTAAATAGTCATATGCTTCTGAGGTCTGAATGGTTAGGTTCTGGTTTTTTGGGATGATAGAAAAAAGATCTTTTGGATCTTTATAATTCTTCTTCTCTATCTTAGATGTTGTTTTTAACTTGTTGTTACACACAATTATATGCAGGTCGAGTAATCTGAGAAGCCTTAGACTGACAAGGTGCTCTCAAATTACGGACAATGGACTTGTCGAAGCAGTTTTGAAACTTCCACTGCTTGAAGACCTCGAGTTGTCATACTGCTCATTGTCAGGAGTGTCTCTGAAAGTTCTAGGCCAGTCTTGTCCAAATATGAAGACGTTGAAGTTAAAGAGGTATCCTCAAAAAGAGAATGATGATGATGCTCTAGCGATTGCTGAAACAATGCCTAAACTTCGCCATCTCCAGCTTTTTGGGAACGGATTATCAGACACCGGCTTAAACGCCATTCTTGACAGTTGTCTAACCCTGGAACATCTTGATTTACGCCGGTGTTTCAATGTTAATCTTATTGGGGATCTGCAGAAGCGGTGTTCTGAGAGGGTCAAAGTTGTGAGACACCCTAATGACTCGACTCATGATATCGACATTGGTTCATCAGAAGACGAATACCCTTATGGCTTCTCTGATATCGATCTGATGTCAGATGATACTGAGTTTGATCATTACTATGACCTCACAGGTGCTAGTGACTATTCTGACTATGACCAGTTTGATTACTACGATGACATGCTTATCTAGAGGCATCGGTTTTGTGCAGGTGAAATTTTTTCGAACTTGTTCGTGACTTCTTTTAAGTAAGCTCATAGTTTCAATGGACTTTTATGTGTCCTTGTGGTATGTAACCCGTTTGTAATGATGTCTTTAATTAGCTGTTTCCTCTCTACAATTTCTAAACTCAGAAAAGCTTCAAAGATGGTGATTGTTTCATCTTCCTTTGACTAAAATAATTGAGTTTATTCTGCAATGTTAAAGAAAAGCAAAGCCTTGGTACTACTTATTCCAAATAATTGCTTAAAGCTTGTTCTGTTAGAAACTCAGACAACAACGAGAAATGCCAAGATCAAAACTAATATGTAATAAAACTGTTTCCTCTCATCAAATCCTCCCATAGAAACATAAATCATCTATTTGATCCTTTAATGCCTCAGGTCCAAGAACTGTTTCCTCTCGGTAAGCAATCATCAAAACTCCAATAGAAACATGAATCAGCTCTTTGATCCTTAATGCCTCAGGTCGAAGAATCTCTGCGAAAACTAATGAGGTTTTGGAACAAATCCGTCAACCGCGAAATTCCTCGTGGCTGAAGGAATAGCCAAGCGCACACCATCTAGCTCTGGTCTTGCAATGACTTGGCATCCGAGTCGTGACCTGAAACATTTATCCGGGAACTTATGATACTTTTTTCTTGTTTTGTGTTGGTTTAAGAGTAAGAGAGAACTTTACGTTTCTGTGAGCCCAAAAGCAAGATCAAGCATATCATTCTCTTCATCAGTTGGTTCTTCAAGTTTGTTATAGTATTCCGTATCCTGTAAATACAATTTTAGTTAGTTTCAGGAAACGCAGAGGATCTATAAATAATGGAAGGATATGTTTACCATCACAATCACATGACACGTTGAACACGCTAGAGAAGCCTCACATGCCCCTGGAGATCAAGTAAAAGCAATCCATGAGTTCTCAATTCGACAAAGGATCAATCTAAACGTTAGATCCCATCTAAGCTATGAGAAGAAGCATTGGAAAACGAGAAGAAAATGGAAGAGAAGTCTGCACCTTCGAGGTCTATATCATTTTCATGAGCAGCTTCGAGCACAGACATTCCAATTGGTACTTTAACAGGAATTTCCTCTCCGTCCTTATCAACAAAGATAATGGTTATCCTGAAAACAACAAAATTATGATAAACTATCAGGAAATATTGCTTCAATGCTGGATGAATATTTCTGTGTGTGCACATTCTTCATATGCAAGAATTGAGAATTTGCTGACATAGTAACTTACTTCTCAGTTTCTTCATCACCATTCTCAGAGGAAGTTGATGAAGAAGTACAAAACTTATGGCTCTTCAAAAACCAGGCTTCCTGAGAAGTCCTAGCTTGCCTTGGTACCACTGGCTATCGAAAAGATGAAACGAGCAAGATTCAAAAATGTGGAAACAAAACAGAACCTATGAGTGACAAATCCAAGATTTTCTGTTCATTTATCAATTAACTATAAACCACCCAATTTCTCAGCTATTAAATCTTAAGCCTTTTCTTAGGCCTTTGAGCGAAAACCAAACATAGGACTCTTTCCATTGATTCCTGAATCAACTCTTATTCAGCATTGAATCAATACAAGTATACAACTGGACACATTAGAATCGTTACTAACAGATCCATCTAACACCAAGCAAGCGCAGAAAAGCTACATTTCGTTCTTCTGCAATCAATTTATGACACTCTTGAAGACTCATTATTAACGAGCTTCTACCTAGCCAGATAATAGTGTGATCTCTAACAAAGAACCCTATGCTAAGTTTTAATCAGTGACTATACATCAAGAAAATACACAATCATCGACTGTAACAGAGTATAAAACTCGAGAACAAGCTCAGAACTAACCAAAGACGGCAAGTAGTGGCCATACGACCGTTGTAGATTCCTTCTCCCGTATGTTGATATATATCCCTCTGCCAAAACAAAAAATATAAAGAGCAGCAAAAATCTTAAGGCAGCATTGAGTAGAGTTATATCAAGCAGACAATGTGTGAGCTTTTCTATAATGCTTTATCAAAACTCATGACTCTAATACGCATACGCAGTTGAAATCGAAGTGAGATTAGAAACTTCATCAAAACCCATATAGCAAACGCATCAAAGAGCATCGATTTAAAGCAGATAGTTACCTCTTGCGAGCTGTTTAACAATGGTAGACCCAAATCTTGAGATCCTATGACCGAGCATGGTTCACTGCCGCCAAAGCTCCTAATTTAAGAATAAAATTTAACCTAATTTGAGTGTGACCCAAAAACAAGACAAACCCAGAATTTAACCAAGCTAAAAAGAGTACCTAACTCACCAATCTAACTATCTTGAGAATTGAGATTAACGATGCCAAAAAGATTCAAACTTGGGCCGCAAATGAGGGAATAATCGAGGGAAATGACGTTTATTCACTTTTCGAAGATCTTAAACCAAGACAAGCCGACTGTAATCGTATATGCTCGAAGCTGAAGATTAAGGTTAAAAGAGACGGCTTTGTGTATAGACAACCTCAGAATCTCATACGTTCTTCATCTTTTGAAGATCTTAAAAAAAAATTTCTTATAAAAATTTGGTTTGTTTCGAATTTCGACATTGTCTTAAACCGAACCGGAACGTACCGGTCTGACCCACACAATGCAACATTCATGTACAATCGCCACAGATTTGATCATGAGAAACCAATCAGAGCAATTTGCCTTTCAACACAATTCTTTGAAGAAGAAAAGAAAGAGACAAATACAAATATAGAAACAGTCTAAAAGAGAAAATCTTATAAGAAAAAGACACTATCAAAGTTCCAACATCGTGATCTAAACCGTTTCAGAACAACAATGGAACACAACACTTATTGATGTAGGCACAAAAAAAAATCTTGCTTAGTCTTCAAATATTCAAGAATCTAACTCTTCTTGCTTCGTTGAGAACTCTCAAGTACTTCTGCTTCGACCAAAAGCTCAAGCAACTTCATCAGACATCTGATTCTCTTTCTGAAACTCCTCTTCCGCTATCTTAAGAACCTGATCCCAACCACTACCAGGACTCACGTCAAGATAATCATAAGGAACAGCTGTTTTCAAACCAGGAAGCACACTGAGACGACTCTCCACAATCCTCAATTCCAAATCATCACATTCTCCATGAATCTCCTCAAGTTCTTCCCAAGTATACATCAATGGCAAAGTAGAACCACACCAAGTATTGAAATCTACAAGCTTAACCTTTCTCTCTTTCGTCACATAAACATCAAAAGTGTAATTCTGTGATTCAAATTCAAACCTAATCTTATCATCAAAGAACTCTTCTATCAACCCTTTGATCAAATCCTTCTCATTGAGAAGAACAGGGTAAAATGTTGTTACTTCACGCTGACAAATCCCAACGAGCACGTTAGATTTCACAAAGCATCTAAATTCCATCTCAGGCTTCAAAGAAGGGTACCATTTTCTCAAAGCAAGGTAGAAACTTTGTGGCCTTGAAGAGACTTTGTCAGTACATGAATCATAAGCATTGCAGAGATCATGGAATAATGAATCTGAAGAACGAAACAAGAGAGCAATCTCATTGAAACAAGTGCAGCTTAGATTCTGTGATGGACTAATCCAAGCTGCGTCTTTTGGTGCACTCCAATTCAGCTTCGGTATAATTGTGCCGCCTAGGGTTTCGATTGATTCTCTGATCTCGATTTCGAGTTCTGGAAATGAAGGGCGATTCAATGGTGGCTCTGTTTCGTTATCTGAACTTTCTTCTGGGACTTGGAAATCATCTTCTTCTTCGAAATTGTGGACTCTGTTAGGCATTGCGTCTTCGTTTGTTACGGAATGAGGGAGAAGAAACGGACCAGAATCGTCAATGAGATAGTTGATGAATGATTCTGGAAGTTTGTGAAATTTGGTTTTGATGGTTAAGGATTTGAATTTCGGATACCAGTTCTGAATCTGGCATCGATTTACTTCTTCTTCCTTCATCGCGATTAACGAATTGATTGTAGATGATACAAATTTCTTCCCCCGGCGTCGATGGAGGTTTTAGGTTTTTTTTTTCGTTTGTTTGGACTTTGGAGACGACGATCTCTGCAGGTGAGTGTGATTAGGGTTTTATTGCTAAAGAAATCTTTTTATGGCCCGTGTGTTTTGGGCCTGAAAAGCCCATCTTACTTTTTGTTTTTGAGATTTTTACAAGTGAGTGAATAGCACTTGAAAAGTTGAAATTATGAAATTTAGTTTTGGAAAAATAAAATTTAGCTATAGTTAGAACTTAAAAAAAAAAAAAAAGAGTGAAAATTTTATAAACAATCATGTCATATTAGAAAGGATGAGTTAAATTACAAATTTACAAGTATTATTAACGGTTAATTCTATGATCAGGAAGAGTGTGTTAAGGTTCAAAATCTAATTTCTAATTACATAGAAACAATTTTTTTTTCTTAAAATCTACCATATTATGAAATTTTAAAATGTGACAAGTGATACAATTTGATATAGTACAAGACTACAAGTGATACAAGATAATCTAAACAAGATTAACGTTGTACCATTTTATTTCGTCAAAATTTCATGATATTGCATCACATGGAAATTTTTTGCATTGTTGACAATATTTTGTTTTTTTTTTTTTTTTTTAATTGACAATAATTTACTATTTTCTTTTAGCGAACATTAATTATCCAAGTCAATACTGTCATTAAAACATTAATCTTTTCCAGATCAAATTGTATGATCACTTGTATCATTCTAAATTCCTATAATAAAAATTATAATATGGTAGGTCAATGACAAGAATATATAAGAGCATGATCGTAGGTGATACTCATAAAGTATCATTAAGAATTTTTTAGGAGATGTCACGTCAGATTTTTTTTTCCCTGCTTTCAGCAAAACGCGACCAATGAGGAGATGCCACGTCAGATGATACTGGTATCAAAATTATCACTGAGCTGATACAGATCAGACCCATTCTAATTGTTTTGTCCATATAAAAATAATTTATGGGCTTGTGATACTCTAAAAATATCACCCATGTACATGGTCTAAAAATATTTTGATTACATTTCTCTACCGAAATTTAAATAGTACTACTAAGTTATTATATATTTAACATGAAAATAAAAGAGATAGTTGTTGTCGGACGTAAGGAAGGCAGCTTTAAGATTCTAAACCTATGAACAAAGGTAAGAACAAAAACAAAGCTTAACTGCTACAATAGCCAAAAGGTTTTTAAAATTTTGCTCAAGGAAAAAAGATTCCGGCACAACGATATGCAAATATCTACTTTTCTGGCAAATGTGTTAGCCTCGCCGACTAATAAGAAACAAAAGTCCTATGCACATCAGCAGGAGCCACCGAGGTTTATACTTCGATAGAGATCTTGCAGCGGAAACTTCCGATCTGAAAATGAAGGAAACACTATGTATTATACTTTTTGAACGAAAATGTTTTCGACTACTATAAGGAATAATATTAAATTAAGGATAAAATTTAGGGTTCTTACTTGGATACATCATAGGAGCATTTTCCGTAGCCTGCAAGCAACAACAAAACCAAAATTCTCTTATTTTTATTACCATGAACAATAAAATAAATAACTTTAAAAATTAATTAGGTATGTTAGTAGGAAAAATGTTTCAAAATATTATCCAACAGTTCATAAGAAATCCATTATATTTGACGAAATAATACCAGAATATAATTTTTTTTTTTCAGAATATAAATATTTGCATATATCAATTTAACTTTTTACTTACTAGGGTTAATCTTGGTGAGTGTAGCTGTTCCACCAAAGTAACAAGCAATGCGATTATTCCCATTCGTTTGGTAATACGCATTAAACGCAAAAGATGCGTGCGACACGATCGTGTCTGGTTCGTAACAATCACCATGTCTCTCAATGACCGAGCAATCCACTCTCCCAATCCCACAGGCCCAATCAAGAGCTCTCTGTAGCTCAGCTTGAGACGCACCTGGTCGAGCCACACACCATGTTGTTCCATCCAAGAACGTCGTGTTCCCTTGTGGCCCCACCAGTGACTCTGGTCTGATCGTCATCACTGGCCTTGCAGCTACACATTGTACATACGTGATCGATGAGGCAAATGAACAAAATACTCCTTTTGTTCTTCATGTTAAATAAGTTGCAATACCAAATATTCACTTTTACGATTATTTTTAAAAGTATATATTTGATTGACTTTAAATCATTAGGAAAACAAGCAATGAATTTGTAAAGAAAACTGAAAAACATATATCATTATTATTAGATGTATATAGTTTTATACATACTATGTATAGACTATATACATCTAATAATTATAAAACAAACAAAAAATGTATAATCTAAAATTTAAAGAAATTGAGAGAATCATTATTTATGTTCTTCAATAAATAGAGAAGAAGAATGAGATGATTTACCTTGACAGAAGAAGTTTAGTAGAAGCAAAAGAAGTAGAAAGATCCAAAATTGAGTTCTCATGTTTAGATGTTTGAAATAGCAAAGAATCTAGATCATCACATCACCATAAGAAGAAACCTTTTCTTGTGGTACATATAAGTCTCTAAATATGTCGACAAATTGATCGAGAGGTATTGTGTTTACTTATTACAAGAGAACCTAATTAAATGAGAAAAGAAGAATCTAGATTTCTTAAGGAATCAAAGGTGCCTTCAAGAGAAGTAAAATATGTTCAGTCTTATCTTTTTTATTTTAAACAAAACAACATAATCGCATGAGATCTATTTTTAGAAAATTTAATATAGGAATATCACTTTTCCAATCTATTAACCGATTTGTTTTTTGTGTAACACATACGGAAAAGTTGACAAAGAGAAGCAAAGAATTATATCAGAAAATATTCAATTGTACAACATTAAAAATAAAAATAAAAATAAATATCGAGAAATACTAAAATATGTTTATATATATCGATCAAGTGATTCATAATCCGACCCAAAAGACAGTCCAGTCCGGTTTGCTTCACGGTTCGATTTAGAAGACAATACTTTAACCAACACAAGTTATTACAGAAACAACAACTCAATCAAACTTCAAAAGCTGATGATAACAAAACCCAAAAGAAGACTTTTAACTCAAGAAAGCATAAAATAAATAAATAAAACAAAGCCTATTGGCATCGATTGATTTGATTCAGTGAAGCCTAGTGAGTTCTTCAACTCTCTTACACAACTCTTCCACTTGAACATTCATGGATTTCGATATATCCTCCATCTTGTTCCTACTCAGATCCAGAAACGATTCGATTAAGTCACCATCCAAGAAATTCCTCGCTTCCGCGGTTCTTTTCTCGTTATTAAACGACCTCCATTGCTCGTGGCTTAATCCGCCAACTCCTTTAATCACTTTCCTCAGACTGGACTGCAACTTCTCCAAGAAAGTATATTGTTCTTGAGGAAGTGAAGCTATTACTCCTATCACTCCATTGACTGTACCAAAGATGACTGTTGGGATCTGACCAATCTCTGAATCAGGTAGCCTCATTACTAGAGATCCATGGCGGAATCTGTTCACAAATTCCCCAAGGTGATACTCTCCAACTACCTCCAACCGTCCTCGTTCTTCATCAGTAGCACCTTCACTGTTCTTTTTCACTGTTAACAGATTGAAATTGTTCTCAGCACCAAGGTAAATATCATCATCGAGTATCTCAACCGCTGACATCCAATTTGCATTGTAATCCCGAGCCCTCTCCTCTATCGCACCTTCCTCGTGCTTTAAACATTCAAGAATCAACCATCAGAACAGTATCAAATGAACAAAGAAGATCAGTTTTTAACCACACAAATTTCATTTAGAAGTAATACCTTGTATAACAATAAGGAGATTGATTTCATGAGATCACCAACAACGATAAAGTCTCCACGGGTCTGTACATAGAGAGCTAGAATGTGTCCGTGATGTCCGCATTCAGACTGCAGTTCACGAGTGCCATCATCCCGCAGCATCCACTTGTACAACTGAATCTTCTGATTAATAGCAGCAAGAAGTTTTCCATTAAAGGCATTGAGAGAATAAACAGCTCCTTTGGTTTCTTTCTCCGCGATTAACTGCAACCTCCCATCTTCAACTATAAATACTAATATCCTTCCCTAAATCACAAAAAATGACAAATTAGAAAAGAATATTTGATTTGAGGTGTTGATATGTTCTCAGAGAAAACAGATACCTTAGTTGGTTCATTTTCCTCCGGTAAAACATATGCGGTTCCAACGCAGTAATAGACATTTTTATCGTCGGTGAATGAGCAGCTCAGAATGGAGCAACCGTATTCAAAGGAATCCAAGGGGTAAGTTGACATAAACTCGAAGGTCTGGTCGTCTAAAAGACGGACAAAGTGCATTTCAGATTCTTCGGCATTTGACTGGTTTCCCAAACTGCAGATACCAAATGTACGTGTCTGCTCCTGATGGCAAATTCGACGAGCATGCTCTCCAAGAGGAATAGTGCGTATGTGAAGCTTCTGAATATCATCAATGGTACCGATCGTAAGTTCACCTTCCCTGGCAATTGCTAAACTGCTCATAAGATAGAACAGAGAATCAGATTTCACAGCCACTTAACTTCGTATAGGAATTAAAAACCCACCAAAAAGAAAAAGAGAGAGGATGTTTAGTATACCTGTCGGGAAAAGCAGCAGAGTTGAAAGGGCACATATGACTAACTTCTTTAAGATTGACATTGCTGTATAACAGCTTCTTGTTGCTGCTATAGATCACGGTTGGTCTATCTGATGCAGCAAAGACATGTGTGGCGCTTTTTGATGAAAAAGTACGCAGAGTTATAGGCTGAGTCCCTAGTGATACTTTTTTCCTGTCTTTCAACTGCCCGGTAGTTGTATCTAACTGGAAGTTCAAAAGATGGCCATCTCCAAGAGCACAGAGCAAGTAAGATATCTGCAACATAACTTATGTTAAACTCAACCATAAAATTTACATCGATTCTTGGCTTATCTGAAGTAAGGTCCAATGGAATCATACCCCTTCGAATGCACAAAGAAGAACAGATCGGGGAATTATTTCCCCTCCGAGTTGCTCTTTTGTAATAAGAGTCAATTCTGGCAGCGAAAAGATCCTCACACTTATATCTGTCCACATCCCAACCGAAGCTAGCTGACTGTAATTAGGATTGTCACCGATAGGGTTTATATCAAGACAAGAAACCTCGTACTCCAAAAGGGCATGTTGCACTTCCGTCAATTTCCCATCTCCAATTTCTAGATACACCAAATGTCCACCTCCAGTCGCCAAAAGAACCTGACAAGTAAATTAAAGAGTTACTGTACAAATGTTTATTCTAAAGCATTCTTGTATGTACACTCAAAAGATAGATTCCTCTTCCATGACAAGTATATTAAACACAGCAACTATGTAAAAAATTACTAAAGCAAATCGAGAATTAAATACAAACCTGGCTGGCATTTGCAGTTGCAACATTAACAGTGAATCCAGCCGGGGCATGCCACTCGTCCCGCAATTCTCTAGTTGTAGAACTGACTAGTCTAACAGAGTTTGAGGTAACCTGATCCAGAAAAGGCAGCAGTTAATTCATATTCACAAATAGAGAGGAGAGACCAGACAACTAAGCTATAACAACTATCAAATTTGATTGTCTTTTGAAAACCCCAAAGCATTAGAAATTCTTACCTGTACAAGTTGATTGTACACAGCATCATGGCAAAATAACGTCTGCACTTGAGACAAGAAGCCCTCAATCTCTGTTTCTTCCAGTTCATCCTCAAGATTCATGGCTAATATACGAGTTTCACTGATAAAGCTAACAACAAGGAATGTATCGAAGGCTTCATCAATTGAAGATTTCAACGACCACATTCCTTTGATACCTTGAAGTTCCACAGACGCCTGTAATAGAGCGGAGTTTTAAGATATAGAAACCAGATGAGAAAATTGTACATACAAGACAACGAGATTTCGCGCATAAATCAAACCTGTTCATTGATTCCTATTCCATTGCGAACTACGCGGAGGGAACCATCCTTAAATGCTCCGGAACAAGTTACAACCTGACCTTGCCCCTGTCTCTCGAGGTCAACAACACAAAAGTCGACAATAGGCCCCAAGTTGATATACCTTTCCAAGACTTCTACATATGAGCCTTTTGCATCAGGGTGTAGATTCAACTTTACTAGCTGCAATTAGAAAATCAAACATGGAAACACTTAGATGGTTGAATTAACTTTTCTTAGAAGCCAGACACAAGGAAATACAATTATTTTTGAATTTCTATCTTTGCTATGAACGATGAAAAATAAACGAAGTCTTATCCACACTCCACAGAGAATTCTTACTAAAAACTACTGGGCACAACTGAAAACATGGAACAATATCAATCTACATTCTATAGAAACCAAATTGAGAAAAACTGTATAGTGAGACCATAATCATTTTCTAGCATACCTGTGAATCGCCATAGCTTGAGCCGACAAAGACAACGGCATTGTCAAGGTACGATATAGTCGATGCAATAGATGTTTCACCCAAAAGCTCAATTTTTAGGCCAGTGACCCTTCAGACACAAATACAAGCAGCACACAAAGTACATAAGTTCGATAGAGCTTTTAATTATTTCGAATATGGATGGATGTAAGAGTAAGCACACATGTACACTCACTTTTCTTTCTCGTGCGTTATAACAAGAAGATGAATCAGTCCAGCATGGTCACCAAGAAGATACCTAGAGCCATCAACATCAACTCTTCCATATGCTTTAGTGATGGACTGGACACGAAAAATGAAGGTCACATATCAAACTAAGAAAAGAAAAAAAGGAGTACCCGTAGGTGAGATTACTTCTCAAGTAACTTGTTTACAAAAGCAGGTGAGATTACGTTGAAAGAACTTACAGGTCTAATTGGTATTGCTTTGAATGCATTAGCACTGCAATAGACAATTGTTTCTTCACCAATAATAAGGACACCACAGAGCGGTGGTGGTACAGGAATCAGCAAGTCAGCACCATTGTCGAGATTGTTCTGTGACCATGGACCCTCGACAAAATCCTTATCTTTTAGAGAGACTTCATATGTTTTGACATGACGAGCATCTTTGTTGTCCTACAAAACCAAGGATTAGTTAGTCCCACCGGAGAAACCTATTGCATCTCGTACAACAGATTACATCATCAATATAGATTATAAAGTACGAAAAATATGTTTAAATAACTAATACTCAAATAAATAGAGTAATGTTACTTTGCTTAAACTCCATCAACTACCAACAGTACAGATATTAACCAACTCCAAAAGAGTTCTTTCTAATGTGAACTCTGGAAAGACTCTGGAAAGACTTATGCATGCCCAGCCCAGATAACAAAGTTATATGCATGTACAAAAATAATTCGTAGCACAGCCATGTTAAGATATTCGCAATACCTGATATAGTACTGCAATAGTGGGCTTTGCACATCCAAACAGAAACTTGATATCCAGAACCTGCAATTCCTCAAGCCTGAAATTCAGACACCACACTCAGTACATCATTCAGTTTTAAATATCTCCAGAAAAATCATATCGTAATGATTCTAGAGGAATGAGTATATTGAAGATTTGCGAAAGAATCTGATGCTTGGAAATAAGTGCGCACTAGAATACACGCATTGGTGGACAACCCAAAAAACTGCAATGTGCTTACTAAATAAAACAGTACCTGATATTAAAAGCTTCCTTGAGCTGTCCCTTATTATCAAATGGAATAACCTAAAAGAAGAACCAAGGAAATAGAACGCATCATCATACATTGTATAAACACTGGAAGTTCCATAACATGATATTAAGCAAACGAGCACATCTGTCAAATTTCTTATAGAAGATAGCATTATACCTTGAACAAGCCGTCATACAGATGGAGTCCAATTAATCTACAATCTGGATCAATTATCCCAATCTACAAAGCCAGTGTCAAATCAGAGGTAAGCTACATGCCCACCAAACCCTTAATGACAATATATATTTTTTGATGAAGAAAAGTAAAAATTTAAGCACTCTGAAATGCACAGTCAAGAAGACGATATTCAATACCTGACCATTGTCTGTTGGTCGGCCTATGCGATCAGACACATCCCCCATTGCTCTGGAAAATGTCAAAACATCATATAGAATCAGCTGTAAAGTAGAGAATGGTCATCTGATATATTGCTTCCATTACTAACCAGTAAGATTCAACAATTACGCCTGTACCATACATGATTTTTTCCATGCTTTGGATATACAGCAACGTACAAGTAGTGTATATGTATCAATTTTGTGAAAGGTGAGAACCTATTATCGAACTCTCATAATAAATGCTCAAACAGATCCCAAGGTAAATAGGTCCTAGATCAGTTTTTGACATTTTGTAGAGCAGGAAGATGGTGTAATCTGCTATCTAAAACAGGCAAGTTGGTACCATGCACTAATCTGTACATAGGTGACGAGTGTAATACATTTATTTCTAACAAAAAGTGATAAGATTACGGCAAGCATGATCATAAATAAAAAGACAAATAGCACAACTGGTTGGTTAACTAACATGAACTGAATGCATGAAAAAAAATGATATTTTGGAAACTATACCTTGTAATAAGCTCAGAGGACTCAGCATCCCATTGAAGAACACAGAATTTGTATCTCTCAGTTGCAATGAACAAAAAGTCTTGTGCTTCGCCCTACAAAGGATGGTGGACAAAAGTATCAACATTGTAACTTACTAATAAGACCATGATAAAAGAACACGATAAGAGATATCTACTCACATGGGGCCGGAACAACTCCAGAGTAGCGATTCTTCCATATATAGGAACATCCAGCATAGGCTGCAATATAGGAACATCCAGTAGATTCTTACATTACTAACAAAACAAAGCATGGCAACAAAGTTTTGAACTTTATACTCTAAAGTACATGGAACTTAATCTATATAAGCTTGACAGAATAGAGATGTATGTACCTGAAGTCCCTGCGGGGTAAGCAAATGGATCTCAATTCGGGTACATTTCCTGTGAACAGATCAACAGTACTGTCAAACTAACATTGTAATGGATCTGATATAATAGATGTTATAACTAAACGGGACAATGCTAAATCGAAAAATGAGATAACTTTCAAACAAATTTAGGGAACTGATAGCTAACGATACTTGAAAATCTTCCATATCAAAAAAGGCACGATCTTCAAATTTATTTGTGAACCCTCTTCAACATGTAATTTTAGTTCAGAGCAATATCCACCAAATCAAAGAACCCAGACACACTAAAATCCTTATACTCATCTCCCAAGTGTGAGAAGTTCTCAATACTCAAACCGCTATTTGACTAAAGCTGCAATTGAACAACGATTTTGTTTGCAAAGTGAGCAAATTTATGAAAATTGACTCGTGATGAGAAATTCACTGAAAACCCTAAACCCAAATCAACAGCTGCGATTCAAAAGGGAACGAATTGAAAAATCAAATATTTGATAAGAAATAGAGGTGGGAAGAGTTTCATACGCAACAATGAGATTGAGCTCTTGAGGACTTGTGAAGTTGCCAACGCACGAGTGAGTGACACTGGTCGGTTTGTGAGCCGTAACAACGTAGTTCCATGAGCTCATCTTCCTCTTCTTTGTCTCCGAGGAATTTGAGTTTCACTGTCTACGCACGTCTCTAGCTGGAAATCTCTAAACGAGCTTTCGAATTTCAACGAAGAAAAAAGAGAGAGAGAAACAATGAAAAACCAAAGGAGGCGAAAATCGAACAAGGAAGAAGAAAGAGACAACCACCTTCGACAAAAACTAGTCGGTCGGCATTGGTATACAATTGAAATTAGATGGATGGTCCGGTTCGGTATACTATGAGATTAAAGAATAGTTCTAAATTCAGATACACCGAACTCATTTGATTTTCTTTAACCGAACTGATTCGATTCGAGTTAAATAAAAAAAACCGGAATTTAAAAACACGAACTTAGGTTGTTCACAGTGGAGCCAGTTGGCAAGTGTGGTGGTTTGGCCTTATTGTGGAAGAGCAGTTGTCAGTTGGATATCCTTTCTGAGGATAAGAATTTGATAGATGTTCAAGTTCAGTTTGGGTCTTCAAACTTTTTCCTTTCTTGTGTGTACGGTGATCCAGATTGTAGTAAGCGCAGTGTTGTTTGGGATAAAATCAGTAGGATTGGTGTTAGCAGGAAGGACAGATGGTGTATGGTGGGAGATTTCAACGCTACACTTCATAATGGAGAAAAATTAGGAGGTCCCAGGAGAGCTGATAGTTTCTTTAAACCTTTCACAGAGTTGGTGGAGAGCTGTGGGATGTTTGAATTGTCTTTTTCGGGTAATAAGTTTACTTGGGCAGGTCGAAGAGGAGACCATTGGGTTCAATGTCGTTTAGATAGAGCCTTTGGAAATAAGGATTGGTTGGATCACTTTCCTGCCTCCAATCAGGTCTTCCTTGATAAGAGAGGCTCAGATCACAGACCTGTTTTGATTCTTTTGGTTGCTTCTCAGGATTCTTTTAAAGGACATTTCAGATTTGATAGTAGGTTCCTCCACAAACCTGATGTCAAGTTGGCGATTAAGAAAGCTTGGAAACCTGGTAGCAGAAATGGAGGTTTTTTGGTTTCTCATAGATTGAGAGCTTGTAGGAAGGCTTTGAGCTCATGGAAAAAGAAAAATGGTATGAATTCTCTTTTGAAGATTCATCAATGTGAGGAAGCATTGGAAAGAGTTCAGTCAGAGGTTTGGCCTAATTTGCATCAGATTCATGTTTTGAAAAGAGAACTTGCGAAAGAGTACAGAAATGAAGAAGAATATTGGTGGCAAAGAAGCAGAAAGAAATGGTTAAAGACTGGTAATAGGAACTCTAAGTACTTCCACGGATCAGTGAAAGGCAACAGAGCCAGAAAGAGACTTGAAAAGCTGAAGAATATCCATGGGATTTTTCAAAATTCTGAGGCAGGTAAAGGGGAGGTTGCGGCTGACTACTTTAGCTCTCTTTTCAAGTCCTCTAATCCGCAAAGCTTCCATGAGTGGTTCTCTGGGTTTCCTTCTAAGGTTTCTGCTGAAATGAATGATAACCTCATTGCTGAGGTAACTGCTTCAGAGATTCGTGAAGCTGTTTTTTCCATAAAAGCTTCTAGTGCTCCTGGGCCTGATGGGATGACAGCATGCTTCTTTCAGCAGTTCTGGGACATTGTTGGTCAGCAAATGATAAAGGAGGTTAAAAGTTTCTTTGAGTTAGGTGTTTTCCCTGCAGAATGGAATTATACGTATCTCTGTTTGTTACCAAAAGTTCAGCTTCCTGAGGAGATGTCTGATTTGAGGCCAATTAGTCTATGTTCTGTTCTGTACAAGACTATCTCAAAAATTTTGGTTAATCGTCTTCAGCCTATTCTACCACAGATAGTTTCAGTGAATCAATCCGCTTTTGTCTCAGAAAGGCTAATCACAGATAATATTTTGGTTGCACATGAAGTGATCCACAGCTTAAAGACTCGGGCAGATATTTCTTCTCAGTTCATGGTGGTCAAGACAGATATGTCAAAGGCTTATGATAGGGTAGAGTGGAGTTACTTAAGAGCTTTATTGATAGCTATGGGGTTTCATATTAAGTGGGTGGATTGGATCATGGTTTGTGTGTCCACGGTTACCTTCTCAGTTCCAATAAATGATCAGCCTTTTGGTATGATTACTCCGCAGAGAGGTATTCGACAAGGTGATCCCTTATCACCTTTTTTGTTTGTGTTGTGCACAGAGGGTTTGACTCATTTATTGAATAAGGGTCAACTTGATGGAAGGCTTAATGGGATCAGTTTCTCAGAAAATGGACCAGAGGTGCACCACCTGTTGTTTGCGGATGACAGTCTCTTTATGTGCAAGGCTTCCATGGATCAGTGTTTGTTTCTTCAGGAGACGCTGTGTAGGTATGGGGCTGCTACAGGTCAAGCTATCAATCTTAGTAAATCTTCCATCTCTTTTGGTGTAAACGTTGATCCCCTTCTTAAGGTGGGTATTCAGTCTTTGTTGGGTATTTTTAAAGAAGGAGGGGCTGGAACTTATCTTGGTATGCCAGAATGCTTTAGTGGCTCAAAGGTGGATCTTCTGTGTTTCTTAAAAGATCGCTTAAAAGCTAAACTTTCTGGTTGGTATGCTAGATTTCTGTCACCAGGAGGGAAAGAGGTGTTATTAAAGTCGGTGGCTCTTGCTATGCCGGTCTTTATAATGTCCTGTTTTAAATTGCCTAAAACTACCTGTGACAATTTATCAAGCGCCATGGCTGACTTTTGGTGGAGCTCGGCTGAGCATTCTAGGAGTGTTCACTGGCAAAGTTGGGAGAAACTCTGTCTTCCAAAGAATCTGGGAGGGCTTGGTTTTAGAGATATTCAAACTTTTAATCAGTCTCTTTTAGCTAAGCAGGCATGGAGGATCTTGCAATTCCCTGATTGCTTGTTTGCTAAACTCATGAAGAGTAGGTACTTTCCTCTTTTTGACTTTCTAGATGCTCCTCTTGGTAATAGACCTTCTTTTGCTTGGAAAAGCATTTTGCATGGAAGAGAGCTGCTTATTCAAGGTCTGGTTAAGAATGTGGGGAATGGAAAAACTTTCAGGGTTTGGATTGATGATTGGATTGAAGATGATGATGGTTGGAGGGCACCATTGAGGAGAAATTATTTTTTCAATCCAGATTTTAGAGTCTCAGAGTTGATTGACTGGGATAAAAGAGAATGGGATCCACAGAAGCTGAGGGATAATTTTCTACCTGATGATATTTGGAGAATTAAAAGAATCAAGCCTGTGACTGAACTGGAGGATTTTTATTCTTGGAAGCATAATAAGAGTGGTGATTTCTCGGTGAAATCGGCTTATTGGCTTGCTTCTCAAACGTGCAATCTTCAGATTAGGCTTCAGGCTGAACAATTACCCTCTACAAATGATTTAAAAGCCAAAGTCTGGAGTTTACAAACGGATCCAAAAATTCATGTGTTTTTATGGAAGGTCTTGTGTGGTGCTTTGCCTGTTGCATCTGCTCTTAACTACAGGGGAATGAAGACTGATGAGAGGTGTCAGCTTTGTGGAGGAGAGGAAGAAACGGTGAACCATGTTCTATTTACTTGCTCAATGGCGAGGCAAATTTGGGCTCTAACTGGAATTCCTTTTCCTCAATGGGGATTTGAGAATGGTTCTGTTTTTGCTAATATTCATTATCTGTTGATGAATATTAGTAATCCTCTTTGGCCAGAGGAGCTTCGAGGTTCATTTCCCTGGACTCTTTGGCGCATTTGGAAGAATAGGAATCTTGCTTGTTTTGAAGGTAAAGGTTTTTCAGGTCTTGAATCTGCCCAGAAAATCAGAGAGGATTGGTTTGAATGGAGAGAGGCTCAAAAGGTTGGTGATGATGGGGAACAAACTGTTGAAAGTGGTGAGTGTAGAGATGTTATTGATTCTGGTCATAAGGATTTGCCTATGGGTCTTGGCTGGATGCCGCCACCTTCCTCTTGGGTTAAATGCAATATTGGTATATCTTGGTCCAACAGGAACAAGTTTGCTGGTTGTGCATGGGTGTTAAGAGATCATTTGGGGGTGGTTTTGCTTCATAGCAGAAGAGCTTTTGTGAGGTTATTGGACAAGCAGGAGGCGCAGTTCAAAGGTCTGATGTGGGCTATGGAGAGTATGCGGTTTCACAAAGTTGATAATGTGATATTTGCATTGCAGGTTGAGGTTTTAGTGAAGGCTATTAACAGACCTAGGGCTTGGCCTTCTTTTAGATACCAATCTATGGAAGCGGGTCATGTTCTTAGTTCTTTTAAGTGTTGGAAAATACTTTTGGAAAACTCTTTTTCAAACAGAGGTGCTTTTATGATTGCGAAGAGTGTGACTGATGATTGCAGGCTTCAATCGTATGTTGCGGTTGGTTCTCCTTCTTGGTTGGATGGTGTCTTCGCAGAGGAAAGGTCGTTTACCTCTGATTGAATTAGAGTTTTTGGATGATTTGGCTCAGTTTTTTGGAGCTCATTCTTTTGTATAGGCCTTTACTTAGTTGTTAAATGGCCTTGTTGGTTGTATCTCGAGAGTGGAGTTGTGGTGCTCACTTTCTCAGTTGTTCTATGTTTGGGTTTTAGGTTGTAACGTTCGTTATCCCATATATATAATATCAGTTGACAAAAAAAAAAAAAGACAAAAACTGTATTAAACGAAGAAGAAAGAGAGAGAGAGAAACAACAAAAATCCAAAGGAGGCGAAAATCGAACAAGGAAGAAGAAAGAAAAGACAACCTTCGACAAAGACTGGTCGGTCGGTTTTGGTATACAATTGAAATTAGATGGATGGTCCGGTTCGGTATTACGTATAAGATTAAAATCAAATAAACCGAACTCATTTGATTTTATTAAACCGAACTGATTCGATTCGAGTTAAATCAAAACAAACCGGAATTGAAACACGAACTTAGACAAAAACTGTCTGAAACAGTTAAACTGATATCCCAATTCGGTTTTACGTACTACTCTTCAGAAATAAGAACCAAAAAATCAGGAATCGGATTGAACCAAACTTAAAATGACGGTCCGGTTAGTCGTCGGCTATACAATTTATCATTAAAGGCCCAAGCTTCTGCTTCAAAAGAACGAAATGGTTAATGGGCTCATCATAGAATAGCTAACTAACGGGCCGGGTCAGTTCGAGTAAATCCGGGTCGACCCGAGTCCTGAAGTAAACCTAAGTGGAAGATTTTAAAGTTGTGAACTTTCCGACCAAATATACAAAATCGTTTCTCCAGCTTCTTCCGTCGCCACTAAACCCTGAGGCTAAACCTAGAAGAGTCAAAGTGCAATAAACGTTAAACCCTAAGAAGAGAGAGAGAGAGAAGAATGAAGTACAACAACGAGAAGAAGAAAGGTGGAGGCTCTAAGAGAGGAGGTAAAAAGGGTTCGAATGAAAGGGATCCATTTTTTGAGGAAGAGCCGAAGAAACGGAGAAAAGTCAGTTACGATGACGACGATATCGAGTCTATAGACTCTGATGCGGAAGAGAACGGATTTGCAGGCGGAGACGAAGATGGGAGAAGAGTTGATGTGGAAGTGGTGGAGGAGGATGAGTTTGCTGATGAGACGGTGGGAGAGAAGAAGAAGAGATTGACGGAGGATATGCTGAATAGACTGAGGGAAGCTAAGCGGAGAGAGCGTGAGGAAGCGGGTGATGATGATGATGATGAAGACGATGATGAGAGTATTAAGAAGATTTTGATGCAGAAGCAGCAAGAGGAGAGTGGTAGGATTCGAAGAGTTATTGCATCGAGGTAATGAAGGAATTTGGTACCTTAATGTATTTGTTGGTAAATTAGGGTTTATGGGTAGTTACTAGTTAGTGTTTAAGGGAAATGGTTTAATCGTGAAGAAAATTAGTGATTTTGTACATTTATTAGGTCAATTTGATCTGTTTAAAGCTTGGTTTATAGTAGTATTGATTAAAGCTTTTTAATGATTCAGGGTTCAGGAGCCACTAAGTACTGATGGGTTTAGTGTTATTGTCAAGCACCGACGATCTGTTGTATCGGTAGCTTTATCGGATGATGATTCTAGAGGATTTTCAGCTTCAAAAGATGGTACTGTTATGCATTGGGATGTATCTTCTGGTAAAACTGACAAATACATATGGCCAAGTGATGAAATTCTGAAGTCTCATGGGATGAAAATGAGGGAGCCTCGAAATAAAAAACACAGCAGAGAATCTCTTGCTTTAGCAGTTAGCTCTGATGGTCGTTATTTGGCCACTGGAGGAGTTGATCGTCATGTTCATATTTGGGACGTTCGTACCCGAGAGCATGTCCAGGTAATGATAAATTTGTTTTATGTTTAGTGTTTTTCTATTTGTTCTTCATCAAGTCTTACTCTCAGCTTTTATAATTATGTATCTACAGGCCTTTCCAGGTCACAGGAACACCGTTTCTTGTCTATGTTTCAGATACGGAACATCAGAACTCTATTCTGGTTCATTTGATAGAAATGTGAAGGTGTGGAATGTAGAAGATAAAGCGTTTGTAACTGATAATTTTGGACACCAGGGTGAAGTTCTAGCCATTGATGTGCTGCGGAAGGAGCGTGCACTTACGGTTGGAAGAGATAGAACCATGCTGTATCATAAGGTAATAGTTCTGTCCTCCATGTAAACACCATGCTGCATCATAAGGTTTCTATTATTATTCTGTATATCTAAGTTTTTTTGTATGATAATAGGTGCCTGAGACTAGCCGTATGGTCTATCGTGCTCCTGCATCATCTCTTGAGAGCTGCTGTTTCATCAGTGATAATGAGTACCTGTCTGGTTCGGATAATGGAACTGTTGCTCTTTGGGGCATGTTAAAAAAGAAACCGGTGTTCATTGTCAAGAATGCTCATCGCGATAAAACTGATGGAATTACCACCAATGGAATCTTAGGTAAAACCTCATTAGATCCCCTCCATCTCATCTCTGTTGCAATCGAATCTTGACATTGCAGTATATAGTTACAAAACACTTTGTTTCGTTGATGCTCCAGATGCTCTGAAATATCTAACTCTTATTTATTTGTTTAACAGAAAACGGTGATCATGAACCAGTCAACAATGACTGTTCTGCAAGTTATTGGGTCAATTCAGTTGCTACTTGTAGAGGTAGTGATCTTGCTGCATCTGGAGCTGGTAATGGTTTTGTGCATTTGTGGGCTGTTGAAACTAATGCCATTCGAAAGTTGTACGAGCTTCCACTGGTAAATTTTCTTTCACTAGTTATGTACGTTAGTGTTGTCTGATGAATTTGTTGTGACTGTGATTAAAGTATTTCACTTCATCAAGTAATAATCCTTGCAATGCCTTGTATGATCTTACAGACTGGATTTGTCAACTCTTTGGCTTTTGCAAAATCGGGTAAATTTCTGATTGCCGGTGTTGGACAGGTATGTGATCCTCCTCTCTTATGTTCTAGCTTCTTTTTTTCTATCTTTGTCCTCTTGTGTGAATGCTAATCTCAAAACTGATTGTGTTTTGTGAAATCGATATGGCAGGAAACACGATTTGGAAGATGGGGCAGCTTAAAATCTGCTGAAAATGGCGTCGCAATACACCCCTTAAGGCTGGCATAAGTATTTCATTGGGATTAAAGAAGCGTTGTTACTGATATTTTTGAGTTGCTAAAATGCTAAAGATGAAATCTTGTCATATAGGGATTACATGTCTTTGTAGCTCTTGAAGTTTTTGCTCCCTTTTTTGTTTGTTCTTTGTACCATTTTTTTCTTAATACGAGAGATAAGAACTTAACTTTTTGAGGCTCTGAAGAATCATAGAGGACAGAAGTTCCCAAATTTTCTTTCTCTCGGTTAAGCTTTTTGTTTCATTTATTTTCCCAAAAGTTGCAGATAAGTAAATGAAAAGGCATATTATTACTAAACCAAGGTCCATTGTGACACAGACTTGATCACTTGTCCAGCAAAAAGAAAATTGCTTTTCTAAAAAAAAATGGCAAGAGCCTACATGAATGAATTCTCTTAAGTCAAGCTTGGAAACCCTAGAGACAATTTCTTGAAGATTCTGTCTATGGCATTTCTCTCTGTCTCGTTGCTGCTTCATTCTGACTAAAGCTTCAACTGGATAAGAAAAACCATTACAGAATTGATTAGAAAGTTCTGAACAAATATCCAAACATAAATAGAATACCAGAGTGAAGACTTGACACAAGCAAAATGCAAACAGCATTGAAAGAATAACTAAACAAGAACATATCCAGCAAAAAAAAAGATACATAATAATCTAAAGACTCGAGCCTATATGCAGAGAAGTACCAGAGGAAGATCATGCTTCCAAAAGTTTCCATATTAACTTTGCAAACACTAACTTATACACAAGTGCGTGATTCTCATACATCTATTTGCTATATGCCTATAACTCGATCTCAAATCAATTATCATACTACTTGAAATCTAGCTAACCATCAGTTTTGAGCTATTTTCTACAACAAAGTAAACTCCACACAACAGCTTTGACATCAGAAATCAATACTACTAACCATCAATCCTCAATCCTCAATCATTCCATTGTTCGAAAAACAAACTGTCAAATCTCATCTCCAAAGCAAAAACAAGAGAAAACGATAATCATAAGACAAAAATCTCTAACCTTTAGTGAATCATCTCAACTTCTCTTTATTTCATACACTTTCTACAACAAAGTAAACCCAAGACTCAGTAAACTACTAACCATCATTCCATTGTTCGCAACACAATCAGTCTAAGCTCATCTCCAAAGCAAAAGCAAGAGAAGAAACAATAGCATAAGGAAAAATCTCTAACCTTTAAACGAAATCATCTCAACTTCTCTTTACTTGAACTCTTCTTAGCTGCATCCATAACCTTCTCAAGATACCCTTCAATAGGTGGTGTAAGAGTAGCCATACCTCGATTCGCCGGAAACGGTGTCAAATCAGGTTCTAATGCCGCCTTCTTCAGATTCTCCGGCAATGCCTCAATCGCAGCTTTCTTCAAATTCAAAAGCGCAGTCTCAGCTGCACGACGCTCTCTATGCTCTCTCATCAACACTTTACTATACTCCTTAGCAAGCCTCTCTCCATCTTCTTCCGTCAGCTTGTACTTCGGCAACTCCTCAGCTTCGAAAATCCCTAGCGAAATGTAATCCAAACCCGGCGTACCAATTCGCATCGGCTCATCGGTAATTCCCATTGAAGCAGCTCCTCCTTTCTTCTGGATCTCCATATCTCGTTGCTTCTCTTTACTAATCAACCCTAGCTTCTCACGTTGCGCCTCTCGCTCGATCTCTTTGGGTGTCAAGTAACGAACAGGACAAGGAGCGTTTAAGCATTGCTCGTAAAGCTTCTGCTTCTCATCGGAAATTCTTCCTTTTCCTTTAACCGCTTCCTCTCCATCTCCAACTGCTCCTCCGCCGCCGCCACCACCACCTTTCTTGGTGGCGACTTTGTTACGCTTTAATGGCTGACCTGTCTTCAGTTTTGCCTTTCCTTTAGGAGTTCCACTTGCGGAGCATCTTTGTAGAAGGTGGTAACTCAGTGATTCGATAATCGGTTTTGGTCTCGTAACTCGAATCATGCTTCTGATTCACCTGAGTTTCTGATTTCTGATTTTTCGTCTGAAAATGGTGTTGAGATTTAGGGTTTTCGAACTGCTCTGGACTGTGGAAGAAGAACACCAAAGCAACGACGTCGTTTACCTCATAGTACAACGACGTAGTTTTTAAGGATTAAAAATTTAGCTTAAACCGAGGGTTATCTGTGTCATAAAGTAAACTCCAATTTGGTTTCTTGGTTCGGTTTTCCATTTTCTGGATACCAAATTAGAACCGACGTTGATTTTGCATTGATTTGGTTCAATTCGATTTAATTTTTGGTTTTTGTTTCCGGATAACCACAGAACCGATGCTTCTTTCTGAAAACAATTCGGTTTACTTTTCCAGAACTAGAGTGATCCTAACAAGAAATTTGCTGAATTCAGTAATCAGTCTCATGCAACTTGTTAAAGTTTCAAACTTTTAACAATGAATTTTGGTTGGAAACTGTAACCTCCAAATACCAAAATACAAGTTAAATGCAAAGAATTTGGGGAAAAGTAAAAAGATCCAACACACAAGTAGAGAGAAACAATGTGATATCAATTATTATTTAGATCTCTCGAGGAGCCAAAAAAAAAAAGTTGAGAAATTTGCAGTCAGTATGGGCTGCTCTGTTGTTGTCTCTTCTGGGCCTTCAAAGGATCTTCTTCTTCAAACTTTTTTACTATAAACCCAGAATCATCCTCTGTTTCTTTTTGTTCCTCAATCATTTTTTTCTCGATTGTGATATCAATTATTATTCATCTGGAGAAATCTCGTCTCTTTTCTCCATTGCCATGGCTCTCTCAACTACTCTTTCTCAGGTTTTCGGTTTTTGCTATTATAAACCTTTTTGGTTTCTGAGATTAAGTTTCGGATTTAATGAAAGTTTTGGTTTTTGATTTCAGATGTCTATTGCACTTCCAACTGGAATTGATGGGTCGAGCCGATCTATGATTAAGGTGAACTTAAACGATCTAGATTACTCAATTACCGATCTTTGTTGTTTCAGATCCTTAGATGGTCCTGAAAGTGTTTGTCTTTGGCCTTTTCTTTGTTGGTTTAGTTCTGATGTCGACTTGTAGTGAATTTGATATTGAAAGGTACAGTCTTTACAAGTAGAAGATGACAAAATCTGCATCCTGAAACTGGATTGAGAAATGAAATTGAAATTCTTTGGGGATTTTTTCTTTAGCATCTCCTCTAGAAAGTGGAAGTAGGAACTTTCAACGTTGACCTTTTGATTTTGTCTCAGGTGCAAAGTATAAGCTTCACTGAGAAGTCATGGAGTCCTCTGCTGAGACTAGATTCGAAATCTAGAAGCTTAAGTGTGAAAACACGGTCCACAATATGTATGTCACTTCAGCAAGCAAGCAGAACCAAAGTAGCGGTTACTCCTCTAGAACTTGAAGATCCCAAAGAGACTCCGTTAAACTTGTACAGGCCTAAGGAGCCTTATACGGGAACAATTGTTTCGGTTGAGAGAATTGTTGGTCCACAAGCACCTGGAGAGACTTGCCATATTGTAATTGATCATGATGGTAATGTTCCTTATTGGGAAGGACAAAGCTATGGAGTGATTCCTCCTGTAAGTGGTTTTAACTCTGTTGCTCATAACGCATTGCCTTTTGCTGATAAATGATTTAGTCTCTCGATTTGGTAACATGTCTGGTTCCATGTGTTCTATTCTTGATTGGTAGGGCGAGAATCCTAAGAAACCTGGTGCTCCTCATAACGTTCGCCTTTATTCGATTGCATCAACACGGTATGGAGATTCTTTCGATGGCAAAACAGCTAGTCTATGTGTCCGTCGAGCTATTTACTATGATCCAGAGACAGGAAAAGAAGATCCTTCCAAAGCTGGTGTATGCAGTAACTTCTTGTGCAATGCCAAACCCGGCGATAAAGTTAAAATCACCGGTAAGTTTATGTGTTTTACAGATATAGATCCCTTTCTTTTGTTAAATTATCTGGCCTAAAATTTTCGATATGGTTGGCAGGTCCATCTGGAAAGGTAATGCTTTTACCTGAAGATGACCCGAAAGCTACTCACATAATGATTGCTACTGGAACCGGAGTTGCTCCATACAGAGGATACCTACGGCGTATGTTTATGGAGAACGTTCCAAATTTCAAGTTTGATGGACTTGCGTGGCTCTTCCTCGGTGTGGCCAACTCAGACAGTCTTCTCTATGATGAAGAATTTGCCGGTTACCTCAAGGACTATCCAGAGAATTTCAGGTACGACAAAGCGCTGAGCAGAGAAGAGAAGAACAAGAAAGGAGGGAAAATGTATGTGCAGGACAAGATTGAAGAATACAGCGACGAGATCTTCAAACTTCTGGACAATGGAGCTCATATTTACTTTTGCGGGCTTAAAGGAATGATGCCCGGGATTCAAGACACTCTTAAGAGGGTCGCTGAAGAGCGAGGCGAAAGCTGGGAGCAGAAACTTACTCAGCTCAGGAAGAACAAGCAGTGGCATGTTGAAGTGTATTGAGTTTATTAGTCTTTCTGTATTTTTCTACATATCTGCAACTGAATAATCGTGTCAATGAATGGACACTGGGTAACTTAACTCCAACACTGCAACAGACGGAACAATTGAGAAAGTCAATCATTAGATATGAATCATTATCTTTCCTCTAATTTCAACTATTGTCAAGAAACAAAGTAAGCTAAAAAATTTAAGTCTACTAATTTTCTTTTTCCCCTTGGTTTTGTTTCCTTTCTGGCCAGATTTTACCAGTGGCAAGCACTCTTCTTCCCGTTCCTACCGGGCTTGCCTCCTCCGCGCTTCCTAGCATCACTCTTCATCCTCCTATCCACTCTCTTCTGACCTTTCCCAACCTTAACCCCAACTCCTTTCTTAGACACAACCAGTTCTTTCCTAGGCTTCCTTGGCTCTGCTGCTTTCTTATATAGCTTATCTATCATCTTGTCCTTTGAACGGTTTGATATATCCGCTGTGTCAGATATTGTGTTTGCCTTCTTCTTCACTTTCTCCAATCTTTTCATAGCAGCTCGCTTCTTCCGTGCCTTGGCCTCAGCCACTTTCTTGGCTGGACGAGCATTGATTTCTTTGAACTGAGCTTTCATTGCATTAACTTCTTCTTTTGTCACGGGTTTCATCGGCCGTCTGTGTTGCTTTTCGTCATCCAAAAACCACTTGGGTAAACCTTCGTCCTCAAACATGTATTTGTTATAAGCATCACCATTAAGCATCTTTTCTCTCTGCTTCTTCCTTAGCATTTTCTTGGCACAGGCCAATATCTCGGCTTTTGTATGAATGTCATCATCAGAGTCTGAATCCGTGGTTGGGGCAGAGACTATCTCGAACTCGGCTTCCTTCTTAGAGCTATTTGGCAAGCTCTGATCAAAGTCAAACAACACCTTCTGCTTTAACTTGTCAGGTTTAGACAGAACTTTGCTCTGTTTCTCACTGTAATCATCTTTTCCCAAGTCTCCTTCTTCCACAGCTTCTGCAAATATATCCTTACTAAACCACTGGTTGGATATTTCCTCCTTTGTTAGGGCCTCTCCATCATCAAGTGGTACCACAAGCGGATTCGCCTCATCCGTCTCTTCATACATATCTGAATCGTAATCGAGTTTCATTGCTTCATCTACATCACAGTCCTGCAAAGCCAAAGCAAAAAACGTCTAGTTCCAAAAAACTCTATTATCCAAAGTAAATTGGGGTAAGCTATGCTAGTACCTCCAGCTTTTCAGCGTGGGCATGCCTAACCCGCTTCCTTTGCTTTGCGCTTCCTTCTTTCTTCACCATATACTGGTCATATGCCTCATCAAAAATCTCTTCCATTAGTTCATTGTATCTGTAATGTTAAAAAGACTACAAGATTAGAAAAACTGCACAAACTTGAGCAATGTATGACATTCTTGAAACAAGCTAAGCACTCTATAATCTACAGAAGAAGTATGCGGTTTAACAGCCTGACCTTTGACGTTCTTCATCAGAATCTATGACAGTGTCTTGGGAATCATCTGAAGCTCCCTCGTCATTGTCACTGTCATCGACGTTGCCATTATCATTATCATCTTCATCATTGTCAACTGTCATTAGATCTTTCTTTCCCTTCATAACAGAAAGAGAAAACAATTCATGGTCTACATAACCATCTTCAAGTGCACCTATCTGTGGACCAATTGCTTTCCGCGTCTTATCCTTAGCCCGTCGTTTAGCAAGAAGCTTCTTCGCCCGTTTCTTCTTGCGGTCCACAGTGTTTGTCAGCTCTTCCAATTCATTGAGTAGTTTATCATCCTCATTTTCCTCATCTTCCTCATCTTCCTTTCCCACATCAAGCTCCTTTTTAGTTTCTTCCTTTTTTTCAGGAGACAGAGCTTTCCTGATTTGCATTCTCCATCTACAAGGCAAAGAGAGTTCAATGTCCGTTAAGCTTATAAATAAACAAGTGAGACTTTAAAGATATAAGAAAGGTCCTATGATGAAGTAAGTGACACAGTTCTTACTTTAGGATATGCTTGAAGTCATTCTTCCCCAAAACAGGAAGATCGTCGCATAGTGTTTTAACCTCCTCTGTAGTCAAATCATGTTCCTTTAAAGGTAGAGAGGCTTGATCATCAAAAGATATACAAGTAACTGTGCCAAGAATCTCAAGAGGATTTTCAGACCAAATGAAATCAGCAGCAGATGCAACTTTTCTCAAAATGGACTCTCCATCTTCATACCCAGCACGGTTTCTCTTCTGTTTTGATCCGCCAAGCACATCCTTCACCTACAAACACAAAAACTTAGAGGGGAAATGGGAGAATTCCAGAAAACACACTCAAAAACACCATAAGACATAGTGATCTACCTACCTTTTTTGTAGGTTCTGCTACCACCTTAAAGAGTTGTCTATAATCAAGAAGATTAGGACTAATCTTATCAGGAGCTTTGTAATTCAAACCCAAAAGATATGTTTCTGCAGATGTTGAACGACTAGCCATCGGCTTAAACACTTCAACATTTTCAAACAGCTGCACCAATAAAAACAACCAGTAAGAAGAAGAACCGGCCGGTAACACTTATCCTCAGAGTAATAAGCAAACAGTACGTACCTCGCCAAGACAGTAGACCACAGAGTCATAATCACGAGACCTGAAAATCTAGGAGCAGAGAACAATATTTGAGAAACTTTGATGTCAAAATCAAAACACATCAATAGATGCCAGTAATCATCTTTGAGAATCATACCTTGGTGATGAAGTTTCCATGAGGAGCTAAGAACTCTGTGGCTAGTTTCAAGGAATCAATAACCAAAGCGTTCTGGCTCATAGCTTCTTGCGACCATGCACCACCAACATTAGGAGATCCATCGTGTAGAACTAGATCGAAAGTTTTATCAGTACCATGCTTCTTCAGCGCTTGCTTGATCTTGGCCTTGCACTCGGTAGTTCGCGTGATATCCTGCTGGATAGTGACACAGCCACGCACGGGGGCAATCTTAACAAGATCGATACCGAGAACGAGGCTGCCGACGGGAACTTTCTGGACGGCGACTTGCATCCAACCACCGGGTGCAGCGCAAAGATCGAGAACGGTTCTTGAAGAATGGAGAAAATTGAACTTGGCGTCAAGCTGGAGAAGCTTGTAAGAAGCTCGAGAACGGAGTCCACTCTCCTTAGCTAGACGATAGTACGTATCCAAACGATGCTTTCCTTTGACCTTTCCCATGGCGAGATTTTTTTCTAGGGTTTCGTTCTGGCTCTAACACAAAGTGAGATAGAATATTTAGCTAGCTAGGGTTTTAAGATTTACTAGGCAAGTTTTTTTTTTTTCCTTTTTTGCTTTTTTTTTTAATAAAGGTGTTTTCAATTATGACTAAGTCATACAGAGTCTTTGCATAATTTGAAAGAGTATAAGATATAGTGAGATACTCAAATTTTTGAATCTTAATTTAGATCAAAATATGAACTCAAGATTTTCTCTGAAACCAAGCTTGCGGATTACATCGATGAAGAGCTACTTAATTACTAAACGATAAGTCCCAAATATGAAAGTGAGTCAAAGAGCTACATAATTTCTATAAGTTACTACATAAGTACTAGATTACTTCCATGGATGATGGATCCTTCTAAATCCCAAATGAAATTGAGACAACTAGCTACAAGTTATTTACTGCATAATTAGAGGTAAACTACTTCCATGGTTCCTTGAAGCTTCATGCCTCTGCTTCTTTAGTTTCAGTATCAACACTCTCTTTAGTCATCTTCTTGCTTTCAAGAAACTCAACAAGACCCTTAAGCGTAGCATCCGGATTCTTGCTTACCATAAGCTGCTCTGTGATCTCAGCTGGAGTTGTTTTCACCTCAAGCAACATCTTCTCAATAGGCTCAAACATGTCATGTTCTTCGATTTCAAGGTACTATGCAGCGAGTTTCTTGAAAACAGTAGGTGTACAATAATCCATGAGTATGTGAACATCCATTCTTCCTGGTCTCAGCAATGCCGGATCGAGTTTCTCCTTATGGTTCGTTGTGAATACTATGATCCTTTCTTCTACACAGCTTGACCATAACCCGTCTACAAAGTTTAGTAGACCAGACAAAGTTACCTACAAAACAAAAAAAACAAGAATCAGAACACCAAAATCAGAAGATATTTTGCGCAAATTAGTGAAGCTTTTATATACTGATAAACCTTAGGATCATTCTTCTTGTTGTTCTGTTTCTCGCTATGTTCTGTTTCATCTTTGTTTTCATATCTACAAGTAGCATCTGCTCCACTGCAATCAAGATCTTCGATGAGAAGAATGGAGCGGTTCTCAGTCAAAGTGAGAATCTGTCTAAGCATTGCATCATCTTTAACGCTCTGAATCTGAAGATCATAGATACTATAATTCAAGTGATTAGCAATTGCAGCAACAAGCGATGTTTTTCCGGTTCCAGGGGGACCGTAAAGAAGATAACCGCGTTTCCAAGTCACGGATCAATGTGTTCTTGAGCTCAGGTTCCATTGCTAATGTTTCAAATGTGGTGTGATGTTGGAAAATTGCTGATTCCCATCTCTGACAATCTGGATTGTAATTGTAGATATTGAGATTTTCTTTATGTGTCAATATCTTCACCGATGATTTTGCAATGTATGTGAAGTAATCTGACATGATCTTGTCCCTAAACTCATTCTTACACGTCAAATGAAAGTACCTGAAACGCAAAATTAACATTGGAAAATTACGAAATAATGTCAGAAATAAGAATTACACAATGCATAGAAATTAGAAAACGTAACTAGACTAGCTCAGATCAGAAGAGTAACTGGAAGAAAAAAAAAAATCCCCAAAATAATGCTAGATTATAAACGTAGAAAGAAAAAAACCCCTAAAAATTAAGTTTTTGTTTTTTCAACATCCTCAAATTTTAAGGTTCTATATTGAAAATATAACGTCAAAAAAAATACAAATTAGACTTAGAAGAGTGATTACAAGAAGAGAAAAAAAACCCCAAATTTTAGGGTTAGAACTGATCAGATTAGTAGAGTGAGTGAAAAAAAAAAACCAAATTTTAGGGTTTTATGTTGACAAGTTACCCTTTTTGTTTCTTCTAGTAATGGATCTCGTAAAAATCCCCAATTTTAGGGCTACATGTAGAGAAAAGTTACCGTTTTCGTTTACTCTGGTAAGGATTATCATTATCTTTTGCAGAGAGAAGAGTCCATTCAAGACGAATCCCTTTGAAATCATCGATGATTTTGGCTTTAACCGGGATTCCGAATTTGGGTTTAGCCAACGGATTCTTGAGGTCGCTCGAACTGACCAGGAGACTTCTGGTGGAGATTCTTGAGAGAAGAGTTGGCAAGTAAACTTGAGCTGCACGGAAAGTCTGATTCATAACGTAATCGCTCTGTTCCTCGATGATGAACGTGAAATTGAAGTTGAAATAAGAAGAAAAGTAGTCTGTGAATTTGGAGATGAGAAAGTCACGGATTTTGACGGGAATGATCTCATGGAGAATGGTTTTGAAGAGGATCGTGAAGGCAGAGAGAGATGTGTAAACAGAGAAAATTGCAGAGAGTGACGGAATTTTTGTGGAGAAATTTGACGCCATTGTTATCAGGTTGTGAAATGAAGATGATGGATGATGAGTAAGCAAGTGAGTGGGTGTCTTAAAGAGAAGAGAAAAATTGGGGAGCAAGTTTTCGAGTTACTATTCTAGAAAAGGGAAGTTATAGAGTAAGTTCGTGCTTTCCTCTTAGGGAAAGAGATATCTTTTTGGTAAACCTTACGGAAAGAGATATTAATAAGAAACGAATTTTCATTTTTATTTTTCATAATCGTTTTTTCACAAAATCCGTGGAAGCATAAATTAATTAAAAATATATTTCTGCTGCCGGGCTTAGAGAAGGCTTAATTTGTGGAATAGTAAGAGCCTTCTCTAATCGAGTACGAAGGAGCTTATAATCACGGTGCAGAAAATCGGTTTTCTTTGAATATATTTTCACTACCCCAAGTTTAATGTCACCTAACATTCTGGCTGACATTTGGTATCTTATCAGGATCCATTATAACATCTGCAAAGACAAATTACATAAGCAACAATCCTGCATATGATCGAAAATGTCAAAACTTTAACAAAGAAGAGCATATACTAAAGCGAAATGATGAGAAATTATACCAGTAAAATTGTTATGGTCACTTTTATATATGATTTGACTTGATAGAGAAATGCGAACTTGATAAAAAAAAAGCTTTTTTAGAATTTTTAAATTAGTTAAGGTGATTATTCAAATTTTTATTTAGGTCAAGATATGAACTTCAAGAGTTTCTGAAACAAAGCTTGTGGATTAAATTACTAAAAGATAAATCCTAAATATGAAACTGAGACAAAGACCTACTAAACTAGTTAGTTACTACTTAGTGATAATTAAACTCTCGTTGGAGCTTCATGCTTCTGTTTCTTGATTTTCTTAGCCAATCTTCTTGCTTTCAAGAAACTCAATAAGACCCTTAAGCGTAACATCCGGATTCTTGCTCACCATAAGTTGCTCTGTAATCTCAGCTGGAGTTGCTTTCACCGCAAGTAACATCTTCTCAATAGGCTCAAACATGTCATGCTCTTCGATTCCAAGATACAATGCAGTGAGTTTCTTAAAAACAAAAGGCGTGCAATAATCCATGAGTATGTGAACATCCATTCTTCCTGGTCTCAGCAATGCCGGATCGAGTTTCTCCTTATGGTTCGTTGTGAATATTATGATCCGTTCCTCTACACAGCTTGACCATAATCCGTCTACAAAGTTTAGTAGACCAGACAAAGTTACCTGATCCAAAGAAGACAAGAATCAGAACACAAAAATCAGATAATTATTAAGCCAAGATATATAATAGTTAAAGTGTACATTCTGTGGAAGTGGAACCTTAGGATTATTCTTCTTTTTCTTAGTCTGATTCTCGTCATCTTCTTTATCCTCCTTTCTAGCATCTGCTCCACTACTGCAATCAAGATCTTCAATGAGAAGAATCGAGCGGTTTTCAGTCAAAGTAAGAATCTGTCTAAGCATTGCATCATCTTTAACACTCTGAAGTTGAAGATCATAGATACTATAGTTCATGTGATTAGCAATTGCGGCAACAAGTGATGATTTTCCGGTTCCAGGCGGACCGTAAAGAAGATAACCACGTTTCCAAGCTCGTCCGACGGTTTTGAAGAAGTCTTTCCCATTGGAGAAAGCGTCTAGGTCACGGATCAATGTGTTCTTGAGCTCAGGTTCCATTGCTAAGGTTTCAAATGTCGTGTGATGTTGAAAAATTGCTGGTTCCCATGTTTTATGTTCTGGAATGTAAGTGTGGATATTGAGATTGTCTCTTTGTGTTAATATCTTCACCGATGATTTCGCAATGTATGCGAAGTAATCTGACATTATCTTGTCTCTGAACTCCTTCTTACACGTCAAATGAAAGTACCTGAAATCCAAAATTAATATCAGAGAAAAGTACACAAAAAAGAGAGAGTCAGAAATACAAATTAACTACAAAATAAAGCATAGAAAACGTAAATAGACTAAGGTGAAAGATTTGAAGATTGAGTGTAAAAATCCCCAAATTTTAGGGTTACATGTTGAGAAAAAGTACCGTTTTTGTTTACTCATGTAAGAAGTATTGTCTTTTGCAGAGAAAAGAGTCCATTCAAGACGAATCCCTTGGAATTCATCGATGATTTTGGCTTTAACCGGGATCCCGAATTTAGGTTTAGCCATCGGATTCTTGAGGTTGCTTGAACTGACAAGGAGACTTCCAGTGGAGATTCTTGAGAGAAGAGTTGGCAAGTAAACTTGAGCTGCACGGAAAGTCTGATTCGTAACGTAATCACACTGTTCCTCGATGATGAATGTGAAATTGGAGTTGAAATAAGCTGAGAAGTAGTCTGTGAACTTGGAGATGATAAAGTCACGGATTTGGACGGGAATGATCTGATGGAGAAGGGTTCGGAAAAGGATCGTGAAGGCGGAGAGAGATGTGTAAATCGAGAAAATCGCAGAGAGTGAAGGAGTTTTAGTGAAGAAACTAGAAGCCATTGTTATTAGTTTTCAGGTGAATAGAATTGTTCTGAATTGTCTTATTGACTTGGTCGACTTTACATACCAGTAAATAGATATACATAAATATTCTCAAACTTATCTACAATATACGACAAAGTTATCTAGAGATTCTCATATATCTCAAGACAAATAAATCTATATTATTAATTGAGAATCACTCAAAACTAACAAACCTTATTTTGGTAGATTAATTACAATGAATGCCATTAGAATTACTAGGACTCCGGACCCCCGCGATGTCGCGGGGGAAAATATTTCAAAAATCGTTAAAAAAAAATATCAAACGAAAATTAATAATAACGATGGTAGATGATTAAATGTTATAACGATTTATAAAATAAACTTAAAGTTGCAATTTTTCGTGAAATAAACTAAATGTTGCAATGGTTCAACTAAACGGCTGCAATCATTTTATGAAAAATTACGATAAAAAGATGCAACCGTAAAAAATATTTACTCGGATTGCAACTTTCTCAAAAAACATAACGTAAAATAATTTTTTTAGTTTAAAAAGAAGTAAATGAAATATTGCGATATATCAAAAGTTGTAGCGGTTCGTCAAGTTCGTCAAATAAACTAAAGATTACAATCTATATATACATTTTTGAAGTACAAATATGAAATAAATCCTGGAGTTCCATCTTATTTACGAATCCATGCCACTGGCATTTATTATTTAGTTTTACAAAATTTAAATAAAAGATATTAAACAAACGATATCTTGCCTAATTTGTTTCTAAAAATCTATACACAATCTTTCCATATATCTTCAAAAAGAATTTCCATGAATTTTACTCCACAAAATATGCATAAATCCGATTTATAGCAAATATTTATATTAACATTTTGCATAGCAATAAAAATACTAATTTATAATAATCAAAATATTCACATAGAAAAATCATATACACATACAGGAAAAAGAACTATATCTATCATCATTTAAGCCGTTGCTTTATTTAAATAAAAAAACAAAAACTTGAAATCATATACTTTATATAATAAATTTAAAATATATATTAGTAGTATAAATTTAAAATCATTCAAGGAACGGTATACCACGGATGAGATCCTAAAATTATTTGATTTTATAACAATAATAATTTATTTTCTTGGATTTTATAACACTAATAATTTAGCTAACGGGATAATATTGACGGGTTGATATGGGATGACAGGTTTGGATCGATATTAATAAAGATTGGTATATCACGGATGAAATCTTAAAATTAACAATCAAAATACAATTATACAACCTTAAACACAAAACAAAACATACAATATTAACAAAACAAATATAACTTGAAATTAAAAATTTTAGTTATAAAAAAAATCGACCCACGGTATACCGCAGAGTAAAATATTCAAAATTTTAAAATCCACCATACATCGTTACTTAAAAAAATGTATGTTTTCGTATCTATACTTCAAAAATTGAAACCTAAACAATAGTAATCATACACTAAATAATACATAGATAGATATCTACATTTAAAAATACAAATTTATATGATATATCTTCAGTTAATCTTTTAAAAAATAACATTACATTTTAAAAAAAATATAGCTCCGCGGTGTACCGCGGGTTAAATTCTAGTGGTTTGTAAAACAAAACCAAAAATTGCAATGATTGGTCAAATAAACCAAATGTTTCAACGGTTCAATTAAACGATTACAATCTCATTTAAATGCATTTTGGTAATTAAAAATTAAAAATATTAGTTTATGAAAATTATACCGAGAGACGCGACGGTAGATAATTAGATGTTATAGCAATTTGTAAAATAAACCAAATGTTGCAATTTTTCGTGAAATACAAAAAAATATATATAAATCAAATGTTGCAATCGTTCGTGAAATAAACTAAATATATAAATCAAAGGTTACAATTGTTTGTGATATAAACTAATGGTTTCAATTGTTCGTGAAATAAACTAAATATTGCAATAATTCAAATAAAAGGTTGCAACTGTTTATGAAGAGGTACAATAAAAAGAAGCAACAGCAGAAGATATTCGGATTGCAATTTTCTAAAAAACATACCCGTAAAATATAAATTTTAGTTTAAAAATTAAAAATATATCCATATGTAAACTATGAAATAAACCAATTTTATATGTAGTTTATTGGTTTACGTAAAAAAAATTCAATAAAACAACCGTACAAAAATAACTGGAAAACAACCATAAATATTTAAACGAAAGATTGCAATAAAAAGACACAACCGTTTAGATGTACAAATGGTATTTATTGGAAACGACATAGCCGTAAAAAAATAACCGATTAAACGAAAATTACGATAAAAAGACGCAACCAAAATAACCGTAAAAAAATAACCGATTTAAACGAAAAGTTACGATAAAAAGACGCAACCGTTCAGATGTGCAAATGGTATTTAGCCGTAAAAAAATAACCGACTAAAACGAAAATTACGATAAAAAGACGCAACCAAAATAACCGTAAAAAATAACCGATTTAAACGAAAAGTTGCGATAAAAAGACGCAACCGTTCAGACGTGCAAATGGTATTTATTAGATTGCTATTATATATAGATTGAATTTAAAAAACAAAAGAAAAAAATTCGAAATATATATATATATATATATATATATGTTGAGCATTTTTCTTTTGGTCAAAAATATATATTCAAAAAGTATATATATTTATTTTGTTGGAGCATTAACAATATATATTCAAAAAGATTTTTCTGTTTTTTCTATCTAAAACTCAAACAAACTAAATTTACTGTTATGATTTAATAATGTTTCCATAAAAATTGATAATAACAAATTCGAAATAATAAAAATAGAAAATACATATTTTTACGATTAAATCAAATCTTAAATTAGTTTACGAAATCATATCACAATAATTATTATACTTGCCAAATATAACTCTAATTATAGATTTTTTTTAAAAAAAAATCAAGCATATAACTCGAATCTATATTTAATACTTTGATTCGCAAACATATTGTTAAGATTATAATAGTGTGTTAACCCTAAATATTGAAACTTACTTTTTGAACGGGATGGGATGAGAATTCCTAAAAAAATGTCGAATAACATATTACAATTAAAATAAAACATTGCTTGCAATCATATATTTAAAATGTTTCTTTCAATTTATCTAGCATAGCATGTGCCAAATAAAAGATTTTGGAACGGGTAAAGTTTATTTCGTGATGGAAATTTGGGTATTTTCTAAAACATAATAGTGAAATATTGAGAATATAATTGAAAATACGGATAACTTCAACCAATTATGTAAAAATTAAATACCTAAACGAAAATACATAAAATACGGGTATTCTATCCGAATCCGAGACCTACACGATATACTGTCACAAACGAGTAAATTAACGCTTATGTGATTAAATGTGTGTGGTAGATATGTGACCATACGGATTTTCTGTCTCAAAATTGATGTCTATTTTCTCTCTCTCCTTTTAATTATGTAATTGTATTTACTGTAACCAAAAACAAATCCGATTAATTATTTTGTCTAAACCAAATTGAAACTAAACCGAATACCAAACTGATATGAGGTAGCATAATGAATGTTATACCAAATAAAAAAGTCTACAAATATAGCCCCGCACAAATGTGCGGGTCCGAATCTAGTGTGTGTTTTTAAAGGAGGAGAATATTTGGGGAGCGATGTTTTCGAGTTACTATTTTAGATATTGAAGCTTAGAGAGTAAGTTCATTAGTGGGTTTGAAATTTCCTCTTTCGTGGGATTATTGAACTCTTGGTTAGGTTAATCTCTTGAATAAAACCTGTTAAGTAGGCAATAAATTAAGAATGACTACTTCCTTGTCTAGCAAGCATAAACGTTAGTATACTGTATACACAGGATATAGTGAGCATTGTTTATTCAGAGTTGAGTCTTTGAGAAAACGGCAGGCGTCAACTTCAGAGAGATATCGCTATAGGGTTGGTCTTGTTTCATATCTATAAGTCCTCTAGACTTCAAGACCTGTAATCCAAAAAATAACTCATCTCAGTTAGAGGCAATGTAGAGAGTAGAGAGACTAAAAGAAAGGATCAATCACCACTCACCAGTGTCTCGTAGAACATTCGAGCAGCTATTTTCCTTGTCTTTCCTTCCAAGATCTTGTTCAAACTTAGATCTCCAGAAGCATGGCTTGAAGAAGTGAGACTACTTGAACAACGTTCTTTAAGATACTGAGCCACGGCTCTATAGATATTCAGTGAATGTTAAAAGTTAGTAGAGAAATAGTACGCTCTTAAAAGCTATATGAATGTGTGTTTTTGGAATCTTTATACCTTGTCCTCCCTGGCAAAGCATCAGAATATTGAGTTGCTGGTGATCTTACCGGGCTATTGCCACCGTCCTCAAGGAAATAAAGTTCCTGTATGGCACACAGCCAAATAGTATTTTCTATCAATGTTAACAAGTAGCAGCAAGAATGGTAGATACAAGTGAACAATGTGAGAACAAACCTCGTCCATCCTTTCAGAAATAGTTGGAAGCCCCGGGGTTTTTAGTCCAGGTGAGGAGGACTCAGGAATTGTCGAAGTTGAAGGCTCTGTTCTGTAATATCCTGCCTCCAATGATTCAGGCTGAGTAGTGAAGTCATTGGTTCTAAAAGGCCAAGATCTTAAAGGTGGTGATGGCATGTACTCAGGGATGTTTAGTCCGGGTAGATTCTCTGGATTTGTGGAAGTTGAAGTCTCTCTTCTATATGAACTTGTCTCCCAAGTTTCAGGCTGAGTGGTGAAGTCATTGTTTCTAAAAGGTGAGGATCGTGGAGGTGGTGACGGCATGTAATCATGGAAACCACCATCCCTGAAATGTTCGATTTCTATGTCGTTATTGTTAGATGGCTGAGGAGATTGTGCTTCTGCACGCGTGGATTGAGGACCTGCAACGCCTTGGACATCTTCAGTTTCCTGTCGTGGAGACCGCTGAACTGTACTGTCTCGATTAGTAGAATCATGAACTGGAGAGGCCGGGTTAATATCTGTTTCAGCTTCTCGAGTAGGAGATGATGCAGGTTCTGGAATAGTTTCATCAGGAACAGCAAGATATGGTTTTGAAGCTACATAGTCCTTTTCAAAGACACTGCGTAAAACATTTGAGAAGCCTGCAGATAAACATATAGACAGTCAATACACATTCTATAAAATCAAAGGGCAAAACAAAGAGTCAGTGGAAAGTTACCAGTAAACAAGGGCTCATTGAAAAGTTGATCCTTCTTTGATTGGTTATCTAGTCTCCAAAAACCTAGTTTAGATGAAGGCAACTTCTTTCTCTTACGAACAGTCTTACTAGGATCCTCACTCCTTTTTCTCAGGATCCTGTAAATTCTTTGATCAGTATACAACAGGTAATGAAATAATCAAAGCCATGGAAACGTTATTTACTTGTGGCTTAATATGACAGCCTCATTATCATAGTAGTGCTTCCTCTTTCTTGGCCTTGTTTGTGGTGTGGGAGGAGTTGTTGGCTGAAGAACCATTTCAGGTGATGGATGCACTTAACATCAAAACAAAACCAAAATATTTTAAGTATATAATAAGATAGTGCATATAGTTAGCATAACATTATCAAACTATGTTTTGTTTACTCACCAAAATCTGCACGTTCTTCCTCAGAACCAGCAAAACTTGGCGATCTTAAGCGAAACTCAAACATCGAATGTCCTCTAGAATTTAACACTTCTTCATCAATATTATGCATTGTGGCTTCCTTATCATTCAAACTTTCATGTAAGGATCCAACTCTGACATTCTGTTCTTGTGCAGCAAATGGTGAATGAGACCCAGGGCTTAAATCGCGTGCAGGATCACGCCTTTTCTCAATCTCGATATCCATCGGGATAGATTCTGGAATGATATCCTGTAATAAATACATACAAAAACTTTCCTTCAATAACATGTTCTTGCAGACAGAAAAAACCGGTAAGTCAGAATCAACTTCGCAAGCAAGAATCTCACCTCGTCGTTGAATGTTATAGTAACATAAGGATCAATGCCAGTAGGAATTTGATCTGCAAAATATACATCAGCATCATAAACACAATATCAACAAAATAAAGAAGAGGTAAAAAAGGTACCAGAGAGAGTAATATCTTCCTCACTCCCGATATGATTTTCGAATTCCCTAAGATTCACATAGAAAAAAGATCTCTCAAGCTTTATAACAACAAATTAAAACTCCAATAAAAAGTGAAAAAGTGGATACATGTAAAGTGTATCGTCATCCTCCAAGTCGAGCTCGTCCAAATTTAGTGTTTGAGGCAAAGTTATTAAATGAAACTGTTCCTGTCTCAAATCCTCTGGTTTAGCTACCAAACTTCTAAGGAGATTATAATCATGAGAAAGATAATCGAGTTTCTTTGAATATATTCGTACAACTCCAAATAGAATGTGACCTGACATTCTTATTGACATTGGTACCTCATGTAACAGTATATGATCTGCAAACACAGTTACATATCTGATCACTCTCACGAGAAACAGAGACAAAGTTATTGAAAAGTTAACAAAGCAGAGCAAATACTCAACCACAAAACTGTTAAATTTTTCGACTTTTTGAATCGGTTACAGGGATAAAAATGCAAACTTTGATCACTAAAGGAAAACCGAAGAGGAAAGAGACGAACGAACCAACTGTTTTGGGGATGTTTGTGGCAATGTATTGACTCTTCTCGAGGAGATTATGCACGTGAGCGGCACACCACGCCGTCTTCACTGATTTCTTTAGAAGAAAAGACTTATTATGCGGATTAAACATTTTTACTACACAATTTAGGTCTCTCTTAGGAACCAGAGATGAATTGAGAGAGAAACCAATCAATATCGGATACAGGGACGAAGACAGAGGTTAGGGTTTTATGTGATTTTGCAGAGCAAGAAACAGATTTTAATGGCGCGGGAAAATATTCGGTGGCGCTAAATCATAGCCAAGGGAAAAAGATACCGTTTGACTAAAATACCCTTTTCGATTCTTCTTTATCTATTGACGATATTAGGGGTATATCTGTAATACATTCGAATATTTGCTTTTTTAGAATTTTTAAAATTAGTAAATATCATTTATGGTGAGATTCTCAAATCTTTGAATCTTGATTTTAAGGTCAATATATGAACTCCAAGAGTTTCTGAAACCAAGCTTGCAGATTATTACATTGATGAATAGCTACTTAATTACTTAAAATGATAAATCAACAAGACCTACTTAATTACTAGTTAGTAACTACTTCCACGGATCCTTGAAGCTTCATGCTTCTGCATCTTTTATTTCAGAATCAACACTCTCCTTCGTCAAATTCTTGGTTTCAAGAAACTCAACAAGACCCTTAAGCATAGCCTCCGGATTCTTGCTCACCATAAGTTGCTCTGTGATCTCAGCTGGAGTTTCTTTCACCTCAAGTAACATCTTCTCAATAGGCTCAAACATGCCATGTTCTTCGATTTCAAGATACAATGCAGCGAGTTACTTGAACACAATTAATAGGCGTACCATAATCCATGAGTATGTGAACATCCATCCTTCCTGGTCTCAGCAATGCCGGATCGAGTTTCTCCTTATGGTTCGTTGTGAATACTATGATCCTTTCTTCTACACAGCTTGACCATAACCCGTCTACAAAGTTTAGTAGACCAGACAAAGTTACCTAAACAACAAAAAAACAAGAATCAGAGATAGTTTGTGGATATTGGTGAATCTTATATATTACTCATAACCCTAGGATCCTTCTTATTCTTCTTCTTGTTCTGTTTCTCCCTATTTTCTCCTTCATCTTTATTTTCCTTTCTACAAAAATGGAGCGGTTTGAGTGTATATTAATTACATATTAAATGTTGTGTGTAATATACTTTGAATGTATATTTTATCACTATTTTATGAAAGTTTTATTACAACAGTTAATTATAGTTGATATGAAAGACTACAATACAAAGTACATACATTTTGAAGGATAGATTTAAAGATGCACCATTGGAGCAAATTCCTCAAAATCTTTAAAATAAGGACTCTACTATAACATGATAAAAATATATATATATATATATATATATATATATATATATATATATATATATATATATATGTTTTGCTAGTAAGCCAAACCAATTTAAACCGACCGAATGTCATTTTCTTTTGTACTAATTTGGATGAGCCAGAGGCTAGAGTGCCACTAAACCAGAAAAATGAATCACACCTGCCATTTTAGAGTCTGTATGCCATGAGCCAGAGGCTAGAGTGCCACTAAACCAGAAAAATGAATCACACCTGCCATTTTAGAGTCTGTATGCCATCATAGTATGTGTTATTTCTATTTTGCCCTTACTGAATATTTTTTATTTAATTAATTTTGAGAAATTAAAACTAAAAAAAAACAAAAAAATAAAAACAATTTTCTCGCATCCTCACGACACCTCCGATTCTCTCCTCCCACACCGGAGCGGTTCGCCCACCGATCTCGCCGGCCGTCGTCTTCGGCGTCTCATCCTTGCAATCGGTTTGTTCTTCTCTCTCCTCCGCCATTGATGAAACTGAGAGATTCTTTCTTAGTTCCTCAATCTTCCGCCATGGATATCAACAACAACCACCACCGCTCCGACGACGATGACGACGATGCTTTCTCAGTCATCAGAGCATCGACATAAACGATTTGAAGTTTCTGATCATTGTATAGTCTTTTTCATCATTTGTCCTTCTTCTCGTTGATTTGATTTCTCTTCAAAGAGCAAGAATTTCATAATGCTTTTGTAACTTTATATCTAAGATCTCTTCTTGATTCGCTTAGATAAGTGTGGTGGGATTCGATGTTGGGAATGAGAACTGTCAATTTCGTAATCATGAGTTCTTATGGGAAATTCTACCTCAAAATTCATACTTTAGTCTTGTAATGAATTCAATCTGTAAGTCATTGCTTGTAATTGCCTCGTTCCCATCATTGTAATGTGTGTAAGGTAAAATCTGATTTGCTACTATGTTTTGCTTAGTAGTGAAAAGTCTCATTGTATGGTGACCACTTTCTAGTGATAGAGAAATAAAGCTTTACTCGATCCATGTTTTCTTATGCAGGTCAAAGATGTGATTTCAAGATGGATCATCACTGTCTTTGGATTGTCAAATTGTGCCGCCACTAAAGACGTCCAAAGAATCTGCTTGTTAACCGAGTGGGACGAGTTTAAGACGCTTTGACTATGAGTAGATCTTTGAAAATATGCAGAAACCAGCGTTTGTCTTTGAAGGTAGGAATGTTGTTGATTTAGAGAAGCTGGAAAGATAGGGTTTATTGTTTACTCTATTGGTAAGCCATTGGACCAGTGGCTCAAGGACATGCATGTTATTGCTTAGATTTGAGTCTTTGCCCATTTTCAAGATTTGGATTGTTTTTCTCTAATTTTGAGTTATATCAAATACTTTGTTCTTTCTTAAATGTTGGTTAGATAGCTAGAGAGACTAGGTTTGGTTATTCTATTATTGCTAACGACGTTATACTGTGAGTATCAAATTTGTAAGCTTCTTAAGCATTTTCATATATAAAGCTTTTATTGTTTATGCTTACTAATTATATTCTTAAAAGTTATTAGTATTTTAATTTCGAAGTAAATATATGATATTGTGGAAGATAAATGATTATTAATTAAAAGAATTCCTGATGACTAAAAATCTTTTGTATTTGTCGTACAACCATGTTCGACTGGGTACAACTAGGTTTGACTGGTACAACTAATACCATAACTATACTGGATACAACTAAGACCATAACTATAACCATATATGTATCAGTATATGTACTTGTCGTATTCATACAACTATGTTCAACTAGGTATAATTAGGTTCGATAAGGTACAACTAAGATCATAAATGTATCCGTATTTGTATTCAACAATTATGAAAAACGATAAATTAGAGTTAATAAGGATTCTAAAAACATGTTGAACTATAAAGAAATAATTTTAAATAAATAAAACTCGAATTTATCATTTTCCTAGTGCATACTATTGTTTTCATATAAAACACTCTTTATAGTATAAGGAACACTTTGTAAGTGATCACTTCTTTTGATGCAAAAGAGGTGAAAATTATGATTTCGTGCAAATTGTATTATGAAAACCTCTCAAATGATAATTAATAGTGTAAACTCATGTGTCCAACTTAAAGTTACTAATTTTTATTAGAGTAAATTAGAGTCCAACTGAAAATACGTAAAAATCGCAAAAGTCCAACTATGACTATGAGAGTACAACTGAACAACTAGGTACAACTACGTTTATAACAAACAATTTTTTATGAATATCCTGCTGTCTTTGGCCCACTTTACAGCACGTGTGATGATTTTAAATTAATAACCCGCCGCCAAAGGTCCAATTTTTTATTATTTTTCACGTCAGTCATATTTAAATTCATTTTAATATCAATTTTAATTAATTTGTTATTTTTAAAAAAACTCGAAAGGACCTTGTAGTTGTACCTAAATATACCAGTTGTACCTATACGTAGTTGTACCTAAATATACCAGTTGTACCTATACGTAGTTGTACCTAAATATACCAAAATACCACCATAGTACATAAAAACAAATCCACTTTACCATACCTAAAAAAGATGGCTTTAAATAGCCTTACAAGGACTCAAAAGAAACAACAGACAGAAGCTTAAAAATAGGAACAGACTCCACTACAATAACTGACTCAATTCCACAACTCCACTATCTAGACTCCATAAGACTCGGACATGATTGACTCCAAAAGCAAACCAACGACTAACATAAACAAAAGATCCACTTTACCATACACAAACAAAAGGTCAGTTGCACCAAAAACAAAAAAACTATCTGAACAATCAAATAGTGCAGTTGCACCAAATAGTTCAAGTTATACCAAAATTGTCCCAGTTGTACCTAAGTGATCTAGTTGTACATCACTTTCACCATATGATTCTATTGTTTACAATCAAACAAATCCGCAATCTTTCAGTCTCTGCTGCAACTATTTAATCTTCTGCTCATTATAGCTCCAAAGTAGATAAATTTCCATGCTTTCTCAAAGTTGTTGCTTCAAAGTAAGCTCTTTCTTTCGTTATTGGCTAAGATTCCCCAATACAACGAATATATGGAAGTGCCTATACAAATAAACAAGGACAAAATACACAAATAATCACCAATCTTGTTTCTTGAAAACTCAAAACTTGTTCATTTTACTTTGGAAGTCAACAAATCAAAACTTGTTCATTTTATCCTATAGATCAAAGCAATGTCAGAGTAAAGCACAAAGGCTTATCTGGTGCTCCAGCAGTGGCAATTGTGATCTCATCCTTCAAATAAAGCACAAAGGTAATGCTTAATGAAGCAGCTTGGAAACACGAACCATTAGCAGATAAGATAGGATATAATACTAGAATTGAAGAGTTAGGACTAAGAAGGAGGTAAAACCTTGCGACGTTTGATTCGTTTTGAAAGAGGAGATTGATGAGATCCTTTAACCATCCCAGTAGAGCTGAGTGAAGACCAGAACAACTATCAAGATGGTTATAAAGAAGAGAAAAGACAAAAAAAAAAAAGATCATCACAATCAAGTTTAAAGACTTACTTGATACAAAATTCCTCTTTGTGAGAGCTACTTTTACATATTAAATCCAACAACGCAAAACATCCATCTTGAACCAGATACAAGAAGATTTGTAAGCAACAAAAGTTAGAGCCCTCTTGACCACAAACATAAATAAGTTAAAAAGGAACATATGTTTGCTCGACATGAACCAAAATCCATTGAATGTGAACACATTGATTTTACAATTCCTGCATGTCCTATAAGAACTCTAGTACACTTATTCTCATCTACATCTCACACTTTAATTTGTATTCCAGCGTATAAGAATGTCAGTGTCACCATTCTGTCCTCACAAACAAGTAAATAAAAAATCTTTGAGTCACAACTTACAGTTTGATCACCATAAGCAGTTATAAGACAACTATCTCCCTGCAACAAATATGCAATGAGTGAACATCAAACGAGCTTCACTTAGTTCCATAAATGGTTCAGAAATTAAACGCGTATAACGCACCTTGATCCATATGTCAAAGACCACATTGTGCACTACAAAGGACGACGGAGACTTTATCCGAAGACGAATTCATCGGAATTCGCGCAGTCCTCTGATGTCGCGGCGGCGGAAACTGAGGAGGAGGCGGCGAGATCGGAGAATAAAGAGGCAAAAAATGCGTGAACTTGTTACCATCGTACGATCGTTGACTTGGGATTCTCGATTTTGAACGGAGATTTCTCAGGAGAAACGTAATGGCTCTCCGGTAAATCTCTAACATCTGATAACGGGGAAGAAATCGAAGAGGAGAGTGTGGTGATTCGTTGTAACTCTGTGCTTCTGAGTTCGATGAAACTGTCTGCTTCATCTTCATCATCACCGATTCGATTTCGATTTCTACAGCGTAAGCTACCAAAACATCAGTTTCGGTGGATCTGTATTTTTCAATTTTCTTCAACTTAAAGGTCTACGTATATTCTTTGATCTTTCTCACAAGTCGTGGGTTATTGGATTTGGGTCGGATTGGCTTGGTTGGATCTGTAATTTCTAATTCTCTTAAAGGTTTTTTGGACATTTCTATCACTTTTGATTTAAAAAAAATGGTAAAAGAAATTACAAACAAGGAAGTGGCATTCTAGCTTTTTTATTCGGGGAAAGTGGCTTTCTAGCCATTGTTTCAATTTGGATTCGATATTTTATAAACCAATTTAATAACCAAAACTTTTGAAACAACGTCGGATTGGAAAAGAGATTTTTCTTTTTCTTTTTTGGGTTTTTTAAATTAACAATTTGCTCTAATTTGATTTGATAAAAAGAAAAATGAGCACGTAGTTGTCATTTGCAGATTGTCATTTGCCAATTTTCTTGAAAATTCACCTCTTTCCTTTGTCTATCTATCCTCCCTTCCCCAACATTGTAAGAACACCAAATCTCTCTCTGGCTCTCTCAATTCCAATTTTTGTATGTGTTCTTGTTTCATATTTAGATCATCCATTCCCTAGAAATGTTAAAGGTCAAATTTTTAATTTATTATTTCAGTTTTTGTTTTTCTCTCCTTAACCTCTGAATCTCCGGTGTCAGAATCCGACAACATAAGGAGGATCCACATTGGTTTTTTAATTTTTGATATTCTTTTCTAGAGATTCTTCTCGTGATTAACCTTTTTTTTTTTGTTTTGAAATTCACAACAATTTGATGTCCTAAAGAAAAATTGGAACTTTCTTATTTTGGGTTCATTTACAACAATTTGTGCGTGATGGGTTGTTCTCAATGTAGGATTTTGTTTGATGATTGTTGGGTTTTGAAAGAAGAGCAATGAGCAATTATGCAGCCGGACTCGGTAAGCCTGGCTCAGGTATGACTGATTCTTTCATTTGTGGATTTCATGATTGTGTGTGTGTGTGGTGAATTCTATAGGTTTAGAGAAACTTCTTTGACTTTTTCATGTTTTGTTGTTATAATGGCGTCACAAAATGATTTTTTCAATACACATTGTGTTTTAACAGGTAAAAGGAGGATAAGGGATCTTTTAAATCAACCTGATAACCGAGTCTGCGCTGATTGTGGCGCTTCTGATCCTAAATGGGCGTAAGTTATACTAAGCCTCTGGAT